GTCATCTAGCGACAGGAAAGTTGGAGGAGTGAGATGATGATAGAGAGACAGAGTCGGGGACCGATAGTTGTCAAAACAACAAACGATAACCTGAACAATGTCTCGAAAGCATGACCTGAATTTTAACAAAAACAGGACCTGCCGATAATATTTCGAAGATAATGACGTCATAGATTGGTTTGTTGTCATCAGCCATTTAATTTCAACATTAGAGTCTACTGTTTAAAGGCTTCTTGGTTTCGGCTTGGTTCGACCGCTCAATCGAACTGAGGGCCGCATTTTTTTTTAATGGAATCTCGCTGTTGGCCTTAAGGGCCTTTACAGCTCAGCTCGGGCTGTTTTGCCGAGCGTAGCTCGGCCTGAATGGGCGATTAGCGCAAGGGCGTCTCCTGTGAGACTCGAACCTCGGCTTGAGCCGTCGCGGGGTGGTCAATCGCCTGAAGGGCAGGACGGAAGCTCACTGGAGTGAGCGAAGTACGCAGTAAAGGTCCTCGCCTTCCCCGGTGAAGGCGGTTTTTTACCCTAATCTGATTATGATTTTGATTGTTATTATTGGCCGCGCGGGCGGCTTTTAATTTATTGTTAGCTACGGTAATTGGATCATCCGGATCCGTTAGTGTGTGTCGGGGCCTCCTACGAGCCTTTTTTGTCGGGAAGGTGAGGGCCGCACCAACCAGTTCCTGTATTTATAGCAACCAGAATTTGGAATAAACAAGTTTCGTGACATTTCTTGTACTCGTTCCACGACCGAACCCGAATCGACCACAAAGTCAAACGGCAGTCATAGCAACGAGTGTCAAAGATTTCTTTAATATTTATAGTCATTGAGTTAATATTTAAAATTATGATAAATAACGTTTAATAATAATAATGACTATCGACTTTATTATCGACCATTGAATAGTGGTTACGAAATAAACCATTCGTATTGACTTTGACGCTATTCATTTAATATGACAATGGCAGCCGACATAAACACCATTGATTCAACATTCTATAAAATTACTACAGACTGCAAATTGTCTGTTAATTTGTAGATATTAACTGATTTGACTTTGAAGTTATTAAATAATGAAAATGGCAGCTGATACCAGCGCCATTACTCCGACATATATAATAACGATAACAATGATAGTAATAATTCTATTAAAATTAATGAAATTCTGTAAAAACTTAATCTAATGGTTGAAAGATATAATTTAACAAATAAAACACGTAATTAAAAAAAAGGTTTTATTCAATTCACATAAGGCCGTACCAGACATTAGATATGAATTATTTAGAAAAAAAATCTATACAAAGGACTGTTCACTAAAAGCTACATTATACAAATAAAATCAAGACTTATTTTTGACCTTTAATAAAAATTTTACAATAGCTTTAAAATAAGGCATACAATGCACTATGCTTGTGTCTAAAATTGCTTAATACTACTTTGACTCAAAATATAACTATTTACATTAAAACAAAGTTTGACGGCCATTCTATCGGCGGAATATATATATATAGGTGACTCATAAGTCAAGCCAAGTGATAGGTGAAACAAAGGAAATGAATAAAAAAAAACTTACTTTTATAAAAGCCATTCAAGGAAGTAAAAACATTATGCACCATGACATGTTTTTCTATTCCAACTATACGACCGTGTTAAAAAAAATACTACGCATTTTTCATTTTGTTGGCAAGTGAAATTAAAAGATGGCGTATTTAGTTTTGAATTTCTAAAAAATAAACATACAATATTCTTTTGTAAGTACAAATAAAGAAAAAAAAGGGTGCGTGTACTTATGTACGCGCGTAAGAAGTTATACTTCTTTGGCATTATTAAAAATAGTTTTTGATTGCATGCAAATAATTAATTACAATTAAATAATCAAAGACTGGAAAAGGAGTCATTAAAGTCAATAAAGTTCAGTTTACATTTGAAAAATTAATTAAATAAATATTTATTATTATTCTCTTACATTAAACAAATAAAACACTATTTATCTTTAAAACATTTTTATTTCATTATACTATTTATTTTTAAGTGACTCTAATGTCTTCATCAGAATTTCGGTTTGTAATTTTAAATTAATCATTACTTGGTTGTGCATCTACGAGGCTTCTCCAAAACTACTTGCTTTCTGCAACAAATAAGAGAATATTAATTTAAGCTCTGTCCATGCAAAACTTAAAATTTTTTATAATTCATATTATAAATTTTTTAACACATTTATATTAATATAATTATATAAATGTGTTAATAATATAATTTGTAGCACATGCTACAGACCTGGATAGCAACTTTCTTTTATTCTATTTAGAGATAGAGATAATTTAAATATAATACCGGTGTCTTCCTTGTAGGTTTCTTTGGAGTTGTTTGGGGATTCTTGTTGTTCAGTTCGACATGATTTTCTTTAACCTTTCTTTAATCCTACAAAATAATGAAATTGTTAAGTTATGTTGTCACTGTTGTGCACACCTTTGTTTGGCTTTTTAGTATTCAAGTTATGTCAAAACTGATTTATTACCTTGTCATTGTTGGCTTTATTTGCTTTTGGGATATCAATTGTTTCCAAAATGATTTTATTTGTAATAACCTGAAATATATAAATAACATCTATTAATTTAAGTATCATGGTGAGTGGTTCGCACTCAGGTATTAAGGTGTATTATACCCACTGTCCATTATAAGTGGGAATGGGCTCACTTCTGGCAGGACAGAGTTTCGGTACTACAAGTGCAACATGGATGTTTTGAGGTATTACAATATCTCTAACTACCCTGTAGGGGAATAAAGTAATGTTGTAAGCATATGCCTATGCTTGAAAGGTTGAACCTTGAACATCACCATACATCATATTTATAATTAACATTCCTACCTCGACACCATCACAATCAAATTCATTGAAATCTACTTCAAACCATTGTGTCTCGAGAAGGTGATGGTGGCTTTGTTCCACCTCCAGTTTTTGATGTTTCACGGCGATAAGATGACAACTCTTTTTTTGTATTCAATTTAGTGCACTTCCACTGATTCATCAATTGTTTTTTGTCTCTTGTCCTTATATTTGCTAGATTAAATCTGATGTTTTGATTAAATAATGTGGTCATTTTTTTGAGATGCAGGTACTTATTAAAATGTTTACTTCTCTGTTATATCGCTCCAAGCCTTCATTTTCTCCTTATTAGTATTCGTGCTTAAATCTTTGTTCTCAATTATTGATATATAGGGTCGTAGAATATTTCTAAAAAGTTGCTGTAACAAACGCAATAAACAAAAGCAATGAATAATGGTTCATGTTTCAGTTTTAATCAACAATAATACTCGATAATACATACGGATAGTTAACCTCAATTGTATTGAAGCACTCAGGAAGGTTAGCACAGTTTTTTCACAAATATTTTATATTATTTCACAAATATTTTGTATAATGAAAATAACTAGGTATATAATTATTAATTTTAAACAATAATTAAAACTCCTATATTTGTTTAAAAGGTAAATGTCATTGTCAGATGTCAATTGTCATGGTCATTCAAAATTCTTGTTAAGCTGCTAAGCTAGAATATGCGTGAAGTTAGCTTCACGCATATTCTATTTCTTTTTACTTGTAGTTTGTCTTATTCCCATCTCGCTCGCGCACGCTATATCACACTGCCAATTTTGTGTCATAGGTGCGCGCGCAATCGTAAAATTTCACTCTCATCAATTTTTCATAACGCGCCTAAAGAAGTACAAATAAAAAAATTTTTTTTAATTAATGTTCTGGGGTTAGGTTAGACCTTGTCACTCCCCATCACCCGACTTTGGCTTGACGTTTATTAATGGTACACCCTGTATACACCTATAGTAAGGTAAAATAATTGGCGGAAATCTATAGATAATTAGTTAACTTCCTCAGAATATTGAAGGAGATCTAGCTAGATATTTTTTGAGAGAACTATACCATAAATGTACTGAAGCATTTCAGCCTCAATACTCTGTAATTAATTTGCGTCAAATACTAAAAAGTGCAGTTGGGATCGCTATTATAAGTAACAGGCTACCGGCGCTGATATGCCCTAATATATCAGGTATTATGTATTCAGAGGGAGCCGTTTAATTTATTTATAAATCGTTTTATATATACTTTAAATATATATATATAAGAATATAACTATTTCATTGGATGTTGCGATTAAAAACGGAATTATAATGCAGCCAGCTGACTCTAAAATACAAAAATTTCTAAAATATATATACATTTTCTAAAATAACAGTTACTTATTCTACATTATCTTTTCAAAAACAAATATAACTTACCACGTAATTTCAATTAATATCTCAATAAGAAAATGATCTTGATATTTCAAACTTGTGATCACGAAAACTAAATATTGAAATTACGTAGTACGCTTACCGTAATTTATTATTACTGTAAATAAAACTGAAGAATAAAAGGGTGTACTGTATGACAATAATATCCATTAAATCCTACAAATGTTAAATGGAAAATTCAAATACAATGGTTATTCATTGCGTAGTACTTATGAATGTAATTATTGTAAACCAAAAATAAAGCCACTTGATCGTTGTAATTCATGAGAAGACCCCCAATAATATATTGGTTAATTTGGCTTAAATATTTAACTAACACATGAAAATGTTAATCCGTTTAGACTTAAATTATTTATATATTTTGTTTAAGTAACATTAATGCTTATGAAATGTTAATAGCTGTTAAAAAATTATTTCATATCTTAATTTCTTTGTTCTGGTATAAAAATGTCGGATTTAAATTTACCCACACTCCACCTCTCACCCGTAACCAGATGAGGCAAACAATTGTGTATTTTATTGGTCATTTTCAGCCAAGCCTTCGAACGCTTTACTTTCGCCAACACAGAGACAACAGCCTCTTCATATTAATGATTATTTATGAGTATTCGGCCCAGAGAGCGAGAATAATCAATTTTTTCATAATGAATAATGCTTTTACTATACAAATCGGAAAAAACTATTATTGTTCCCATCACTTTTTGAGCAGAAGATTTCTGAAGTCGTGGTTAGAGAGCGGTCGTTTATCGCCATTGGCCGAGCCATTGCCATTACTTGTCGATGCCTTTTGAAGCACGCTGGGTATGAAACTACTGAGCTGTGTCCGTCTCCTGTAAAATATGTTTTTTGTCAAAAAATATCAGTTCAACAAAACATTTGCTAGTAAAAGAACTAGAATAAATGAACAATTTTTTTTATAATTTGTTCATTTTTAAACACTTCGTTGCATGAAATACAGTTAAATTAAATGAAAAGGAGTAATTAACTTTAAAAATTTAATTAATCCGGACTGAAGGACCAAAAACCTTAATAGTAAATATTTATGCAGTAGCAATTACAATGTGAAAAACGTGTACCTATTATTTATGACTAGCTGCCCCCGATAATTTCTCTTCGCCTTAATAAGTTCTTTTTACTTAGGCTTTTTCAAAATGTTTTTTCTATAAAAAAATTCTCAGAGTTCAAGTAATAAATTAAAAAAAATATCATTCATTTTTATTTATATAGATTGTCTTCTGTAAAGTCAAGTAGGTATTCCGTACCTACCAATCCCAAAACCATTGCTTCGCGAGTCAATACTATACCTCATACTTTACACCGAGCATGCGTTTAAGCATTTATGTATTGTTTTATAAATTTATAAAAATGTATAACTTTGCATTTTAATAAATAATTCGTTTATATAAAAAAAAATATACACACATTCCTCCTCCCGTATCTCGTTTGGGCAAGCCAAGACTCGCTTGTCCTGCGTCTTTCTTTGGCGGAGGTGCGCTTATAGCGACATCTATCTTCCGATCGGCGACTAGTAGACCATTTGTCTTGTCCAACGCAGCGTTTGCTGATGCCTCATCTTCATATTCTACGTATGCAAGGCCTTTGGGTTTTCCATCTCTGGAAACAATATATTTTTATATCAATTACCAATACACATTCATCCATTGCTTTTAATTTACCTCATATTTTAAAATTAGCAAATGTTTTAAACACTAGGAAAGGCATAGAAATATTATTAGAGTGATTTGTGAAAATATTTATGAAATAGCTAGAATTTAAAATATCAAATTACAAGAGAAAGCTCCAACTTTAACATCAGCAAAGTCCAAACAAGAAATTTCATCTAGGATTTCTGGATGATTGCTATACGTCACTACACTCCGTATAATTTCACATCACTTTCATCGCGTTCAACAGAGCGTTACTACACAACAAAAAAAAAGGGTGCGTGTACTTATGTACGCGCGTAAGAAGTTATACTTCTTTGGCATTATTAAAAATACACATGGATAGTTAACCTCAATTGTATTGAAGCACTTAGGAAGGTTGATGAGCACAGTTTTTTCACAAATATTTTCTAATATTAATTAGTATTGATTTAAATATTCAATTCAAATCACTTCTGATTATAATTCAGACGCAGTTATAAAATTTGCACTTGTATAATGAAACCAAAATGAAAACGCGTGTTTTAAATGTAGAAACTCAAAGCATGTGGATAAATATAAATACACAGTGAACAGAGGCGGCGTGCGTGCCAACATGCGCCACTAACTTCATTCTGATAATTTTGTGTCACGGTTCGCGCGCATCGTAAAATTTCAAAAATTCTATAAATTCTTAGTAAAACCACACATGGGTGTTGGGTTATGAATGGCAACCTTCGGATGGAATGTGTCCGTATCCTTAATAATCTGCTTTTACATATACTTACTTGAAAGTGACGACCCGTACGTCCTTTAGAGCACCGTGTTTATCAAATATCTCAGTAAGAGCCTCTTTAGTGCAATGGGAAAATGGTAAATTCTTTACAAACAACTTATTCCTCTCAACATCGGTGGGATATTTGAATGTGGGTGTGTTTTTCGTCGCCGTATACCGCGAAAGAAACATCGGTCTACCGTTTAACGGTACACGATCATGCTTCACTGCTTCGTCTACTGATTCCTGTAAAATAATATCATAATATATTTATTATTACTGAAATAATAAAAATATGCAGTACAATAATTTTGTGACAAAGTATTTAATTGTCACAAGGGTGGTCTGGATTCAATTCCCCAAAAAGGAATAATTGATAACCAACCTACTTATAAATACAGATGAAGAACCATCTTTTCCCAGTCCTTTTTGCTTTTTGCTTTAAACAAAATGTTTAAACATTCTCGACCAAATTTTTATACTTTTACACTTAATCATATATAAAATAATAAATATTTTATATGAAAGGAAAAATTAAACTAATTAACTCACCGGTGTCTCATACTGGCAGTAACATATAGATCCACCGAAAGCTTTGACTCCAGCTCTTACCCTCATTGACACAATTTTACCAAACTCAGATAACTTTTCACGTAAGCTCTTTTCGTCTACCCTACAACAGAATAATATATTACATTTTACTTAAGAAAACAGCAAAACAAATATTCCTTCAATATTAAAACATAAAAAAAATAATTTTATAATTTTTAATTTAAATTAAATGCTACTGTTAGATTAATAACTAAATGATTCTTTCTTCTTTTTTAAAATAAATGCAAAAAAATTATAAAAAATTTACGATAATTTTTGCCTTAAATTATACATAAGTACATACTTGAACTCGAGATTGCTAACAAAAAGAGTACAAGACTCTCTGGTACCAAACCTCTTCGTCTCGCTCGTACTTTCTTTACGTTGACGTTTATTATCACCTGCAAATAATTATATATACATATTTTATAATATTTCTGTCTCTTTAATGCTCTGGTAAAAGCATTACAATAAATTGATGTATGAATTAATAATTACTGTAGTTGAATTATAATACAGTCATGTTTTACAATACCACCTGTATTATATGTTTAATGCTTTCAAAGTTTTGTGTAATTAGGGGACTCGACTCTCGACCTCGAGGTCATGGGTTCGAACACCGATGTAATGGATTACGCTATATACAACTGTTTGTCCATACAGTGGAAGAAACCTACAGGTTGCAACACACAAAATAATGTACTACCTTCATCTTCAACATCATGACGTCTTTTCGTCCCGCTCCCCCTATCTTTATTTCCTTCGCTCTCTTCCACTTCCATATCTCCTTCTCTTTTCCTCTTCACGTCACTACCCTCAGATGTTTCCCCTGACTTTCTTTTTCCTTGAGCGTTGGTCTGCTTTCTTTTGTCTATCTTTCCTTTTTTGTTTTGTGCCTGTTTTCCTTTTTGTTTTTGACCTGTCATTTTTTCTTTCATAGCTTGATAGTTGTCCCGCCATTCTTTTACTTTAGCCTGCAACAATTTCGTCATAGATTGAGTTAAATAAATTTTATTTAAATATTTTTGATATAGACATCAAAAATATTTAAACGTCTATGAAATATTTATTTTCTATACAGACAGACACACTCGCTACCACTATCAGATAGAAGATAGTATATTATATTGTTTTATATTAAATATTACTGTAAATTATTATTATTATTTGGTGATTACGTCAATAGTAATTATTTACTTTTTTACACATATTACCCACACATTGTCTATGCTTGAAAACGAAATGTATTTTTGAGGATTCCTACAAAAAAGTAATACGTTAATGTACTATTGTTTTTTGAGAGCTTTGCTTCGGGGGGAAATCTGCTTACGTAATACTTGAACGGCCCCATAGACGGGACCTAGACACAAATATATTAAATGTTGACACATAATAAACAGCCACTAAAATTGGGTAATAAGGTAACTACTTTTTATATTTAGTGTTTCTTATAAAAAAAGGATTAAATATTCACAGATATTACCTGACACAGCTCAGAGCATTCTAACATAGTCTGTAGCTCGCCAATATCCCTTTCAAAGTCTGTCCACAGACGAACCAGAGTCGGTGGGTAATCTGTGACACTTCGTAACGCTCGCCGATGTAATTCGCGCAACCTTCTCTCGTTGGCCGGTGGCTCTCGGCACTTTTCCAAGTGAATTAACGCTTCCCAATATTTAGATAGGGTTTTATTTTCACCGTACTCTGGAAAAGAAAATACTAGAATCAAATACTTATTGTCATTATCATTCATAACAAATTTTTAAATGTATCGGTAATAATGCTGCTTGCTTATAAGAATTATTTATAGCTCATAACGTTGACTGCATTTTTTATCATTCCAAATAAATTAAAAATCTTATAAAACATTTGACAAAAACAACTTTAAATATGAAAAAGAGTTTTGGTGGAAGCAAAAATGCCTGAAAATTCAATGCATAGAATTCTATTGCAATTCCTTAACCATACTTAAATTAATACAAAATATTATAAATAAATAAAAAGCTGCAAAGACTTGTTAAATAGTGACTTAAGGTCAGTACTCACATACGGTATTACTCGAAGTCGAGTAAAATTCAACGTGTGGACCGGAAAACTCACAGCTCGAAGGCTCGCACCGAGCCTGCTCGATGGAATTAAATGAAAGTAATTTCCTTCGAACCTACTCGAAGCGAGCCGTCAATCTTGACTCGAACGTGTGTACGTGACTGCGAGTGGCGCGAGGCGAGCGTCAGTCTGGTATTGTTTTTCGTGATTGAAACACGTGTTTTTAAGAGAAATGGATTTGCGAGTTTATTTTATTTGTACAATAATCTCCAAAAATTGTGTGACGTAATACTTGAACGCTCCCTTAAGTGGTCTTAATGATAATACTCACTAAATATTTCTTCAAATATCTCCTTCCCTTGCTTTGGGTCTTTCATTCTCTTGTATTCGAGTCTAGCCCAGAACAGTGGTATTTCACAATCATTGGCTTCGTCGCCCCAAGCCTAAAAATATATAAATTTGACTTTGACAATTTACTCTAATAAATAGACAATCACTCTTGATGAAAAGATCATTTTTACGAAACTAAATTAAAAAAGAATATTTAAAGTTCGAATTAAAACACGATGATTATAAGTGGAAAAATTACACAAACACATGAAAATGTTCTTTCAAAAATCTAACCAATTAAACTGTCAATTGTCAGTTTCAACAACCACCTGTCAATATTCGAATTACTTCTACTAATATCACCTCATACCTCAGCCAATGAATCCCAGGCGAGTCGAAACGTGGACCTTAGTCTTTCTACTTCCGGTTCATTATCGAAGGCCGTTTTCCGCCGTGTATATTCGCAGTAACTTAACCATAGGGACTCAGCTTGTTTGTACGAATCCATTCCTTTTGATAAAGCCGTTTCGAATATAGTTTTAACCTAAGAAAATTAATTATATTTATGATGAACAATATAGTTAAGATAAACCAATAATTTTGGTTTTACGGAAGTCGAAAATCGAGTAAAAAGTTATATACATTTTTGATTTTGTCGAACATATATATATGTTTATTGAACGAATATATGAACTTCCTAATCACAATTAACTTACCTCATCAAACTCCTTATTCTCATGTTCAGCCTGCTGCATCTTCAGCACCCAGAAGGTTGATTTCCGAGGACATCTCCGTGTGCACGAGTCTAGCACGCGATGTATCGTATCACGTGACGATGTACGTTGCACGTGACGTGCGTACGCGAGTAACAAATCGTGCGATTGAGACGACGTAAGGCATTCTGTAGTTGCGCGATCGTATAAAACCTAATGAAAAGGATTCGTAATAAGGCTCTTACATTAAATTTTTTATGTGTTAAGTTAAATCAAGCAATATCGACGGCATTACGGCGACGAATATACGGCATATAATCGAAATAGAAATATGTATAATAAGAAAGCTCCCTACAATATCTATATACAAAAGAAAGTCGTGTTAGTTACACTATTTATATAACTTAAGAACGGCTAAACCGAATTGGCTGAAAATTGCTGAGGTTACTTTTGATCCTGTTAGGACGAGAAAAACTAAAAATGTATAACTTAAAATCAGTCTAGCAGCCGCTTAATTTAAAAAAATGGTATAACAAAACGCAACAGACAACTAAACATAATGTTATCTTTAAGCTTATGTCCTTTTGGTTAAGTATGATTGGAAATTTGGCAATGAGAAGAATTGAAGTTGATCGGTTGATGTGTTTATTTCGAGTTTTTATTTTCTTATCATTATCATAATTTATTCTATTATCGTGCCGATATTATAATTAACAATTCCCACGACCAAGACGATCGAATCTTTCCCGACAAAGCCGGAATGCAATAAATGGGTGGACCGATTTTAATGAGTGTTTAAGTGAATTCGAGAATAGTTCCGATTATTTACAATTAGATGTTTTTTTCTTTGTGTTTGAAATTTTGTATTTAAGATGTGTGTACAGGACGTGTGTCGGGTCCGCTAGTTAATAATAAAAGAACACAAATTCTACAATAACATTTTACGGGTAGATTTTAAGAAGTATTTCTTGAAATCTATTTTCGAAAATTAATAGTATATTCCCATTAATTTTTATATAAACATAATATATGTCTTAAAATTTGCAATCAGCTAGCAGTCGAACCGGTTATAATTGTGTCGTGCGCCTCTAAGGGGCCGTCTCCACAAGCGAGAGAATCGCGACGAGTCCGCGTTTTTATCGTCGGGTAATCTCCACGAACGAGCGATTATTCCGCCAGCGTATCGTCGCGATTCGTAACGGAATCACAGCGTATCCGCAACGACTCGTAACGGAATCGCCGCGTTTCTTTGACGACACGTTGTGCTCTTATTTTGTTCAGTGTTCATTTAGAGTACAGTGGTGCAAGACGAGACCGAAATAAGTAGTGCCTAAATCAGTCAATAAAATAATTATTTACTATGGATGTATTGTTTTTATTGATGTATGGTCACGCACGTCGCGCGCTCTCTGCGAGAGCGCCACGTTCTGCGGCGAGTGCGCGACGTGCGCGCCACCAGTAGCGACAGGCTCGCAGCGATGTAATGACGTTTCGCTCGCACTCAACCACCCGTCGCATCGCCGCGTTAAGATCGCCGTGTGGAGACACGTTCTATGATATTGTATAGAAATGCGTGGCAGGACGATTGTATCGTCGCGATTCTCTCGCTTGTGGAGACGGCCCCTAAGGACTCCAATCGAATTTTCTTTCTATGAACGCACATAACAATTGCTCTTTTGATAACGGTCATCAGTGTAAATATAAATTTTTAGTTCTGTTGTATGTGGTTTGGCTTATTGTTATGTGGTATCTGGCAGAATGACCAGCGCTGTGGAACATTCTGCTCACCAGGGCCAATTACAGCCACAGCACACACGCATTACATTCTTGAGACGAACCAAATGGGAGAAGGAAAAAAATTATATATCTCTCATAATATCTTTTTATTTAATTTTTTCTCTTTGATTATTGTTATTTTGTGTGTTTATGTGTGTGTGTTTTTGTTTGTAATAAATGCTATGTATACAATACCAACCTTTAGTATACCGTTACTGTCGCATTCCGAATACTTTTCGTTTTGAGCCAAGTCCTTCACTGTATCTATGTACTCCTGGTACATTTTGTATTTTTCTTCAACATCCCTAGAATTTTTTAAAAGTTTTTATTAGGAATAATATGTTTTATTAAGAAATATCATTTTAATGGTAAATATGAAAGATATAATAAGATAATGTTTTAAACATTTCATTCATATCAAAACTACGTTTTAATAATAACGAGTAGTTTTGATATGCAGAAATGTTTAAAACATACTTGCATGCTGATAAAATAAAAATAATTTGATGATTACCATATAATCTACGAAGCTTCTTTTAGTCTTAATAGGCATATCCCGTTATATATTAATATTAATTCATTCATTATTTCTAAAAACTAAATCAGCATAAATTTCAGGGAGGCCAAGACACTTTTTGGGTCACAGAGTGAGTGTTCAGTTTAATTGTACTCTTGTAACTAAAGTACACATTTGTCACTTTTTGTCAAATGTTTACATTGAATGATAGTGTGTTAAAAAACACTGATTTGATTTTTAAAATAATGGGGTAGGCAACATCTCAAAGCACAATTTTTCTTGCATTTACATAGTAGTAAAAATACATCAACTTACTCAATAACCAATAATTTATCTTCAAATCCACTTATTTTCTGCAAATATTCAACAGCCACTTCGTGGATCTTTTTTATCTGAAATAAAACTATGTTATAAAAATGCAATTAGTAATTAAGGCAAAAGGTAAATCAAAAATTCTACTAAATATACTACAAACAAAAAGATTTAACAATAAGTAAAATAATAATTAAATAACTCTTATTTACAAAACATTTATCATATTATTTATTTATGAATATTACCCTTAGTTTGTGTTATATAGTCTATAATAAGTCATAATGTTAATAGTCTGATGGCATTTATCATGCTGGAATAAAGGAATTCAGTTCATATGTTTTCCTGGCACTTCATTTTGTTAATATAACCTTCTGTCCTGACTTGGTAATGTATTTTGATTTTAACATAAATTCTAATTGACAAAACAATAGTTCAATTAGGTTAGGAAGCACAGACAACTAATCATCAATGATAAAACACAATCAATGGTCACAGTAGATTTTAAGGATATGTATTAGGTACTGTACTGTAAAGTTAAAACTACAGCAATTCATAAGACTACCTATAATATTGAGGAATATAAGTATATGAAGTGATGCTTGTACAACTTATTCCTTATAAAAATTTAAAATCTATAAGAAAATGGCAAAAAGTCCAACAATTGAATCAATTGTGCTTACAAAATAATGGAATAGCCGCAATTAATACGAAAATGTTTATACCTTATCAACATACTCCTGATCATATAATTGTAGTGCTAGTTCTTCCATTGGCTGCCACACTTCCTCTCCTCTGATAAGTGGTCGCGACAATGTCTCTTCCAAGCACCATAGTACACGCTTCTTTTGTGTTTCATACTCTGAATCATCTTCACTGCACACAAACATACACTTTAATCCTCACAAATATATAATATTTTTTTTTACATTAGAGAAGGTTTGAAAATGCAAGTCCTTTGATTGTAACAAATTCACCTTGAAAATGGTCAATCAAGCAAATGAAATATTAAGCCTTTAAATTAAAAGTTAGTTATGATGCCTATTGGCATAGAATGTGATAAAATAATGACATACTTGGTATACTATGAAGCTAGTTACTAAACATGTACTTTAAATTAGCTTACCTCATGGCTTCAAGTTGTGCTTTTTCCATCTCATACCGGGCATCCCAAAAGGCTTTGCCTGAAAGTGGATCAGCACCTGCACGCCGTAACACTTCTTCAAGTTGCCCGCGCACTTCAGTTACGTCATTAATGCTTAATGACCATGAGTACCATTCACTTAAAATAGATATAGCTGTAACAGTTTTAAATATTTTTCTTAATTGTCCTAAAACATGTTCAAACTATCACTTTACTTTAGGAGTGATAAAATCACTTGTATAAATTAGATGACTAATAAACTAAATTTTACAGATCAAATAAACTTTTTCTCCAATACTTAAAACTGTAATTTTTATTATTTGATTATATTGTAAGTGTTGTAATCTAAACTTGTTTCAATGTAGAGTTAATTTGAATGTGACTACTTACAATAACAGTCAAGGGTAGCTAGTTTGAAAAGATTAACTATTTCTGCCTGAGCTTCACTTGTATGGGCTAGTGATTCCTCAGTTTGAATTCTCAGAAGCCAATGTTCTGGTCGAAGCACTAAAGTATTTTGAAGTCTATCAAATGCAGCTCTCCAACGATCTAAGTCTGATAGGCGCCTGTTAATAAATTTGTCAACATTTACTGTCATGAAATTATATTTTCAACAGCATGACTGTATTCAAAAAAATAACTTTTTATAAAAGTATTATCATTTATCATTAAACTGCATACCATAATGCCTGTATTAAACTTATGTGGTCATCATAATTATAATGGTCTTCTTCTATTCTCCTTTCCAATTCATTTACTTTCTCCATTGCATCTTCAACTTCATCATCATCGTCATCCTACAAAAACATGAGTAATGACTGCACTGGACAGTTTGAGAGGTCTCTAAATAAATAACAGTTACAGATATATTAAATTGTTGTTTATCAAACATACTAGATAGACTACCACAAGGCAGATCACCTTTATATAAATTTATTTGAAAGGGTTAGTACGTAGCGATTAGATTCCTACATACATATCTAACAAAGACTGAATCGAATAGGAATTACTCGGGACCGAAATCACTTATTAATAATTTACCAAAGAATTATTTAAATGTATAAAAGGATACTAAGAAAATGCTTACGTCTGAGTCGTCAGAATCTTGGTCACCGTCTTCTTCTTCGACAACCACTTCAATTTCATCATCTCCTTCTGATCCATTACGAACTTCATCTTCTACAATTGCCATATTTCCTAGGAGTTAAATTTTAATGAATGAGCCTGTTATTTTGATAACACACTAAAATTACAAAATGTTTTCGTTATGGCATGCTATGGCGGCGGAAGTGTTACCCACAGATAATACGCACAGATCTAGTGCCGTTATACATTGCACAACGCACAGATATCTAATATCAGAACTAATATAACAATCGAATATCTTGGGGATTTCACGCCAAAATTTAGGAGGAAACCAGATGTTTTTTAAGGGGGTTAAGAACCAGGAGTTTTTTAAGGCGGTGGATTTATTTACAGGGATTTTTAGGGCTAGTTTTTTCAGCCTTTTTTTTTCATACGCAGTTTTCTATTAAGCCTCGAACCTAACCAACAAACTATACTCCATGCGTGCCTTAATCTTAATTTAAAAAATGAAAAGATTAGCATATTATATTTATTAGGTCCTTAATTATTACATGTAAATGTGTAAAATGCACCCACATAGCTCCAACAGCTATTTTATATTACTTGAATGTATTTTAAAACATATTTGATTACCTCTCAAACCGAGTGTATCATAAAATTTTTTGGCGTTTTTAGGGCTATTTAACGTTGGTCCTAAGGGCACATTCTGTAGGAGTTAGCATCACTAAGAAAGTACCTTAGATAAAACACTATACGCTGGAAAGGACCACATACTCATACCGATAAGACTCTTTTGAGGTTTGTATGTTCATTGCCGACCTTTAACGTAATGGTACGCTCTTTGCAGACCCTAAGTCATAACAGTTCGGAAATAACTGAAATGGCAGCTGGTTCCATAAAGTGGTGGTGCGCGGCAAGAAGTGTCTTAACAAGCGCTCTGCCGTGGAACAGCCGAATTTTGGATTCTTTCTTGACGTCCGATGATGACATTTAGCTGCTTAATTCGCTCTGAGTTGGATGCGACAATAGTATCCATGTGGAGTCAGATTTGTGTTTTATAATTTTAAGTGATGGCCCGAAGTACTTCACTTCGGCTACTTTTTTACCTAAACATTTCATCTGGAATGTCCCGACGGAGAAAAATATTATGAGTTTGATGGTTTTGGAACTGTGCCCTTATCCGTCACATTTTTAGCTATAATCCATTTCAGCTGCTCAAATCTGTCATAGATTTAGTTGGACTGGGGTTATGGCAATCGCAGTTCGGACTAAGTCTCAACTCTTATAACCTTACTCCTCAATTGGGCAGACATGTTGATATGGACATGGTATGCTTTCTTGCAGAGCAGCAACAGAGAAGAGCAGCCTTTGTCCTATAATTCCAGCACAAGGGTTGGGCGTAAATAAAATAAACAATTTTCAATATATTTTTACTATAAAAAATATGATTACATACGTAGTTTTACATTATATTTCATTATTAATAATCATTACAATTTTTACTATATTGTTATGTATTGTGACATTAAGATTTCGTTGATATTCATCGATCTAAGAATTTTATAACTTTGGCACCAGTTACGTCTAAGATTTATCTGAACATTCTCTATGTATAAGTCTATAGATCATATTATATATAACAGCATTAACAAACATCAGAGGCTATACCATGGCAACTATTGGCCCTATCAAGGTGTGTATAACAATGCACAAAGTCAAGTATTCAGGCCGTATTCAACAACGTCAATCTCGAAATTCAAGAGCTCTAGTTTTCAAGTGACTCTATTATTTCTCCATGAAATATGACATGTTTGACACCACCCAAGACGAGATGCGACTAAATTACGAATTAGTTAGAATAGGGTCATTTTTCTTAATAAATGATAAACAGAGTCAAGTCCTAAGTTCTATAAATGCACCACATGGAAAACTATTAATAATCCTAAAATATTACTAATGTAGAATACAATTATTATACTATGCCTGCTCTGTGTCACATTATTCGCCAAAAGTTAAGTACCTACTATTAGATCCCCAAAAAAAATTCATTCAGACTTCTCAATTCTCTTTAAGCGTGACACGTTGAACGACACGTACAATTTAGAAATAATTTGGGACAATACACACATTCAGTCAAATAGTTAAAATACAATAAAATAATACTTGAGTAAATCATACTGAGATAGATAGATGGCACTAAAATGAGAATAAAAACATTTCGAGAAAATTCTTCGGAGTCAGATCAAATATTTCCTGTAAAATTAAATCTGTTTTTACATGACATTAAGAAACCAGACGTCCGTCACTAATAAAACCTTAATCTAAAGTATGTAATACACTATTTAATATGTATAAACACAAAGGTGCAATATAATTTCTTATAATTAGGAACCTATTTTTGAGGCTAGAATAGCAAAATTATATGTATGTCAATAAAGTATATAAGGGAGCGTTCAAGTATTACGTAACGAATTTGGGGGGGTTTCCTTTTGTAAAACGTTACGATACGGGGCGGGGATTGAATTACGCGTAATTGTTAATATTATTTTACTTTCCAGTACTTTACACCATATAATGGCAAACCTTTTAGGTATAAAGAGTCACTAGGTGGTCACGAAACGTTTTACTATACATGGGGGGGGTCAATAATCTCCAAAAATTGCATGACGTAATTGAACGCTCCCTTACTTTCCGTAGAAAATTAATTCTTATTCAATTGAATTATGGTTCTTGTTGCATTCTAATATGAAATCATAATTTGTATGAGAAGAAAAAAATCGTATACAATATATTTTTGGCATTCTAACCTCGCTTATCTATAAATCTCTAATATATTTATTGATTTATATTCAAAGTTAAGTGGAGGTTACACAGTACGGAATGGCGCGTAATATTGAATTGACGACGTCACACGAATCAATCAGCCGGACAGCCATACCATTGTCCAACTGGAAATTAAATAGAAGACTTACTTATAAAAATTGTTAGCATCCTTGACAATATGAAAAAAATATTATCGTAACATTAAAGTTAGTCTAAATAAAAATAGTTTCTTTTTGATTCTTATAATTTTGTGTGTTTCGTTAGTAATAAATGTTAGGTCTATGTCTAAATTACCACACTTTGTTTTACCTAATGTAAAGACCAACGTCACATTTCAATTGTGTTTGACAAGCTGTCAAGCTAATTTTCTATTTGATGTTTGACAGTGTCCAATCACAAGTATGACTTTAGATACCCATCAAAATAAGGTCCTAAACTATCAACCGAATTCCAACTGTTCGAAAAAAGCCAGCCGCATTCCATTTTTAACAAAAATTAAACTAGAGAATTTAATGTCTATGGATTCTTTGTTTATGTTTATGGACGATATCTATACCTGTGCGTGGAGCGTGCACTATGCAGTTGTTGTACTGGCAGCTTGCAGTTGCATTTGACGCTGCATTTGATCAAGCATCTCTTGCATTCGACGCAACTCCGCTTCCTAAACAGCCATAAGCCACAAACATGATTTTCGTGTGAATATATTTATATACAAATGACACGGTGTACTGTATGTATATAATGTATGTCTAAAATTTTAATATGTGCACAAGCTCAAATATGCTACAATATTGTTTTATTTGTATGTGCTGTTAGGATGCCATTGAATAATACAAAAAAATATGAAATCAATTAACACCCGCTATTTGAAAGTTTTGTTATCAAATATTTTTTATCAGTTATATATATATAAATTTAATTCTATTTAAAAATTGCTAGAAACAATGAGTGAATAATATTTTAAGTACTAAAATTTGATTTTTTAATTTTTCAGATTCAAGGAAAATACTACTCTTAATAATACTACTTCGAAATCCTTTTGAAAAAATTCAGCACGTTTGAACTTATATATCTAAATCAATCATTAACACGCCTTGAAGGGATAACTTTTTACCTTTTCACGGAGTACTTTGTCGCGTCCAGAACCATCATCAGTTGAACCATTTGCCAAATCGTTTGAGTTGTCGCTAAGTCCACTCTCGGTTGATCTATAATCAGTTATTAGTAAATAACGCTCATATTATAATATGAACCCAAAGGGTTTGGGTTTAATATTTTTATATGTATGCAGACAACAAAGTCAAAACTATATTTCTATTAGTCGCGGACAGAAGACTGGTCCATGCCGTACAAAAGAGACTATCTTCTATATCTCTTTGACAGTTGTCTTTTTGACATAATTTTTTTAGTATTATATGTGTCAATGTATGTATAACTTACGTATGTCTTTTTGGTACTTGTCCGTTCCTGGCCAACCTCTCTGAGCGATAGTTCTCGTAATGAACCTCTTGAGTTACTTCTTGTAAGTCTTGCATATGGGTTCTGTAAATATAAGTATGTATTGGTTTAAAAGCACGAAAACGTCTTTGAAAAAGAAAATCCTCAGTAACAGAATCGAGACAGCACTAAATGCGACAAAAACGTATTTTTTTGCTACTTTCTCACAACAAGGTTTGCATGACAATATTTTATAAAATAAATCAATCAAATTTTTATTTCCACATCTCATAATACTTCTTTATCAACAAGTGAGCAAGTGAATGAGACAGAAGACTGAGAGATTTTCAATATATTAAGAAAATAGTGGATTTAACCACCAAACACCACCACCAACCACCTAAACCCATAATTTTTTTTTATTTGTTCAATTTATTGCAAAAATTTTAAATATTATGTCTTTGTATTGTCACCAGCTTACATAAGCATAGTCCGTAGTTTGATGAAGTCGCAATGTTCCGGGTTCTCGACTTCGACCACGCCCCACGGGTAGAGACGGCCTCTGACACGGCGTCCGCGTACTTCCAGTTGCTGTCCAGCGCCGCATACAGCGAACGGAACAGCCGCTTTAAGCTGACGAACCTACACCCAGTATTAATAAAAATATTATAGAAAAGAAATATTAACATTTAACACTTTTTTTTTTAGTTTTAGTATTTCGTTTACTTAATCAACAAAAAATAATTAATGCATATTGATTGAACTGTGTACACTCATGAATTTTAACATTTAAAGAAAATGGAAGGTCTAAATTTACAATTTACATTTACTGTAAATTAATGAATTATAAGTATTATAATTTATTTATAGTAAATATCTAACTAGCGGACCCGACTGACGTTGTACTGTACACACATCTTAAATACAAAATCTCAAACTTAAAAAAAACTATTAAAAAATATCTTATTGTAAATAATGGTAACTATTTTCGAATCCTCTTATTAACAGTCATTAAAATCGGTCCACCAATTTATCTCATTACGGCTTTGTCGGGAAAGATTCGATCGACTTGGTTGTGGCATTGTTAATGATTATATCGGCATTATAGCGAGAAGAACTGGCAAATAACACTCTATCGCGGTTTTTAATCTAAAGTACTACACATAAATTTAACGTATGTAAACATGAATTTATTATATAATTTACATAACTTTCAAATGCACAAAACGCCGAGTATTGTTAATGACGTAATAAATTGCGTTTATATCTGTCAAAGAAGATATATATTTTATTTAAATTGTTCATTCAAATACACAAAAACTTAAACCTACATCGTCGAGGTACGCACAGCAATAGATATTAGCAGTATTGCGTTTATTATACAGTCGTCTCTCGATCTGACACTCGTTAATGTGAATCTCTCGATAATTTGTAATTTACTTCCAGTCCCTAGAAAAATACTCGATAAATTAAATAAAATCAATTTTAATTGGTCTTCTCGGTAATTTTAAGTTGAAGGAATAGTATCTTGCTTGCCAACATACTATAATATGTCCAGACTATGTATGTATAAGTCCCGGCTCAACATAATTAGAAGTGTTTATTATGTACAATTGTTTTTTTTAAATTCTTTGGACGAAGATAGACTGAAGTCGCTCACTCGAAAAAACGGACTTCTTTTCGAAATAAAAAATTGTGAATTATTGTATTTAATTTTTCTAAATTATTGTAAAATATAATAATAATATATAAATCACGAATTTTGATCAAACTTTTATTCACTTGAATCCCCCTCCCCCTCCTCCTCGTGGTTCTTTAAACGCTTGTACTCATGGTAATTTTAAGTTTATTATGGTTTTGAGTTTTCGAGTTTCAAATTATCGAGTGTCAACTGTATCTGTTTAATATTTTTTAAGTACCTACAAGATTTATTTATGTACCTGCTCTTTGTAATCTTCATCTTCATCGCTATCGCAATCTGGCAAAGGATATATCTTAATACCCTCTCTTTCTATTTCCTCCATCACCTGAAAGAAATATAAAATGTACCCTTTGTGTCTCGACACGCTTAGTATTAAGTCAAACTACCGAAAATTATCATTCTTATAACATATTTTTTCGGTACAATTACGTGTTGATGAAAAAAGGTTTTAGTCAAAGTAAATTTTTTCACCTTATAAAATTTGCTTACAACTAAACAATTCTTGAAATTTCTTTTGAAGCTATTAAAGTACATTATTGACAAACAAAAACAGGTTAATAGATATAATTTTGCTTAACGCAAGAACTAAACCATTTACATAATTATTTTAATTTCTTACATTATTTTCTTACATAATGAGATAATGATGGGATAGGATTTTAATTATTAAAGTCATTGCAGTAACATTTTCCTATAAAAAATATAAAGTCTACTCTCTACATAGTATTCTGTGAATCAATACCATTAATATTAATTAATTTTTACCCTGGACTTAAGCCTCTGAACTTCTTTCTTAGTAAGACAATCTGCCTTTGCAATCACGGGTACAATGTTCACCTTGTTATGCAATTGTTTCATAAATTCAATGTCCAACGGTTTAAGTCTGAAATTAATTAAGGTATGTACAAAACTATGGTACTTTTTACAAACAGTATGTTTTTCCCATTTTATAGAAATTATTTTAATGAGCTTATTAAAAGGCAAAAATCATTTATTCATGTAGGTCACAATGTACACTTATGAACGTCAAAAAAGAAATATACATTAAATGCTTCTAATTTTACTTTATTTTTAAGCATAGTGATTATATTATGACAAATTAATTGCTACAAAGTTTTACAGTTATTATTATTTTTTTTTTTAATTAATATTCCTCATAATTAAAATAATTTTGTTTTTAAAAATTTTATTCAGGTGTTGATCTTATGACCGACCCTTCAATTAACACAAATTATTTTAATTTGATCCATTGAGGTGCATTTTATAATCAATTCAACCTTGACTACCTTTAATTGCAACATTAATTAATTTATACGAGTGATTAAACTACCTTAGTAAACAAAGTAAGACAATATTTAACCAAATAAAATGAGGCCCTAGCCACACCAGACTAAATATATATAATTTATTTTTTAAAATTGATTATAAGAACCATTTGACATACATATCTTGTTACTGTCTAAACAATATACACTAAATTTAAGTCTTAATTATTGAACACTAATATAATATAAATATATGATATCATTACCCATGTCCGAATGGAGATATAAAGTAGAAACAGCAATGAATTCTGTTGTCTACAATGTTACGTCGATTGAGACCGCTCTCATCACGAAGGAACCTCTCAAATTGCTCATCAATGTATTGTATAATTGACTGTAAAGATGCACTTAAATTAGTTTTGTTAAGCAATATACCTAATCAAAATGTTATTTAGAGAATCTTTAATGTAAACATTTTATTTTTATGAAAACTGACAAATTAGCTCCCTCTTTTAAACAAATATCGACATATTTGTGTTATATTATATTATGTATTTTTCTTAAATCACAATAAAAGTATATCTTTTTAAAGTTTGGAAGAAGTTGTGTATGATTTAGGATGTTTTTTTTACATTTTAATTGTTAATTAAAGTTATAATTTATTTAAACATTAAAACAGCATTCTAGCTAATTGTATGTCTAAACCATTCTGGTTTCCACTGGAACACAAAAAAGGTTCATCAAAATAGGTCCTCGAAAAGGAGCATCAAATAGCTGTTTAGGATAAGTTTAATTACAAATAAAACTTACTTTGAAGCAGTCTGTATTATCAATGGCATCTCCATATCCTGGAGTATCAACAACAGTCAATCGCAGTTTCACACCGCGCTCTTCAATCTCAACTGTAGACGCATCTAGTTTTACAGTCTGATTCAATTTCTCTGGAAAGGATATATTTTAAAAATAAAATAATGCTTAATTATTGTTTAAAGATAGGCTGTTTCTGTTCTCAGCTTGAGTAGATTGTATAAACAGAAAAATCATTATAGTAAATATGTTACATGTTTGTTTATGATTAGTTATAATTTTAATCATCAATGTGTATTTTATTTTAAATATCTGTGGACAGTCAGGTAATAATTCTGTTGGATAAAAACATAGTGAAAGGGCAATAGAATAATCTATTATTACATAAAATTCTTTAAAAATCATGCAATGTTTATGTATTGGAATGTTCTTATGCAACAATAATTCTTGTTACAAGTTGATTTAACAGAAAAAACATGTTTTAACTATAGTTACAAACCGATAAACATCTTAACATGCAATTCTACCAATACTTGGATTTTAATCTCATAGCAGTTCATGGATCAAGGTTTTTATTGTATATTTAAGTTCCTATAAACTAATCCTGGCATGACAAGTGTAAAATCTCTGTATCATGTTTGGTATTACACTACTCAGCCTTAAGCTAAAGGTGTGCTAAGCTTTGTAAAACCCTAAGCTAAGCTAATTTATGCAATAGTAGTAGAGGTAAGAAGCTTAGCTATGTAATTTAGTTTACCTTATAAATCATATGTTAAAAGATTTAATATTTTATGAATTTGCTTGTACAGTGGTACCTTGACATATAAGTTTAATTTGTTCTGTAACCTTGCTTGCATATCAAATTGCTTGTATATTAAAGCAATTTTCCCCATTGAAATTAAATAAAATGCCATTTATCTGTTCTAGCACCCAAAATACCACTTCAGTTGTTTTTGTCAAGTGTTTTTAAATAAGACAATGATTTCACGATTTAATTCAATAGACATCATCTTCTTAGGATGCACAGTTATAAAAATATATGTGATAATTTTTTGTAAATGTACAAAAAGCAAAAAACACGAATTTAACGTAACAAAAATGCTTCAAAACCAGGAAAGCAAGGAAACAGACTGCTGTAAGAGAAACTGCTAGTGTAGTGTTAGATTCCTCGGCTCTCATCTCAAAGTAAAATATTGCTTGCTCGCCGGCTTATATCTCAAAACACTTGTATATTGAGGTACCACAATACTTATGTTCATTAGTGAAAAACTAATTGCTGGAACATAAAATAGTGTACTAAATGTAATAACAATTGTCCACAAAATATATTTAAGTCCATAACATCATTAGAAACACTGTTAATGGTATTATTATAAGATATTGTTATTATCATCTATTTGTATTTTAACAATACCATCACTGTTAATTAGTTAACTTAAACAGTTTTTCTGTTATTTAGGGTGAAATTCCAAATTGAGACTTAGTAGTAAATGACTCCAAAAATTATTGGATTTGACAAACAGGAGTCATATTTACCACTAACTATTAACGCTGAATCTCACCCTCAGAGAAAAAGTAAATGCTGTTCACATGCAAAGCCTGTACCTGTAGCATCTGGAATAACTCTCTCAGGATATAGGTCAGTTAAAAACAGAGAGTTCACAAGAGTTGATTTTCCCAACCCACTCTCCCCTACAACCATCAGTGTGAACTCAAAACCTTTTTTTACAGATTTCCGATGGACCTGATTAGGCAAATTGGCAAATCCAACATACCCAGGAGTCTCAAGGTTTGAAAACTGTAAAAATATTAATTGTTAAAAAACTATAAACATAAATAAGCAAATAATAAAGAGAAATAGTGTAAAAAACCAGACGGGGTATAACAGGAAATAATTAAAACTGTAGAGTATATTACCAGGACTGATAAGCCCTTGATACAATGGAATAATTAGTGATAATGGGAGTTAGTGTTTAGTGATTTACTGAGACAATAAAATTATTGTCATACTATAAATATTCAGTTGGTACGCGTAAACATTTGACACACATCCGCTAACTGTATCGAGATCCATTTCACCAGTGGCATGCATATTATAGTTACGTATAGTACTAGTTACTTGGTCAATGAGTATTAAGTAGGTAAGTAGCAAACAACAGTGAGTCATACATATCGATGGATGTTAACAACACTTTTAAATAAAATTATATAAAACCCTAATTTTCTACGTAATATGAACAATGCAGTAACACAATATTGTTATGAAAATAAAAGTTAAAAAACAAAATCACAATGACTTACATTCTTCGCCGTATCACTCGACATATTTAAATAAGTCCACTTCCTTTTTAAATCAATTTGACCTTACGATAAAGTAGCCCGTGAATTAATAAGAATACTTAAATTATTCATATGCTATGCTTTACAAGATTAACAAAACAAGCGGATTCGGCAACCCACAACTACAATCCGCAGCCGATTACAATTCACAACCGATTTACATGGGATGGACGACAGACGAGTGACGACAGCAGTCAGCGTTGAACGGAGTGCGGGCACAGATTTTGTTTCAACTTTGAATATAAATTTTAGTTTTAGTACATCTGTATTTTGTCTGTGGATTAATTAAATCTGTCACTCTATGCATTCGGCCACTAATTTTTTTTTTTTTAATTTATTTATTAGCCGGATACAAAGTCCATTGGCACATTCGGCCACTATTCGACCCAGTGATGCCAGCTTGGGGGTTTTGCTCCCAAAATTAAGGGAATCACAGAAGGGGTTTTTAGGAAGTACATTAATTCAAAAAAAAAAATTTTTTTTTAATTGTCACATTTCTGTCACATACAATTTATATAAAACCACGAACTTAACCAATACTACCAATATACAATCCAAGCGTGGCTATAACTTAAATATCAAAAAGCTATAATCTACTTATGCGCGGCGCCTGTCTATAGGTGGAACAGTACTCCATGTGTAGCTTGCACGTTTGAGACATAAATGCGTGGCGTAATAAAAACCTTTGGTTCGGCAAATAATAAATATTAATGAGTGCTAAAACATTTCAAAAACTTGTGTACATGTTATAAGGGATGTTCTTTTTTCTATGGTTAGTATCTTTAGTTGGTCTGTGATATAGAGTCTGTCTTTAATCTTTACTTTTGCCTTTGATAGTCTGATCTTTCATCTTACATCTTTGTCAAAATATACTTCCTAAGTTGTAAATAAAAAAATAAAAAATATTTTGAATATTCTTATTGAATTCAAGAATTTTAAACGTACTTTTTATTTTTTTAATATTAATGCCTTAACCATGGCTACCTCCAGCGATACTTCTGAACATAATGTTAAATCTAGACGTCCTGCAGGTAGGTAACAAAAATGATAGACACACCTTACCCTTGGCGTTATTGATCAGATTTTTGATAGTTAAACTTCTTTATAGAGTCCGCATTTAAGCAGCAACGTCTACCGGCTTGGCAACCAATTTTAACAGCCGGGACTGTTTTGCCAACTTTCTTTGTTATTGGAATAGCCTTTATCCCAGTGGGAATTGGTTTACTTTACTTTTCTGATGAGGTAAGCTATATAAATAAAGTAATTGCTTTAAATGTTTATATTCAATCTTCAGGCTATTTCTTTCATCTTGTATACTGCTTTGTTGTTTGTTTTACAGGTTGATGATAAACATTAATATTACTGTATCTTTTGAACTATTTTATTATGTTTAGGTTAAAGAACATGTAATTGATTATACATATTGTATGAAAGAAGATGCTGTCAACGAAACCTGCGCTAAATTTATCAAAGACACTAAAATGTTGGAACCGTGTGTATGTCAAATAAATTTTAATCTTACTGAAGATTTTAAGGGAGATGTCTACTTTTATTATGGACTAAGCAACTACTACCAAAACCATAGAAGATATGTCAAATCTCGGTTTGTAAACTTTTCTGTTGTATATTAATGTAGCTGTTCAATGTTACTCATTACTCATGTAGATCATCCACACAAAGTCCCTGCTTACTTTCACAGACAACATAAGTGGAGAACTGGTTATTTCTTCGGAGCAAGTAGTTATAAGTACCTATAGTTATAACTATTTAAATGTAAAGATCTATATGTGGTGGTTAATTTATTATTTATAATTTAAACTATTTTTTTATGGTTTATCTATACTTAACAGAGATGATAGCCAACTTCTGGGCCACCTAGCACTGACACCATCCTCCGACTGTGACCCATTTTCATATGCAGAAGAAGAAGGTAAAATGAAACCGATAGCACCTTGTGGAGCCATAGCAAATTCTTTATTTAATGGTAAGTTGTAAAGCTGTTGCCATCATGGTTTAATGCTGTGTTTTTCCAAAAAGGTCCTGGATTCAATTTCTGGAGAAACAAACTATTTTAGATTGAATAAAGCCATGCACAATGTGAATATTGTATTAACTTTTATGTTATGTTATGTACATATGGTATGATTATCTTATATTTAAAAGTGAAACATGACCAAACAAGTAATATTAGTTTTTTTTGCTCATATTGCTTGCTGTCAAAACATTGTACAGAACTGTAAAAATATGCTAAGTTAGAACAAAGGGTAATTCAATTAGGGTCCATGTAAAATAAGATACAGTATGATTTATTCTCTGGACAAGCATAATATTATCATAATCATTATTCAACACATATATAAACAGCACAGCTGTGATTTACATGACCTCAGATGGGTCAGGTTGAGAGTCGCAAAGTTAAGCCCCTAGGCCAATACTGGCCTTTCATTAAACCAATGTAATTTCAGATAGTCTACGAGTGTATTCGCAGGAGATAAATAAGATGGTTGAAGTGCCAGTCTTAAACACGGGTATAGCATGGACATCAGACAAGGACATCAAGTTCAGAAATCCATCAGGAGATCTTAAAACAGGTACATTTATTACCAACTACATTAAACAAATGCAATTAAAATTAACAACCGCGATTACACATTAAATGAACCTGCATTGACAGACATAAACATTATTACTACCGGTTTCCCCTCGCTGATTGATCACTGTTTTGTTGCAGTGTTGTTTTTAACTATGATATTTAATTAATTTAGTTTTTGTTGTGTAAAATTTGCTGACATTATAATAGATTTTGAGACAGTTAAATGAAACTGCATTTATCACCATACAGGAGGAAGGAAATGTTCATATATAGCTCTTTTTCTAGCTTTCGCCAACTTCACAAAGCCAGTTAATTGGCGGAAACCAGTTTGGATGTTGGATCCCAACAACACAGATAATAATGGATTCCAGGTCGGAACCTTTTTTATTAATAGCATTATGTTAAATATATCATAGTATGGTAAAAACATAAATGTATGTTTGCTTCCAATACCCCATATTATATATATCACTGACAAAAATGGTTTTTAAAAATATTGTAAAATTGTTAATATAAAATAAATCAATCTCATTGCACTTTTAACTAATTTACGTCCTATTCTGTCAAATTGTGTTATCGCTGTTATGAGAAGTGACATAAATGACTAATTCATTAATTTTAAGACTTAATTGGCATTTATAGTATATAGAAAGTACGACAGTTTGTTACGATGGTAATAATGTTATTCCATTTAAAAATGGTAACCATGGTAACATATATACTATTATATATATTATATCCACACTTTATGATAAGGGCGTATATAATAATAATTTATAGACTCCTGATGTTTTGAGAATTTCAGCAGTCTGTGATTTCCTAGTTACTGTATTGCTATATTTAAATATGATTTTTTATTTAAAATGTGCATTCTTATACAAGTTCAAGTAGTGTTATTTGCAATTTCGTTAAATAACAACACGTGGTCAAACCACAAATTAATATAAAAGATATTTGTTTGAGACATTTTGTTAGAGCTTAGTACTACTACTACTAACTAGTAGTAGTAATTGTATTGAGCAGTGTTGGCCTAGTGGCTTCAGCATGCGACTCTCATTCCAGAGATCGTAGGTTCGATCTCCGGCTGTGCACCAATGGACTTTTTTTCTATGTGCGCATTTAACGGTGAAGGAAAACATCGTGAGGAAACCGACATATCTTAGACCCAAAAAGTAGACGGCGTGTGTCAGGCACTGGAGGCTGATCACCTACTTGCCTATTAGATTGAAAAATGTTCATGAAACAGATTCAGAAATCTGAGGCCAAGACCTAAACAGGTTGTAGCGTCACTGAATTATTTTAGTAGTAGTAATTATATGATTGAATATATTATAGAATGAAGACCTTATAGTTTGGATGCGAACCGCGGCCTTACCAACATTCAGAAAACTCTACCGACGCGTTGATCATACTCGGGCTGGCTTTATTATTGGACTGGCTAAAGGACCATATACGCTGCAAATTGATTACAGTAAGGCATTTATTAATCTATAAATTTAATAATATTTTTTAAATAACAATAAACTTTATTCACAAATAAATATGGTTGTGACAAAATTGTTCTGACGCTTTTTGAGTATTAGGTAATACTGTAATAAATGTAAATGTGTAAAACCAAAAACTTGGCGATTAAAAAGAACGGCGTAGAGTTTATGCCAGTTCTTCTTTTCCGTTCTACGTCCTTGATTTGAGAACTTTAAGCATTTAATTTATATTTCTTTTTTTGATGTTCATAAGTTTACAGTGTTACTTATATGAATATACATGTTTAAATTAAAATATTTTTTTAGTTTTTCATAAATTGGGGCTAAAGATCACCTTATCTATAAAAAAAAACCTGACACCAATCTTAGGCCAAGATCAAACGCTGTAATTTTATTAAAAAAACTAAAAAAAAAGATGTTTCACTAAAATGTTTATAATACATTTTCACTTATTAATTTCAGATTATCCAGTAACAGATTTCGATGGAACAAAAACATTTATAATATCGACGACCTCGCTCCTCGGTGGCAAGAATCCTTTCCTTGGGGTCGCGTATGTTGTGGTCGGCTCTTTGTGTCTCCTGCTGGGAATTGTTCTGTTGGTTATTCACGTTCGCTGTTCTAAGAGGTAAGTTAATACAATGTTATGTGTTGTGAAATTACTAAAATTTCGCTAAATTCTTAGGATTTATAATTATATTTCTACAGTTAAAATATAATTATATTTCAGCCTTTAATGTTGCTTAACTTCAGGCTCAATATGAAGAGAGTATTTCTAACGCAATATAATATTTAGTCTAAACTTAATAACTTAGAAAGCAGTGTTGGCCTAGTGGCTTTGGGATGCGGCTCTCATCCCTGAGGTCGTAGGTTCGTGAACCAATAAACTTTCTGTCTATCTAAAACTCGCTTGTGAAGGGAAACATCGTGTGACAGAAGGGTGATCACCTACTTGTGTATGAAATAAAAATAAACAAACCAACGCAATCTTTAATTGGATCATTATTACAATAACCATTGGCAAACGTTTCTTGTTGAAGGCCTTCACAATATCTAAATACATTATTAAATATATAAAATAATTATTAACGATTGTAAATAAACGAAAATATCTTTTTTGGCTTAGCTCTTTTTAACTTAAATTCTGTGGAATAAACACTAAAATAAATAAAATGAATAATACAATTATACTGAGTTTGAAGCGAAATTTGGACTGGAAATATCGATTCGTTTTCGCTAAAACATTTATTTAGCTATATCGCAGAGAACTAGAATTACTTGAAGTCTTAATTGATAAGATTTAATTAATTTTAAATTTACGATATATGTATGTTAAAAAATGAAGACTTTCTAGTTTGGAGCTTAAAATTCTATTTTATTTGCATTTTCATTTCAACATGTTCGATGACGCTCACTTTTTGACAAAAATTCCGACCTTTATTTTTAGACTTAGACTAACTCTTTAAACATTCACCTTATATGAAGAGTTCCGTGTATTTCGGTTACGAAGTTTATTCTCTGATTGGTTAATGATTGAATTAAAGAACGTAATGAATCTAAATTAATTACTCTGAGTACTACTACACTTCCAGTTTGGTGATGTAAAATTCGTTATTAATACGCAAAATGCAACAAAACAAAATTCACATGCCCCCAAAAGTAGGGATTGAGGGAGCAGGGGAGTCCCACATGACTGGACCCACACCAAAATCTCTGCTATTCAGAGGCTGAGTAGACAAAACCACCACGGGTGGTTTCTAATAGGCCGCGTTAGGCTCCGGGGTCGTTGTCGTTATACCGGAGCCACGCCCAACGATCTGGGGAATAATTTATTTTGAATATGTGTAATCATAACAGATACCCTACATCATTTTCACAAACTTACTATGTGGAAGCTGGACCGTCTTTGCAAAATCCAGGTCTGGCGTCGTAAGTAATTCTATTATAGAGGAATTTGAGTAAAAAAAAAAGGGTGCGTGTACTTATGTACGCGCGTAAGAAGTTATACTTCTTTGGCATTATTAAAAATAGCATGATTGTATCCAAATAATTAATTACAATTAAATAATCAAAGACTGGAAAAGAAGTCATTATAGTCAATAAAGTTCAGTTTACATTTGAAAAATTAAATAAATAAATATTTATTATTATTCTCTTACATAAATTCTATTATTATTCGAATGTTGTTTTTAAATTATGTCCAATGCCGTAGCATCTTCCGTGGGCAACTGCATTCTGTTAATTTTGTGTCACGGTGCGCGCGCATCGTAAAATTTCACTTTCATAAATTTTTCATAACGCTTCTAAAGAAGTATAACTTCAAAAAATATTTGTAGGAGGTAGAATTATCAAATAAATATTTGAAGTATTGCAAGACCGATAATGATAATAGTTAATTTAATTAGATGTTATTTTTGATTAACGCGAGTATATCCATTTCAAACTACTTAGCTTGTTTCACGGATATGTCAAAGCGAACTACGGGTGAGATATTTAAATAATATTACGTTTATTTGTTAAAAAGGTTTTGTCAAATTTAAAACTCAAAAATTAACTCCCTCATTAATAATAAATTGTGCGTGTACTAGGTGTACACACGTAAGAAGTGAAACTTCTTTATGATCTTATTTTTCGAAAAATGATCAACTATATGCAACTTTACAGAAATTCGTTAAATTAGATAAAGTTTAACAAAATGGCTTCTATTATCATAGACATGAATACAAATATTTCATTTTACCTTATTACTACGAAGATTATTATAGAATTTCATTAATTGTAATAGAATTATTACTATCATTGAAAAACGTGACGATTTGCTACAAAATTTCTCCCATACGTCGATAAAGAAGTTTCATTCCAACGCCGATAAAGAAGTTTGACTTCAAAAAGCAACATGGCGCGTAACCGAAAAATGTGACGCGTAACGAAAAAATGTTACACTAAATTTTTTTCCAACCTCGATAAAGAAGTTTCACTTCAATAATTTACTACAATTGCACCATTTTAACGAAGGTACTCTGTCTCACTATCTATCTTTTATAATCTCAACGTAAATACACTTTGACTAAACTATCCTCAAGAGTGAAATAAGACATAGTTTTTATGAATAACGAGGCTTGCGGCTTGGATATGCTCGCGTGTTCCATGGAACTCTTTATTCCCAGTGACTATACCTAAAAGTTACCATTATGTAGTGTTAAGTACTGGAAAGTCGAAAATAATATTAACGATAACGCGTAATGCAATCCCCAGCATCGTAACGTTTTACAAAAGGAACCCCCTTAAAATTCGTTACATAATACTTGAACGCGCTTAGATGTATTTTAGCTTATATAGATATAATTAAGTAAAGTTAACGTAATATTTATTAGTATGAATTCATAACGATTTACGCAAGGCAGTATCTTGCAGTTATTTTACTTAAAGTTATTAATAAATTTTATACACTAGTTACATTCATAGTAGCTTTAATTACTTAATACCATTTGATTTGTTCACTTTTAACATCACTTCCATATTCGTTCCATTTTTACCAATAAAATTATTTATAATATTTATCAGTTTAATTTTTTTTCAGTACCACGGAGATGATCAACGTAAACCCAAGAACACCTTACTCTTAATTTAATACAGTATGCAATAAACAGTTAAAATGTATACTTTTTATTAAAATTATAGAGCATTAGAGACTTGAAAATGGAATTTATTACAGCTTAAATGTATTACTGTTCAAGTCCTAGAGGTTAGCGGTCATATTATTTACTATCATTGTAGCTCTATATATTATCATGTATCTTTTATACTAGACATACCATATATACCATACGCCATACCTTTCGAAAACTACATCGTTGTCGTCGAGTGGGTTGCAAATTATGGTACTCATTTCTATCTTGATGAGCCTATTAAAAATTCCGACGACAAAATTTGTGAATTAATTGTCTTGTCAACAAAAAGTTTTTATCTCAAAGCTCGCAATGATACTGGCATAAAAAAAAGAACTAAAGAAAATTATTGCGTTATTTTTGATTAATTCATTTTTATATTACTTGTCATGCACTATGCATAAGAAAGTGCGGTTCCAAAATATAATAAACTTCCTTTGGTGGAATTGATCGCTTTCTCCCCTTGTACCATGAATTATTTTTGATAGAACAATGAAAACATCGTGAATTTTATTCCTACAAATGACTTCACTAAGTAAATAGGAAAGGTCTACTGTTTTGCTGTTTAGAGATATTAAACTAACTTGATATATTTATTGTCAAAGATTATTCTTACATATATTGGCACAGTAGATTCACCTTAGTACTAGTGCAATGTACAACATTAAGCTAAATAAAAAAAATATTCACTATTTGCTTCATTCACATTGTTTTAGCTCCCTCTATGTAAGAATCCTAAAAATTAAAGATTATGTAATAAATGCACCTCTCAGATATTATCTCATATTACATTTTTAGTAATTTAGTCAAAATCTGGACATCTCAAGGTGTCGGTTTTGTGTTAGTACCACGATGTCATTCTAAAATGCTAATGTTTCCCTATATTTCCCGTCTGGTCGTTGTCCCTCAAAGCCAAAAGGTAACACGAAATTAAATCGTTATTTTTTTAGGGGTTTAAAATATTAGCCTTTAGCTTATCGGCTTGAGACACGTCATACTTTAATCAGTTTATGATACGAATATAGGACAGTTAAATATCTGCTTCAATTGACCAAATAAGACATTTTAATCCAAATTGGCAGATTATTGGATCGGAAAGAGAAAATAATATACTCGCATTTAAACTCGTTTAATAATGTTGACTTAAACTGTCTAAATCAATGAAAACCCTTAAGGCTATGTTCAGATGGCAAAAACTTGACGCGCGTTTTCAAATCGCGCGACTAGAGATTATGGTATTTTTCATACAACTGTTCACATGTACGCGCGTTAACGCGCGTCAACGCGGCGCTCAGAGAAAAAGTCTCTAGACGCAGGTGATCGCGCGTTGACGCGCGCTTTGATATTAATGTAATGTCCGTTTGCTGTTCAGATGAGCGCGCGCTTTCATCGCGATCGCATGTAATTTTATTAATTTTCGTAATTATATTTTGTTCTCGCTTTTAAAATGAGTGAAATTGAAGATATTGACATCGACTTACTAATCGATGAAGTAGAAAAAAGGTCAGCAAGTTGGAATATAGCAAATTTGTATAAAAAATATAATATAAATTGTATTTTTTTTTCAAAATTGGATAAACCCAATGTGTACGTTTTCTTTTTCTATATTTTTCTTTATAATATAACCACAAAATAATAGCCTCTTCCACGTCCATTTTCTACGTTCTACCGAACTAGACTGACGAGTACTCTCGCAACGCGCGTTAGCGCTCATCATCTGAACGCTCTTCAAATTTGATCGCGCGTTGACGCGCGTTAACGCGCGTTACATGTGAACATAGCCTAATATAGGTATACAGGCAGTCCTCGACTTACGTCGTTTCGATTTACGTCGTTTCAAGTTACGTCGAACAAGGTTTTGACACTATTCCTCAAGCATACGTCATTTGTTTCGATTTCCGGCATAGGAGAATTCACTTGTCTTGTGCAAATTTGGAGAATGCCATGAAATTTTTTGAAGAAAATGATCCTAATTTTGAGAGAAGTTTCAACGTTAATAACATAATTTGTGCAGCCTATCAATGTTACCAAGATCTGTATGATAGATAGCAAGAAGAAAGAAACAATCTAGAATTGATAGTTTCTTTAAGCCAAAAGTTTAATTTATTATTTTACATTACATATTTTGATTACATTAAAGTTTTATAATTATAATTAAAATTAATAACACACAAATACCAAAAATAACTAGCAAATTTATAAATGCATATGTAATTATTTTAAGAACTTACTTTTGATAATAAAGTATGTAAAGTAAATATATTCTAATACACATTTATGATATTTATTCTAATACACATTTATGATATTTATTATAAGTACATATGATTTATTTTGTTTATGTAGTTTTATTACATCTATGTATTGTGGCTACGCCACATATCCTTTGTTATATATGCAGTTTTTTTTTAATTTCGAGTCCGTGTGGATCCTAACCCTTGAGTTTTACATGTAAACATACGAAAAATATGTCTCGACTTACGTCGTTTCTATTTACGTCGCGTATTTCGAGAACCTAACATGCCGTAAGTACGAGGACTGCCTGTATTTTTGTTTTAGATATGGATCTGTCTGAAAATAATCAGTGTTAATAGGCGATAATATGACATGTAAAATAACTCAGAATAACGGTGATTATTAATATTAACATGATAATTAATTACTAGCTCTTACGGTTTTAAGTCTATGTTGCCTTCAATAGTATTCATAAATGAATTATTTATTAAAATTTATGTTATTTAAGTTTTCGAACTGTTACGGAAATGTTTTTATTCTAAAACTGTTACGATTTCATTTGTTTTGTTATTAATTTTTATTATTAGCTTAAGTTTCTGTATTACGTTTCAGTTGTTTCTCTGGAGTCGAACTCAGGATTGTCTATTAATTGTGATTACTCTATTATATTGTTTCTGGTTTAATGTTCTTTGCTGAATAGTATGAACATATCTAAAACATGCTTTTAAATTGTTTTGGTAGTTACCACATTCAATTAATTCCCTTATAAAGTGACTGAAATGTTCTTTCAACTAAATTATGTACTTATCATGCGTTGGTGACGCGGGCTACTTTAGTTGATGTAAAATAATTTATGTTTACTATGAAATGAACATTAAATATTAAATAACGAAAATATCGGTATGCGGCGTTTGGGTACTCGCGAATATTTAAACTAAATATACCTAACTAAAGCTACATGATATTTTTGTGCATTTAAAAACACGCCTTAACCCAATCCAATAAGGACACAAATGCATTATCAACAATCGATGTTTAAAACATTATTACAAACATTCTTAGCGATATTTCTTTTAATGGGTCGAATATGAAACAAAGTGCCTTATATTTAGCTAAGCATAAAAACATTATTCAAAAGTTTTAGGTTATTTTTGAATTTAGTATTGTCTTTGATTTACATAACCTTTACACGTTTAAAGAACAAACTGTTTAACCGGATTGAAGTTATGTGGTAGCTTTACAGCGTGCGTGGTCACGGTGACCACGCACGCTGTAAAGCACGCGAAACGTCGGATAAATTTAAAATTATGTTAAATAGTTGTAAATTTATAATAATACATAACTTCAATCCGGTTAAACAGTTTTTTCTTTATTTTTGAATTGTTTGATAAATAGTGAGAAACAGAAACGTGTCGCAAATTTGTCACTGTCGAAATACTTAAGAACAAATTGGGTTGACTGATAGACATGGTAGACACAAGAATATTTCTGCCATGTTGCCATATTGGGGGGAAAGGGGCCGTTCAAGTATTACGTAAATAATATAGGCTTCTTTGCTTTTATTTATTATTTCAGTATTTATTTAATTTTTTATACATATTACCCACTTAAATCGGCTTACGTAATACTTGAACGGCCCCAAACGGGAGTTACATACCTAAGTACTAATCTTAATATATATATTTCTTCTGTGCGTGTGTATGTGACTGAACTCCTCTCAAACGACTGGACCGATTTTGATGAAATTTTTTGTGTGTGTTCAAGGGGATCTGGGAATGGTTTAGATTCACAAATCAGCCCGGCAGATGGCACTGCAGTCGGTACTTTCATACTTTGCTTAATATCCTAATCGCTTTAAATATCATGCAGGACAACGTCTGTGGGGACCCCACAGACGTTGTCCTGCATGTACTAGTAGCTTATAAAAACTTACTACCCGCCCGTCTTTACTTTGACTATGTTTTTTCTATGAACATTCTCTTGATGATTTACTACTATAGAATTTTATCACAAGTATTAATGTAATCTTTTGCACGCCTTTTAATATTTCATAAAGTTGCGTTGATCGATGTTTAGATAAGAATGTTATCTTCATTTGTTTGTTGGCAGAATGTAACATTCCAATTTGTTCATTTATTTTTTAACAGTCATTCTTTGTGTAATTGTGATTAGAACTTTAATAAATGTATTAGAACTACTATTGTTTTTTTTAACAACCATATAGGGGTTTTAGATAAGAGCCATCTAGTAACGACATATGACAAAAATTATCATGTACGTTACATGAAACATTATGGTTTTTGTCCTGTAAGACATTTAGGACTACACGAATAAGGTTTTCGATACCAATTCGACTACACCAAATCCCTAATAATACCGGTCACCTACTCGACCGCGGGTTCACGGACCCAGTTCTACTTTAGTTCTCATCGGCTCTACGAATGTCTCCATTACGAGTAAAGTGACATGGTATTGAAATGGATGTGTCTACGTAACATCAATAAAACTTAGGGCGATAGAATAACATTTTCTTAGAAAACTGATTGTGTATGTAGGCATTTTATTGTATTCAAACGACATGCTTTCCTATTGTGAACTTTTTGTTTATATTAATGATTGATGATGATTTCTATATTTAATTGTGTTTTTTAAGACCAATTGTAAAATCCAATACAGAGGGTATTGGATATTACAATAATTATTGTGAAATTGGAATGTTCATGCAACACACGTCAAACAAAGTTTGCGGTCTCGGCTCATTAAAGATGGTAAATTATCTTTGATAACACTGATTTACAGCTTAAGATATATAATTGACGTAGTTAATTTCACTTCTGCAAAACCATACAATAACAGTATGATAAAATTTCGTAGTTATAGTTATGTAACTTACGTAGATAAATTTTCTCGGCGTGTATCAGTTTTCAAGATGATGTTTCAATGTATTTACTTTATTTCCTTACATAACCTGGATACAACTTGGTGTGGGTAGAGAGAATTTGTCAAAAATATTAATATTATTTAATTATTCTCTAAATATTACAAAGTATGTAAGGCTAATGAAAAATGCTCTCTTTGGTCTTTGATTTGGCGATTACGTCAACAGTAATTATTTCCTTTTTTACACATATTACCCGCACATTGTCTATGCTTGAAAACGAAATGGATTCCTACAAAAATGAATACGTTTATGTACTATTATTTTTGAGAGAGACAAGAGAAGAGGGGGGGATAAATTGCAGTAAATCTGCTTACGTAATACTTGAACAGCCCCCTACATCTCGCTGAGAGAGCATCACTTGACTTGAGCATTGGTTGCATCCAGCATAATTCTACAGTTCTAGATTATAATTATCTAGTAATCATATTTCTGTAATAATGTGGTAATAATTTATTTCCCAAAAAATTAAACTCTATCTTCATAGTTGCTTTTTAGGATTACCTAAAACGACATATTCCTTTAGTTCTATAGCTAATATGACGGGTTTACATTGTATTATCAAGAGTTAAGTCTATAATACAACTACCTTTTTAAATCAATGCCACTATTACACAAGCATGGGAATTGTATAGCTACAATCGAGTCTGACGTATCGATGTAGAATTTTTAAGTCCAGAATTAATTGTTATAAAAAGAAAAATCATATTTATTATTAAAGCTTAAAATAAAATATGTTTATCATGGAACATAAGATACATGTATCACTTATTCCACGTCATTAAATTTGAATTTATAGGCATCCCTACTCATCGGCAAAGAAGACAGAGGGTGTAGGCCGAGAGAAAAAGCCGGCGTAAAAAACTCTCGGTACTCTTTTAAAATAGCAAATCATCAAACAACCCTTATTTTAAAACAAATACCGCAAATTAATTAGAAGTAGCCTGTCTAGCACTAGTCCCAGGCCCTTTTATGAACTAGATAATCACATCACTCCATGCACATCATCACTTAAATCTAAATAGGCCCAATTCACAACGACTTTAAGTTGCAGTTTAAGGCACCAACTACACTGATTTTCAGCGACCTACACTACCTTGAAGTGTAGTATAGGTATCTTCTAAAATTGAGAAGAATAATTGAAGTCTTGACTTGATCTTGATCAAGGCAGATCTAGGTCTCAGTCACTAATTTTCATTTAATACTGATAGACAAGAGACGAGAGCAATTGATGCTCTAAGCCACGCAAAAAAATTAAAGTGGAAGTGGGCGGGTCATGTAGCGCGCCTCACAGATCATAGGTGGACGAAAACAGTAACTACATGGAGTGGCCCACCAGGCAAACGACACAGAGGCAGACTCTACGCTCGATGGGATGATGACATCAAAAAAATCGCGGGTCCTCACTGAGTCCAAATAGCTCGGGATAGAGAAAGATGGCAAGCCTTGGAGGAGGCCTTTACCGGAGAGGGTTCCTGATACTTACTAACTGTAAAAGGTATTCACTAACACATGAGATAATTAGATATTTTTGTATTAGGAAATAAGATAAGGCTTAAAATAAATAAAATAAAACTGATAAAATAATAAAGTCTACCCCACTAATTCATCGTAAGTTTTTCTTAAATTTTACTTGAAACGTAAAGCACGAATAGATTTAACATAGTTTAGGTGAAGCCAACATTCAATCCGCAGTTAGTGAAAACAATATATGCCTGAAGTATAGGTATCTAATATAAGAAACAAATAAATAATCGTAATATAATAAGGAAAAATAAATATAGTTTAAAAAAACTATACAACACGCTTTTAAAGCACATCAAACTAAAAAGTGAAGCGTGTTTTATAGTTTTTTTAAACTATATTTATTTTCCACTTTTTAGTCCTAGCAGCAATACGTGTTGTCTCAATTTAATCGTATTGCTTTGTGGACTTAAAAAAAATTTCATTGTTTTTTCACTTATAAAAAATTATCGGGTATTTCCCTCAAGGTTCCCTGCAAACAAATAAAGTCGTCAAGTTTTTCCTGAAAACTTGTTTGAACCTGAAAAACTTGACTCCTTCATTTGTTTGCAATGAACCTATCGGGAAATACCCGATAATTTTAAAGCTCTTGTGGTATTCGGGGGATTATTTTTCCGACCCAAATGTCGGCCAATAGAATTGCACCATGAGACGAAATGTACAGTTAACAAATAAGAATTTCATAATGAATAAAACAACTACTTAATACTTTTCTTGAAGCAACTACCAGAGAAAATTTTCAAAAAATTATCAGTATAATACCATGTAGGTTGTACCACGTGACGTCGAATGGTGCAATTCTTTTGGTCGATATTTGGGTCGGAAAAATAATCGAGATAAACCTATGAAATTATTATATTGTCGCGGATTCTTTATAAGTGTACAAAGTTTGAATTAAATCTGTCCGTTCAAAGTGGGTCAAAATCGAGTCCGAAGGAGTCTGTTACATATATACATACATACAGGTGAAGCTAATATAAAGCGTGTAAAAAAGCTACAGCTACAGACATCACAGGAGACCGAAGAGCTGGCAGCTACGTCGGACAAAGAATTATTAGTCAAGGTATTTAAAGGGGGAATGTTGCCATTATCTTCGGGCCCTTGCCTAAAGGGACTCCTTATAATAATATATTTTAGGAGTGAGAGAGTGACGTGTCGATGTGTGATTGGTAAATCAGGTAACGTTTAAGTCCCGCGCTGCGGAAACTTTCCCCCACTCCCTTGTTTAATGCTCAAGAAGTTTGCCGGTATCTGTATTATATTTTGTAAGGTAGTTTTAGATTAAAATAATGCTATTTTTACGTTTCTCTATTTAAGAAATATGTCATGAGCAGGTAACGTAATTATTATTTTTAAAATTTGGAGCTGACAATTTATCTGATTAAATTTATTAGGTTACGAAGATACGATAACATTAATAAAAACGACAGTAAAGAGCCATAAATCGATATGTTAATCTTGCTATTGGAATTATAAGTAATCAACCATTTTTAAGAAGTTGGTACTATGGGCTGCTGGGCTGTGCTGTTTTTAGTGGTAGTACCAGTCTTTGGACAAAATGAGTTGTTTAAACTAAATATCATTCATTACAATGATTTTCACGCTCAGTAAGTATATTTTTTATATGTATTATAATCATTATTATTTTCAACTATAGAATAAACAATTACTTAATATCATTACAACCTATATTCTCTCCATATACGCTAATCTGTACATTTAAAAGGGGGTTAAAAGTGTAAATATTTTAAAATCAATGTGTACGTTGTTCGGAAAAAAAAAACAAGATCGCTTGTTTTCATTTATTTTCTTAGTTTCGTGAGGAAACGAATTCGGTTCAAAGATACTTTATTTAAAATTTAGGGTAAGTAGTTATGTACATCGTATTATGAAATTATTTAAAAATAAACTATATAAAATAAATTCTAGCAATAGGTATGTACAATATTTTTTACAAAAGTGCAGGTAGGTCGCTTCGATGTTACAACAGGCATATGTGACTAATGAATAGTAAAAATTTCTTAGACGCTCGTTCATTAATCCAAATATATCAAATATAGGTTGTTCGTTATTCGTTTTTAGGCCCATATTTTAAAATAAAACACAGTCTAAACTGACTAACATCAGAAAATGCCCTTAAGGTTTTGACTAAATTTGAGTTCAAACAACTAAGTGGTCGTAAAGCAATCTTTATTGGTAAACTCAAACTCAAAATAACTTTATTCATATAGGTAACCAAGTACACTTATGAACGTCAACAGAAAAGATAAATTGATTCTAAATTTACATTTAGTACGCAAGTTAAGGGCGTAGAGCGGGCAAGAAGAACTGGCATGAAATTCTCCGTCACTCTTAATCGCCACATTTTGAGTCATACAAATTGTTTGAACTGGACCAAATCAATCCCAAGGATTAGGATCTTTTAAATAATCGTGAAATTTATAAAAAGCTTTATTGATTAATTTACGTTTAAAGAGAGTTTTGATTTTAATCAGTGATAATTCTCTAATTTTGGGAGTTTGTTGTAAAAACGAATACAATTTCCATATAAGGAGTTGTTTATCATCTGGAGCCTGGTTGGTCGGTTAGATTAGTTCTGTTTTAGAGTAATGTACTGGTAAAAGTCACCATTTGTTTTAAAATCGTTTATATTTTTGTACATACAACAGGGCTTCAAGAGTATATGGGTTTAAATGTTGTTTCCAGCTTTGATGAAATATCCCAATCAGGTGGAACTTGCGATGCCGCAGCACCATGCTTGGGCGGGATTTCTCGACTTGCCACAGCTATAAAGCAAGCTCTGGAAGATGAACCTGACTCTCTGGTTCTTAATGGAGGAGACACCTTCCAAGGGACCGTATGGTACAATATTATGAGATGGAACGCTTCTCAACACTTCATGAATTTACTACCTAAACATGATGCACATGTGAGTTCATTGCATTTTTGCACGTTTTTGTTTAGAAACTCCAAAATCGAGTAAACAAAAATGTGGTCGAAAAAATTTTCAACTTTTTGATGGTGTTTTCACGACCTAATGTCATTTAGGAGATTTTATGTCATTTATGAGTAGTTGATGTTGTGAACCTTTTTACCCCGATATGTAACCTTTAAAAGTGACGTTGGACCCTAAATAAAATACATTGGTAAAAGAAAAAATAGTTGAAAAGTAGTAGAAGTTTAAAAAAAATATGTTAACGGTCTCCGAGATGGAGGTTTCGGTGGTTGTTCGACCAAGTTTTGACGAATACCCTGGACAATTGATAAATAAAAAATAGCCGAAAAAAGATGGCTGCGTTTGGACTTGGTCTCCAATTTTTTTACAACACGATTTGCCTTGTAAAAACGGTAGACGTTAGAATCTCTGTTGGGATGGTATGTTGAGATATATAAGTTTTGTAACAAATCAGCGTATGTTTGAATCAGTACAAAATAACGATAACACTTTTGTAACAGAATCTGTCGCACAACACATTCTTTTCGGTATTCTAGCACTCTCTAGCAATCTCCTCTAATATTTTTGATCCATCAAACTAGACGGGCACAAATTTCCAGGTTCTAGGTAATCACGAATTCGACCACGGCATAGAAGGATTGCTGCCATATTTGGAGCGTTTAGAATCAGATATGTTGGGCGCCAACGTTAACACAACGCTGGAGCCAGAGTTGGGGCAATATGTGAAGAACTATGTCATCGTAGAAAGAAATAATCGCAAAATTGGTATCATCGGTGTTTTATTGACTGCTGTAAGTTAAAGAATTAGTCTATTGTAATAAGATATTACTGTCTATGTGCTGGTACTGTGTGAATGATAAGGGATAGCTAATTTTGGATTTAACGGTGTGAAAATTTTTGTCCCATACAATTGTGTAATAATATAAAAATATTACGAAATATTTTATTTTTTCGATTATCACTGGTATCTCGAACCCCAGCTGTGTGCAACACTTGCACTTAGGGACTGTTAAAGTATAACGTAAGCAGATTAACTTACTATTTAACCCCCCCATCCTCTTTTCAGCAAAAGTAAGGAAAGCACTCAAAAAAACGTATTAATTTTTTGTAGGAATCCTCCAAAATGCATTTCGTTTTCAATCATAGGCAATGTGTGGGTAATATGACGTAAAAAAGTTAATAATTACTGATGACGTAATCACCAAATAAGAAAATCAAAGACCCCCCTCCCCCCTATAATGCTTACGTAATATTAATTTAACAGCCCCTTACGGCACAGAATCTTTTTGTCTCTGACTGGGTCTAAGACTGCGGTTTCCTTACAATGTTTACCTTGACCGTAGGAGGAAGTGTTTTTTGGTCACATAGGAAGAAAAACTATTGAACGCATGACTAAAGAGAGAATCGCACAGTCAAGTGCAGAATACGAAATTCCACCCGTATCACATCGGCGTCCGCCGTTCCAACACAGCGTTTTTCAAGGCAGTTTTTGCCGCGCACTACCACTATGTGGAACCAGCTGCCCACTGAAGTATTTCCGAACCAATTCGACTTAGGGTCCTTCGAGAAAAGAGCGTACCAATTCTTAAAAGACCGGCAACTCGCGAGCCCTCTGGCATTGATAGATTTATATCTTTACAGTTTACAGCTGATACTGGTAGGGTGGTAGTAGAAGATGAACTAGAAGCGATAAACCGAGAAGCGGCGATTCTGGCGGAGCAAAATGTTGATATTATTATTGTTCTTTCTCATATGGGATATTCCATGGATCAGTAAGTTTTTTTCTTAGTATAACGAAACGTATTAATCGCAAAATTATCTAATCTTAATCATTATTTCGTGCGTATCAACGCAATGATGCTTTCAAAATAATTACTTGATAATATTATGTATTAAAATATATATTCTGCCGATAATTATCTTGAAGGCCTAGTGGAGGTCCGTAGGAGTATGAGGAGTAGGAGGAGGTTTCGGAGGTTCTATAAAGGGACCGTAATTAAAAATAAATCAGATTCAATTTTTCGGTAGATCACGAAGTTCAGTTAATGTTCTCCGACTCAGTAGATTGTTTATTTCCTGGATAAAAATTTCACTGCCAAGTCGGAGATTGATGTTAGGTCCTCTGGTTTGGGTCTCCTCAGGGCCCTTTGTAGAGGCGTTAGCGGGCTTATACATTTGTTTGCATTAAATTTATTATTATGCTAGCCAAGTTATCTGTTTAAAAAAGAGTAAAACGTATATAATGTATATAGTAAATGAATCTTTAACTCGTTTCTTCTAGGGAACTAGCGGCTAAGATGTCACCAGAAGTGGATATAATAGTGGGAGCTCATAGTCACACACTTTTATTTACCGGTGACGCTCCCTTTGGTACACCTGGCGGAGATTATCCTACTGTCGTCACGCAGGATGCCGGACATCAGGTATAGAAGTATCTAATTTTGAAAAATATATTATAATATTGATATTATTCTATTTAATTAGTCTTATTTATTGTTGTGAAAATATTGAAATAATGGTTAAGCGTGCTACTATCGCGAAATCGTGTTTGTGAATCTAGGCTGTCCACCAAATACCAATGAAAGGAATGCTCATAGAAATGTGCGCATTCAACACTTGCTCACAGAAGCAGGAAGCCATCATGTTCACCAGCATGTCTTAGACCCAAAACTCGACAACAAGGCATCAGCCGTTAGGCCTAGTTATTTAAATTTAAAATCCTGTTACGGACATGAAATAAAAACATCATATTTTAAAGAAATCAGTCATTATATTTTTTTTCCAACTTGAAAAAAATAATTGGATGATAAAGAACCACGATATTAAAAATATGTATAGATAGATAAAGATATTGTGTTGCAGATACTAATAGTGCAAGCGTCTGCCTATACGCGCTACTTGGGTGACATAACGCTTTTCTTCAATGATGAAGGAAAAATTGTCTCTTGGAAAGGTCAACCTATATACTTGGGGACTTCCATTATTAAGGGTTAGACAATAATACTTACAATGCCTTTATTATATATGATTGCTTCTCATATTCCAAAATGGTCAGCATAATAAAATGTTTTGTAATTTTCCTGGTAAATTTTATGAATACTCTTCCTCTTTAGTAATACAATAAATAATCTCTTAAATAATACGGATTCAATATCGTTAAAGATCACGTCAGGTTACCAATTAAGTTAAAAGCTTCGCCACTAGATGGCACTGAATTCAAAATTAAATTACTACTAAATTTTTAAATGGTTCCTTATTATGTTTTCAGATGCCCGCATGGAAGCAGAATTAGACAAGTGGCGATCTGAGTTGTATCCGATCAGTAGGGAAGTCTTGGGGCGATCTCTGGTGGCTCTTCGACGCAACTCGTGCTACGGGGGAGAGTGCAACCTCGGCAGTTGGGTCTGCGATGCCTTTTTAGACCAGGTATTTTACTTGTATATGGTTTTCAATATTATGTATAATAAAACAGTTTAAGTATTAAAAATGCTGAACACTCTAAAATAAAACTCAAATTCTATCAATTATAAAACATGGGCACCACTTAAGGTGACGAGAACAGTTTTAACGTCATCTAGGCTAAGATATGCCGAAATCAATTGTTTTGGAAATAATATATTTTAAGTTTTTTGAGAAAGCAACATTTGTAACAACATACGCACAAAAACCACCCGTGTTGAAGTTGTTCAGGTCCCTTTGGTAGAATTCTCATTTTATTTATTTTATAATATTATTTTAATTGAACGCGTAAAGATTCGTATTCAGGGTGCTTACTATTAAAAAAAAAGCTTCAATGTAGCAAATTAGAAATGTATATCTATGTCCTCCTAAGACATCTTATCCTAAATTAGGTAAGTATATATACATTATACATATTATATATTTTTGTCTTCACTAAGATATCATTAAAAATTACAATCGAGCCTAGTTTAAAACTATGTATTAGGTAATTTACTTATAAGAATATTTAAACTAAAGTCAAATAACAGTCAAACTTACAATCTCTACTAAGACACTTTGTTCTCGTGTTTTTTTTCCACTTACCAATAACGTGCACTAACACTGATTCAAATAGTTGTTTCCTTTTCAACCTTCTCACTAGGCCAGTGGTGCCAGAAGTTGAATATCCTCGATATTAATAGAGGTCCAGCAATATTTTTATGATAATATTTCTGTCGACGCTACGAAACTAATGACTTTATCGTAAAATACAATTATAAACTTCAAATTTGTTATTATCTGGAAAAGTAAAGCGAAAATAAAGACGAAATAAAAGTAGAACGTTTAGAATTCCGTGTTAATTTGATTTATATTCTTTATTAGATGTTGCCGCTTGCGCAGGGTTCATATTGGAACTTCGCGCATCTCTGCTTGCTATCTTCCGGAGGTCTTAGAGCGAACATAAACTCTGGAGGTATTTCTTTATCGTATCCACTTTGTAGCTTTGGACGTCACCGGTTAATCCGTAAATATTAAAAATCTTATAGATTCATGCCCTTATAATGTCATTTTGGTCACGTGTTTTAATGTAATATATTTTCGTAGATGTCACAACTGAGGGACTCCTCATGGCGTTGCCTTTTGAAAACAAATTACAATCGTTTGAGCTGAAAGGGAAATACTTGTTAGAAGCCTTGGAATACTCTGTATCCGCTGTACAAACGAACCCTAATAGTTTTTACAGCTATAGAATGCTACAGATTGGTGGTAAGACATAAAACATATATGTTGAAAGTAAACCGCGGGTCAGTATATTTAATTAAATACTAATACAGTGGCGATACAACCTTATATGGGTCTTAAGATAACTCATGTTTGATAATTATTCAGCGTCTTGTGTCTGGCTCGTAGTAATGTTAGTTTCTTGATGTTCTTTCACAGCGTGAGCAAGAATTAATTGCGCACATACAGAAATCCAATCATAATCAAATTTGGGCGATTTTTCTATCTTACATATTCATTTGACCTTAGGTTTGCGAAATACATTCAACGCATCAGCACCAAGTGGTTCTCGTCTGATATCCTCAAGAGTTCGTTGTATAAACTGTGAGGTTCCGAAATATAGTCCAGTCGACCCTGAAGCCACTTACCGAGTGATAACTCAAGACTACCTTGGTAACGGTGGCGGTGGATATTCAGTAAGTATATATTTATTTATTTATTACAGAAATACATACATTATCCACCAATACGATAATGTCGAGTAACATAAAATAAAGTACATATACTGGGTGGCGCAAAAGTACTGGCACTAAAGAAAATTTGTTTATTTTTTTATATGACGATGTTTTCATTCTGTTGTTGAAAATTGTGTAGTTAACAAATGTAAAATACACTGAAAATAAACATGGACCGTTTTACTCCCCAAGAACGTGAAATAATCGTGTCAATGTTCTTACGGAATAATTCATCAGTGATAAAAACACAACGTGAATTTCGTCGACGATTTCTCGAACCGATCTGACGAGTCCAGACTTCTTTCTTTGGGGTTTTTTGAAATCTCGGGTGTATGTGAACAAGCCACAGACTCTCGCAGCTCTAAAAGAAAACATTCATCAAGAAATAAGGAACATATCGCAGAAAGTATTACGGCAAGTTCTGCAAAATGTCATAAATAGGGCTCAAATGTGCATCAACTCTGGAGGTCACCATTTAAAAGACATCATCTTTAAATCCTAATGGTACGAAATTTAATGGCACAAATATACATTTAAAAAAACCTAAATCTAGTTTTATAATTTAGAAAAAATGTTATAGCTGAACCAAATAGGGTCTTTACTTTTGCGCCACCCAGTATAATATTAAACACATAATATACACAATATCGCTACTGTGAATTCACTCTGCGAACATATAAATATGTCGATAGTGTCGGAGACAGCATTGAGTAGGCGCAACGTCTTTGATAACGGGGATCTGTGCAACAGTCTCGTTCTTGCCCTTGGTATCGCAAATAACCTAGTCCTTCGCCGTCGCACATATCCCATAGGTACTAAGAAACCCAGTTCTTGGAGTGCACACTGCGCCCCTCAAACTTTCAGTACGTAGAAAGCTAAGCCACCATCCCTAAGACAAATAATATTGGGTATATTAAAGGATAGTAGGGATAGACGCCATACAGTATATATAAGTATATGTAATAACAGTATTAATTACTGACTATGAACATTAACCATAGACCAACTGCCAACTCGGTTTGAAAAATTATAAGTAAAAATAATAAAAAAAATATTGCAAGAAAACTCCAAGAGGGATCAATTTTCCGGTATAAAAAGAAAATATATTTTACATTAGATGTCAGATTTAGTCGTTTTTGTATAAAAATATAAGAAATTTCAAACTATAGTCCCATTTTTCTATTTTTAGTGTACATTGATGACGTAGCAAGTCTTTTACTCACACTCTTGGCTTTTAAATAATCTTCTTTTACCCAATACGTCAAAAACAAAATATATATGCTTTCACATTTCGAAGTCCAGCGAACCAAACCCCATGCCGCCTCTTCAATTACACTGCAGCAGCTCTCTCTGTGTTGTACTCTCTTGTAACTATGAGTTTCTTCTGACTTGTCTTCAACCTTCTAATCTTGTATTGTGATCTTCCTGATGGTGAAGGGATATGTGGGACTCGCTGCTGTGCATACCGACAAAATCCCACGGCGCCACCAGCAGTCGCCCGAGGCAGGACCCGGTAACAGCGTAGCCTTGTCCGGATCCTGCCACGCGATCAGCCGTTGAAGTCACGGTCCTCTATGGCCACGAATGATGTGGGATGGACCTTTGCCCTTGCGGTGCCACGTCGGCAAATTCGCCCTTTTAAAGCTGGGGGAGGCCGGGCATAATGCTTGCAGGGATGCGTCAACATCCCTTCTTTTGGACGCATAAACCCTGTTCCCCCGCTGAAGCGACTGCGTGCCCAGGATTACACACGGGGTTGCACGGTGCAACGGCGACGCTGTGGTCTCCTACAGCGACGCGGATTGGCTGCTGGATCGACGTCAGTACTTAACCTAACGTGGATGTAGCTTTGTAGACTTCGGGTACCTCTAACTGTATCGAATGTTGGGACTTCAATATGTGCAGGTCCCATAACTTCTAACGTTTAGACAACTATACTTATTGGCAATATGCTGACTTTTTTGGTAACAATCACCGTCTTTACCCCACGTTACCCAAAAATCGCAATTTCATCGTCCATCGCGTTTTCTCTTTCAGAGGCCCTTTAACTTTAACTACTTTCTCAAAAATAAAATATCCCTATCGCTTTAAAACTTTATATATTCATTAACAATCTTAAGCAAGATCTTCTAAACCTATCCTATGCTCAAACATAAAGTTTCGTCTTGTGTTATCATTAATTTCTCAAATGGAGACTAGCTGCTCACGACACCGCGAACAGGGTGGGGCTAGGCCACTTTTTTGTGTGTAATAAAGTTTTTCTTTCATGTTCCTTACAACTTCCAAACATCTAAAAAATATTTTGTATCAATATTAATACAGTGTTTAGTAATACAAGTAGGTCTTTAGCCTTCTATGCTTAATACTTATAGCATTTTTTACTAATGAATGTTAATTTCGCACATAAATAGAAAAATACACGCTTAGACTATTAGGCCAACAGACCTAATAAATAATATATAAATCGCATTACTTGTTCATAACAATAAAGTATAAGCCTGAAGGAAGAAGAAAAGAAAATAGACTTGATAATAGCTGTTGTTCTGCCCGCTTTACTCAAACTTAATATCTTTATTCATATAGGTCAAACAAGTACACTTATGACGGTAAAAAGGAGTTAAATTAATTGTAAATTTACATTTACTACCAGTTCGCAAGTCAAGGGCCTCGCCACTCTTTTTAGTCGCTAAGTTTTGAGTCATACAAATTGTTTGAACTGGAGCAAATCAATCCCAAGAATTAGGATCATACTGTATCTTTAACCAAACGTCACTCGTAAATATAATGACTCGAGGTTAAAATCCGTTCATTCAAAACGGTGTATATTAATAATTTTATCCCTTCAGGCAATAACCAACAACAGAGAAAATATAGAGGATTATGGTTACGACTATGTCGCTCTACAGGATTTCATGCGAAAAACGAAAATTTTCTTCCAAGGTAACGACGAGCGAATAAAAATGATTTATAATAATTAATATTGTAATTGATATTTATGTGTAGGTACATTAAAATATGTCAAATATATTAATAAGCTAACTTTAGTTATACAGAAGTAATAATAAATATAATAATAATAGATGACTTTAGTGTTTTATTTTTTCCAATTACAACCTACCCTGTTATAAAATGCAATGTGAGTATTTCATCGAAGTGCTTACCTAGTGGAATACCTATGCTAGTGGAATTTCAGGATAAATGCCATTTGAGAGAACCGACCGTTCGGTAGGGTCCTCTTCCACGAGGGGTAAAACAAATTTAATTATAATATCATCTGACTTGTAATCGTTAACTGTCTATTAGTAAAACCGCTTAATATATTATCTCAATTGAACATATAGTCATGAGGACTTCAATATCTAGAATATTAGATTCTGTAGTAAATGTACAATGTTAATGTATTAAATAGAATTAGATATCGCTGGATCGACAGAGTAAGAAGAACCTGCTGTAGTTGACAGCCAGCAATTGGAGCCTGACAGTGACAGGACTCTGACAGTTCTAAGTTCAATTGAGATACGGAAGTGTCACAAGCAAGATTAAGTTAATGATAAGCAAACTTTATATCTCATTACAAAAAAAAATTATTTACATGAGAACCTTAATATGTATATACGAACGAGATACATGTCTCCATCGGCCGACCCAATTTTAGTCTACTAGGCTCGTTCTGATATGTATCTTTAATGCCCTTTTAAATTGGGTATACACGCTAAAATTACGAATTTAAGACGGTAATTGATTGAATAATTGCACACCCTCATACTTAATAGACTTCTTCAAATAATTTGTACGCGGCTTGGACAAGATAAGCAAACTCGCTCGACGAGTATTGCGTGTAGTGGTGTGTTTGATTTTTTGTTTTAATAATAAGCTACTATGAAGTGAGTTATTAAGTACGAGTATATAGTTATAAGGTATCTAATGAAAGTAGATAACGAGAAAGCTCGGGAAATTAAAAAAAAAATAGTATGGTATAAGGTATCCCTAAAATTTTGATATATTTTGTGGATTAAACTTACTTGATACTTGAGTTTATTTTATTATTTTTTTCATAGTAACTGTATTTCTATGAAATTAAATACTATACGTATTTAGTATTTTACTCATACTTAAAATGACTAGCTTTGCATGGAAAACTAAAACTATATTTATTATAAAACACAACTTTATTCGGAATAATCAAATCCTGCGAAAGAAACGAAATATTCTATCAAATAAAACAAAGTTTTATTATACCTGTTAACTATTCGGAAAGAATATATAATAGAAAATGAGTAATTGCATGAAATATCAAGACAATAAATCATACTAACCTAAGAAATTCAATGAAATTCTGTGTTGCCATCCGAAAATTTTCAAATAATTCAATTATCTTTTTTCATTAGCCAGACTCTAGTATATTAGTAGTGTGTAGTAATATAGTTATTTTTTTTAAATTAAGATACAGGTGCAATAAACATATATGTAGTTGTTTAATCGTCATAATTTTGGTTTATTTTGTAGTGTTTGTATGTTAGATATTTTTTTTGCATGTTTTACCCCATATTTCAATTAGATATATGAAATGTGGCTTGACTAAACAGATTGCGGAATGCATTTTGATATTGACCAAAATCTGCCTATAAGTGATTTTAGTTTGGTAATTATGTGTGATATATGAAAGTTCCACTTTAAATATGTATCCATTCTAAGACCCAGATATTTCTCCCATTTTTTGTTAGTGATTTAAATTTAAATTAGATAAACATCAGTACTTAATTAATCGTTTGTTAAAACAATCAGAACCAAATCTTTATGATAATTAGTACTTTTATAAGAACTAAAGATAATTAAGGTGTCGCGTGGCAACGTCAGTTAAAGGTTTAATTACAGTTTAAGTGGACTATATGTGTATAGTATGAAATATATATACCAAATATATAGATACAATTTAGATACCCGGTTCTGCGGGAACCTATGTGGTGCCACGACACTTGTAAGCAATCTCCATTCTGGCTTGGCTTTCCCTCCACAAGAAATGTAAAATAAACAAACAAGAAAATGTTTTCAAAAATTTTATTTATTACAATAAAACAATATTTTTACAACACGTATAAACTAACTGATTACTGTCCGTAAAGAGCAGGCACGAAGGTTTCGAAAATGTATCTAAAGTTAAAGTCGAAGTTGGCGTATGCGTTTGCAACAGCCTGGAAAGTTCTGTTTTGCCAAAGGTCGTTGTACATTTTCTTTCCTTCGGCACTTGTCAACGAATTAACAGCGGTCGAGAATACAGTGTTTTCTGACATTTTCTTCGTGTATAAAGCCGCCAATTCCGATTTGGGTAGAATATTGACAACATCAGCAAGGAAGTCTGCCAGGGTGGTGCCACTGGGTGTGACATCTTTACGGGTACTTGCAGACTGCTTCTTAATTTCAAGATCTCCGACTGCGGTCACGTTTGTGTTTAAACGATCTGCAAGAAAGGATTTTCAGTATTTCGATCAACGCAGTTCACCAAGTCATTATGTGAAAATGTTTTTCCATTAACCGATAAAGACAAAGAGAATTGAAGTAAATAAAAATATGGTATTTAATATAAGATACATACATGTCAGATATTCGAATCTGTCGATGTAGTAGGGAACATAGACGTCGTTGCGCTTCAAGTAGGCATCAAGCTGAAAATATATACATAGTGTTATTAAGAAAATACTTCTTGGGTTATATGTTTTAGGATCCAATGCTACACAAATGAAGTTACTCTTAATTATTATATTAACGCATACTAACTGTTTGGAAAACTTGAAGCTTGCGCAAGTCTTGGTAGAGCTGGATGAAAACTGTGTTGTCAAGGGTGTCCAAGCTAGTCTTGAAGGCATCGTTTTGTTTGTAGGCCTCAAGTAAGCCGTTGATAGTGTCTCCTGCGTTTGCAATGATGATTTCAAAAAATTCGTCAAATTGAGTTTGGAATGATGTGTACAGTGGTACGTTTTGTCCATACAGAGCAGGAGCTAGTTCTTCAATAACGTATTTAAGATCAAAGTCATATTTGGTCCTTAGTTCATCGACGAGGTTCATCCACTCGGTGTCGGTCCAGAGAGCATTATACAGTTCTTTGAAGTCATTAGTTCTCAGACCTTCAATGGCGTTTTTGAATATTGCGTTGTTTTCCATTTTTTCGTTGAAGAGAGATTGAAGCTGTCTGATTGGGAGAAGACTGACGGTGTCAGCCAAAAATGTGTGCATGGTTCTTCCTGTCATTGGGTGACGGCGGGATCTGTGGGATTCTTGGGTTGGAATAATCTCATTACAGCCAATAGCGTGGTCGTTCTTAGCGAAGTATTCTGAAATTTACCAAAATACCATTAATTCACCATTCTACAAACACAAAATAAAGTAAAGGTAAATTTTGAGTTGAATCAAAAGGCGGATCAGAAATGGCTTGAGCAATATTTTCTTAGAGCAAGTCTGAAATCTATAAATGATTGTTTGCTATAAAGTTTTAATTCATAGTCGAGACTTACCAAATCTCTCTTGATATAAAACAAATTATCTCTTAATATACTGATGGTAAGTTTATAACACTAACACTTTGTAGTACTTACCCGTGAGGAAGTCAGTACGATCAGCCCAGTATGCAACAAAGATGCCATGTCTTTTCAAGAATCTATCAACCTGGAAGAAGATTCGTAAATTAATAAGTAAATAGAGAAATACATTAATATTATAACTTTATATATAAGTATTCAAAGGTAAGCTAACGACTACTATTAAGTTTTCATCTGATGATATTAATGCAATGATTAATTAATAATTTATTAATTTTAACTTAAGATGCAACTCACCTTTGCGAAAGCAGGACTATCCGCGCCAATTCTTGGGTAGTGGTCAACTAGCTTAGTCTTTGACAAGGCATCTAAGCTTTTCCTGAATTCAGGGAATGACTTGTAACCCCCAAGTTGACGCAGCCAGTGTGGTGATTCCATGTTAACAATGATGTCTACGAATTCGTCAAATTGAATTTGGAATGTCACCTGGACAGGGTCGTTTTGACCAAGTAGAGATAAAGCCAACTCTTCAAATATATATTTTAGGTCAAAATGATAATCAGCCAAAGTATCGCTAACTTTAAGGAATGCTTGGTTCTTCCAGAGAGCCTTGTAGAGTGTCAAAAAACGATCGCTTTTGAGTCCTTCGATGGCAGTTCTGAATAATTCGTTCTTGGCCATTTTTTCGTTGAAAGTAGCACGGAGTTGTCTAATAGGAAGCATGCTCACGGTATCCGCAAGGGATGTTATCATTGTGGTGCCTGTCATGGGGTGACGACGAGTTCTGTGGTGGAAATCCACACCGGGGATACCGGCTGTGTCGTTTGCGTGCAACTTTTCTAGAAATTAAAAAAAAATCATTAATGTTCAGTTTCACTCAAACTCAAATATCTCGTAAAGCTTAAAAAACTTAATAAAAATTATATTACTTGATATGCTGGCTACGGAACATTTATACACGATGACGTTATTATGTGTAAATAAATAAATAAATAAAATATTGAGTAGGAACTTACGGATAATCCATTGTAAATTATCGACGTAGTAGTCAACGTCGATCGTGAGGTTGTCTAAATATTCAATGATCTGTAAGTATTCAGTTATATTACAACATGGTAATATCAAAGAAATATTTTGTAAATTTGACTTGTGCATATATATTTTAGTGAACTCCTTTCCACACACATACGAGCCCATTGCGTTATGGTAATTAAGTTTAGTTTACCTTTTATACACAAGACTCACTATCGGTTATTCTACAGTAATATATTCGGTGATTCTACAGTCTCCTTTGCTGCTTGGAGCTATGGCGTGTTATTTATAAGAATTAGAAAAACGGTAACTGAACCGTCTTCTTTTGACTGTCATTTTAAATTTGGAGGTTGAAAGGAGTTGTGCATTGTCCAAATCGAATCAGTTATACTTAAAAAATATTTATTGCAAACAATTTTGAGGATAGTATATATATGTAGAAGGTACTCACGTCTTGTACTTCGGACTCTTTTTTTAAATCAGCGAACATCTGTTTGAAGTCCAGCTCACCCAACTTGTTCAACATTTCGATGTATTCTGGGTTAGGAGTGTATCCCAAACCCTGTTGTCGTCTCCAATGGGCACCCTCCAAAGCATTGTTTATGTCCATAAAGTGTTTAAAGTGGTCTTGGAACGTCTCAAAAAAGACGAGGCTTAGCGCTCCCCAAAGCCGCGAGGGCTAATAAGACTACAATAGCTTTCATTTTTTGGTCTTAATTGATCTTTTGCCACTAGTGTCGAGTTTATATATTCAAAAGTTATCAAAAAAACAATCAGATCTTATCATTTTCAAAATCATTAATTAGTATTTTTACGCGATATTTCTATGACTTATCATGGCAAGCCATGACTTATCATATTTATTAAAAGTCATCTTAACTACCATATTTTTTTGATAAATTGTTATTTTATCGAAATGCTATTATAAGATCTTAATGATAAGGTAGGTGTTAAAAATATATGTTTTTCTTATGATGAAGCTGTCCATTCGGTTACCGTTTTAGACCATCTGACATCTGTATGTCATCAGTGCGTAACGAGCAACGTGCCCAACCCATCTCCATTTAAGTGGTAGGGCATGCTGCTCAGCATACATTATTTTTGTTTTTCTGCAGATACATTCACTGTTCTGTTTGTCGCGTTATTTAATTCCAAGAATACTTCTCTCTATCGCTCGCTGGCACGAACGTTTTGTTTTGGAAAATCCAATTTTGTGCTCCATATGTAAGGCAAGACAGCAAGCACGAATCCACCATCTTTTCCTTTAGTTTAAGTGGGAGCTTACCTTTGACTCATTCGAGGATTTATTTTAAGCTCCAAAACTTCTTCCAAGTTAGTCCTATAACATTTCTTGTGATTTGTCTGTTACTGTAACTAATACTCAATGGTCTTCAAAACGTAGGTATAGTCTTTTTGTATTCCTTTCCTTTCCCACTCTAGTTCTGTCATAGTAACGGACGGAGGTAAATATCTTGAGCGGTAAGGACTCCTTGTTTTACTCCTGTCCTATTACATAATTTTAGTCCAAGTCTTTCTAGTTTTTCATTACTGGTACTCTTCTCATATATAAGATCTTAAATAATGTGTTTAGTAATATGACTGGTATGCCTTGATATGAAAGTGCCTGTCAAATACTTTCATGTGAGATGCAGTCAAATGCTTTAGTATAATCAATGAATTGAATGCTAGATATAGGGGCTGGTAAAACTCTTTATGCTTTTCTACTATTAAATCTACCGTGTATATGGGATCAGCCGTTGAATATCCCGCCCAAAATCTAGTTTGCTCTATAAGTTTGGTGCTTTTTTATAGATTGGTAGAAGACTGATATAACGGTAATTTCCAATATCTGAAGGATCACCTTTCTTATACAACAGAACTATATATAATGATTCACCCCAAAATTTGGGATTTCTTGCTTTTCTAATATATAGTTGAATAATTTGGTTTTGAAGCTTATATGATATTTTTCCCAATTTTTAAGACTTAATTTGGGACCTTGACGTTATCATTCTTCAGCCTATTTATATTGGTTAGAATTTCAATGGACTCAAAGGGTGAAACTGGTGAAATTTGTTGTAAGTCATGTTTGAAGTAATCTTTCGATCCATTCAATGTGTCTTAATAGAGGCTACGATCAAAGTCTGATGCTATATTTATTATATCATTTCGCGATTTAAGTTTATATGAGTATATTCAGAGGTAAAGGAAAAATGTCAGGATTAAAGTATGAATTGATACACTTTTTTCCTTGTTAAGTTCTTTGAAGACTTTCTTTTAAAGCTGTGAGGTATTCCTGCTAATTTACGTCAAGCGATAAGTCTGTTCTAGGTTTTGAAACAAGCGCGACTTTTTGTGGGTTAACTCAGTAGAACAGTGCCTCCCAATAATCTGTAGTCGCTTTGATAGATTATTGAAGATATCCAAGTTTTAGAAGCACTAAGGAACGCTTCTCAGAATATAATCTATTTGATTTTTATGTCATTAGTCTGGAGACAAGTACATAGGTTTTTAGCATTGTTTTTAAAAAAAATGTTTATGACGGTGAATCTAATTGCTTCTGCATATTGCAGGAGCAGGGTGCGTCTAGAGTTTCTAGTACCATAGCAGTAGAGGCCCATGATTAAGGGTTGGATGTTTTGTCTCTGGCCAATTTTTGAATTAATATGCTGCTTCAATATGCTCATTAAATTACTGCCGTCTTCATCCGGTGCGTCACATGTACCTAGACTTGAATAATTGATATATATATTATAATTTAAACATCTCAGAATTATGAGATACATGAGTGTGTTCAATCTGTTCCTATATGCCTATACAATTATCAATATTTGTTTTATACATTTTTTTGATTAGAATCCCTACCCTGAAATGACCCTTTATCTTCCCTGTGTAGCATAGGATTTGATCTTTATCTTCCATCATCTCCTGTCCCATCCTGCTGGTTTCAGATAGCCCTATAATATTATAATTAATATTGGATGATGAGTGATTTAATAGTTAATAGATCCGTTATTAATAGTATTTGAATAACGTATCAGACGTGGTGAAAATTACGATTTTGCGTTGTAGTCAGGTTATAGTCATTTTTTGTCGCAGTGGCTATCCGTGTTGTGAGAGGTGGATAAGGGCGTAATTATTATTATGCAATATTTTGAACTAAATTTGTATGAAGATTACAGTTCCTGACGACAGTCGGTAGCCTACGCCCAAAAGGAGTGAGTCGCGAATGTATCCTATTCCAAACCCCGACTGGGTATCGATACATTTACCCTCGTATGGCATCTTTCGGAAATTTCATCCCCTTAAACATAGTACGCATGATAACGTATACAAACTAAGTTTTAGATTGCCAATACTACTCAGCTCCCTAGCTGGACAAGGAGGCCTATTACTCGGTAACTATTAGAAATCCTTGCGGGTAGGTTACATATTGCAGAGCATGGGGCTGCGAGTACCGATAAACAGTATAGCATCTATAATCTAATCTAATCATTTAAGAATAAGTTAAAACTCTTAATGTCTTAAGCCTTGTATCTTCCTTGTTTTTTTTTATAAGCGGCCACGATTCCGCGTTCCTTGCGAGTTCCAATCAAGCGCTTGAGCATATGATGGAGTGTATGGAATACCCATTTCGCAAATTCGCAATGAAAAAGGAGTGGCGAGAGTAAACAGACTTGTCGTAATCATCGTTCTGTTTGTAGGTCTCAACTAAGCCGTTGAGTGTCTCCTGCGTTAGCAATGATAATTTCAAAAATTCGTCAAACCGAGTTTGAAATGATGTGTACAGTGGTACGATTTGTTCATACAGAGCAGGAGCTAGGTCTTCAATAACGGATTTAAGATCAAAGTCATATTCCGTTTTCAGTTCATCGACGAGGTTTATCCACGCGTTGTCGGTCCAGAAAGCATTCTACAGTTCTTTGAAGTCATTAGTTCTCAGACCTTCAATGGCGTTTTTTAATATTGCGTTGTTTTCCATTTATGCATTTTGATTTAGTGATAAGATACACCTAGTTATTACCGGTACTTATCACACCTGTTGAGTGCGAATTTCGTTGCATGTCTTATATTTCTGATATGTTTATTAGGAGTTACTGATAACACATGGTTTCTTCATGATTCTGATTGCTACGAGAAGCAACTTTATTAGATAAAAGTATTTTTTTCTTTCATTAATTAGACATAACTAATCTAAATCAGCACAACATCACTTAGACTCAAAAATGGTTTAACTTGTGATAATTAATTACCATTTAGGTAAGTATGGATAGTTACGATAAAATAATGACTTCACACCCACGAATCTTGTTCCGAGAAGGGAATGCAATCGCGAGATTTCGATCCCGCGGGATCTTGAGCCATTTTTCGATATCAATGCCCAAGCTTAATATGACGATCTCGTAGGATTAAAGAGATTAACTGGCAGTAGTATCATACACAAAAAATCACTGTAATAATGATGACTGAGAACATTTGAAAGGCGATATTTATCGTACGGAAAAAAATTTAAATATAATGAAACGATTATATCTTCAGATACCCCTTTAATCGGGCCAATCTGTGGTAAAATATAATATCTTCCTCTACATAATGTCATTTGTTTTATCAGATGTAATAATTACCTTGATAAATTTTACTCAAGATTTTAATTTGTGATTATCAACTAAAAAACCGAAAATCGAAATATCTTAAGAAAAGCGCATTTATCAGATGTGATAATATTATGGACACATATGGGCAGACTTTATAGCTATATAAGTTGTCCCAAACGTGCTAATATATTTAAACTATACTCTTAAGACACATTGAAAAAAAACTAAAAAATCTTAATGAACGATGTTTTCCATAAGCACTAGCTTATAAATTACATAGATTTCTTTTTAATTTATCGTCGACGATATATCTTTAAGTAGGTTATTAAAATTTAGTCTTAGTTAAAAAATAAATTGCAGTTTTATTAAAATTTAGTAATGATTTGCTTTACCTAATAAAAATTGAGGGATAACAAAAAGTATAAGTGAAACTGTACCTGATAGTGTAATATCGGCATTATTTTAGCGTTTTTAAAGGTAACTGTTACCTTTAAAAAAAACTCAAAGAGCAGGAGGTCATTGACATGATTAACTTTGTTCTTTTAATAAAGGTATAGCACATAAATATTAATACATCTTTCACTTTGCACCACAAAGTAGGGAGCCATTTAAAAAAATACCATTTCATGAAAAAGTGGGCCACTTGATGAAAGAATAATTTATAAATAGAAAGTGACGAAACAACAACTCTAGGCTTTCGTGAACCGAAGCCTTCGTAAAATCCTCGGCATATTCTGGCCCGAATCTCCAAACATCAACTATGGGAGCAATGCTCTAAGATGCCAATTGACAGGACTATAAAACGCCGAAAGTGGATGTGGGTGGGCCGGGCCATACGCTCCGGATGGATCTGTTATACGAGTTCTTGGATTCAAGTTTAAAAAAAAGAAAAGATACTGGGTTCACCCTATAAACAGAGGGAGACAAGGCAAAGGTGAATTTCATCGTCTTGTTAAAAAATTAGAGAGTGACGAAGAGAAATTTCATATCTGCTAGATGTTCGCGCCATGAGCCACGCGCCGGTATAGAACTATAGAAACACATTTGCCTGTTGTGTCGTGTCGCGTCATAACCCCCACCACCGCTCTGGCGCAATCGGTGGCGACTGGCGAGCAGTCGGCTCCACGACAGAACGTGTTGCGACACGACACAACATACAAATATGTTTCTAATCATATTAAATGTATGAAACCAATATGCTTCTGGCGCGTCACGACACGCCACGACACGTAAGTGTGTTTCCGACTTTAGTCTCCTACCCGTTTCCCCGTTATATCCGGCATCGGCGAATCGACTAGTCTGACTGTTTTATGTCACGTGCCAATTAATGATTATTTACAAGTTATTTTACCATAACTCTTTTTAAAGCCATGATTCATACGGATTTAACTCAACAACATTGTATTTTTCATACTGTCAAATGCTAAGTTTTTTCAGGCAGACCAGCTAAGCTTCGACATTTCGATTTTCATTAGGCTTAAATTGTAAATTTTAATACACCTTCAATATTTAATCTAAATACTGTTCTGGAGTTTGTATCGTCGTGTTTGTTACAGTGATAATAAAACTAAAGTTGTGATATTGCTTTCTAATTAAATAATACAAGATAGTAATTTGTAAATTTTTTATTCAACAAAACATAATATATAATCATAAGAACATCATATTTGAGTCAAATAACTAAATCAGACACACTAATAAAATACCAAACTTATTTAAATAAGATTTTCACCACAAGTGACGTCACTGACAGTTGTCAAATTTCCCAGTTGATATTTCTGACGCTCTGATATTTTAAGTACGTAAATTACATAACAAAATCCAAAACTAAATAGCGAAATGTACGAAGAATCGATGTCTATATTTTATCTTTAATTGTATATTTTTATGATTGCTGTAAATGGAATTGTGTTAGTACTCAAAGGACGTAATATTCCTGAAGGTATCTTTAGAGATGTCAGTATGTTAAAAATTCATCTATCGGGAAACAGGAACAATTCAACTTTGACGGAATCCATTTCAATATTATACAGCTCTTGTAACTAGATTTGAGTATGAGTGACGAACAAGAATACGTTCTTTCCGAGATAAAGTCAAGACGTCGTTATACTCCCGTGCGTCAAAAACCATAGACAACCGTCATTTGTCCATAGACTTCGGGCCAACAACAACACACATCAGTGTTCACAACCGTACGATAATTATCGTACATGTGCGATAATCTCGTAACTACGTACGATGTACGATGGTACACGACTATCGTACGCAGATTGTACGATAATTTCCATTCTGATAAAAAATGTGATGATTACACAGATAGCCCAATAACAATTACAGTGTTTAGTGTCAGTGCCATCTATTGGCTTATTTTTCTATTAGGAACATATGCTGTCACAAGGCGACTACAGCGGATGAACAAAGCGTTAATGTACAAACACAAAAACGCATCAGAATGCACAGCCAAAAAATTCACGATTTGTATGGTGACGCTGATTCGGAAGTCTTCGATAGCATTTTAATACCTAACGAATTTTAAGTGATAAAAATAATATACGATGTTTACGGACAATAGGTATATCACTTAGAGCGAACACCATATTGTTAAACGAGAAAATATTGCGTATTTTTGTTCCTCTTTGACGGAAGAGATTAAAACTTGTATATAAAACGTTAAGTTTCATTAATATTTGCGTATTCTGTTCTCGCAAATATATTCAGTTAAACTTTTAAAAATATGCTTGTTTTCATGTGTCTCTATCCTTTAACATTATTTTGTTCTTTATAAATTTGAAATGTTGGCGCCTTAATCACACTCGAAGTGGACGAGGGCCCAGCTCGGGTCTGTGCCATTTGAACATTTAAATTGAATTATTATTATTTTTTTCAATTTGAAAAACACAAGTTTACAAGATTTAAACTATAAATCGTTTGCAACATTTTATTTTCACGTTTCATATGATTTATTAACGTATTTTTAGCCATTTTCCTGACTGTACGATAATTTATCGTATATGGATCACATATACGATAATTTTACGGCCCTGGTACGATAACTGCCTGGCTTCAGGTTGTGAACACTGACACACATACAATTTTTCTTACCAAAACTTCACATATTCCAAAAATCTGTACACACTATTTTATAATACTAGATGGAGGAATTCGTGATTATGCCTATGGATATTTATTGTACATATAAAATAATGGGATATTCATTTAAATTTGATAACGGTATTATTCTATTATATGAAGATTTAATAAAGGCCTCTCTATATATTCTTATTAACAATTTAAGGCAAGCAAGTCTCGTTATTAATTAATTATTGCGCGCTACATTACTAATTACTTTGCATACAAGTAATAAGTAACGTACGCAATTGTATATTATCTCATTTAGGCTGTAGATTTAATGGATACAGGACTATACATTTACTGTATAGTATAATTATAATATAATAATTTGTATAGTAACGTTTCTATCTACACAAAAACAATAGCTAAATATAAACATACATTCCCAGTTCCCACATTTTTATGTTAGCATTGCGCTAATTCTACTCTCTGTACCGGAACAAAAGGCAGGTGTTGGTTAAATTCGTGAATATCCGTTATAAATTCTGTGTCATTCTCCGATGTGTCGCCGACCGGTTGTGACGCATCTAAGTATTCCAGGGTACTCTCCTTGACATTACTTTCAGTAATATTACCGTCTTTGTTGGGGAGATGGCCCATTACCTGTAAATGATAATTAGTTCACCTCTGTATTGCGACATTATAATACATAAGTACCATGTCTGTTACCATGGTAACCATTTTTAAGGAGAAACAACCTTGATAACAAATAAGGTATGTTTATTCATTAGGTCATTTTTCTAATTCACGACTGATTTTCTTTAGAAAATTCTTAATTAAAATAATAAGTGGCTTTTTTGTATTATTCTTAATTAATATGAGTTTCAAATTGATTTGATATCGTATCATATCGCCCTAATTACAAATTATTTTTAAACTCTTTACAGATGATGAACTGATATGTACAGATATAAGGTTTTAAACAAAATATTCACAAAAATCTACATTTCCTTTAAAAAGATATACATTAAATTTAACACATAAAGTTGGAAATATAGTAATAGATGTAGCATATATCGAGTGTTATGTTCAACACAGAATTTAACTAAGATTTTTTTTTATAAAATACAAACTAAGAACGGGACGCCCTAAGGCATCGCAGCCCATGATCACCAATTTTTAGTGGGTGCGTTGACGGCCTTTGAGAGAGTATATAAATTACAGAAACGGAGCGATTTAACCTAAGATTTACTTTTCTATAAATAAAATATCGGCAAGAACTCACTTGAACAGACAACTTTCTAAAGTGTGATCGGTTGCCCGTTGAGAAATTGTTTTCGATCCAGCTCTTGATATCCGATACCTTGACTTTCTCGATGGCGTCAGCCTGTGGATCAAGGATTAGATCAATCTTGGGATAATCTTCTATTCGAGGATTATTTGATAGATTATGGAATTTTACTTTCATCTCAATTTTAGTTGCTGAAATGTAAATCTATCACTAAAAAAATTAAACTCTACCTAACTTAAACTTCTCACAAATTTTATCGGAAGTAAATAAATTTGTTGTAAAAATTTACATCTTTCAACACAATCTCTCCTACCTTTGTCGTAAACAAAGACGGAATTATCTATGAAAACTCAGTCTAATTTTTATTGCTAATTTTAATGTGTAATCGTTTCAAAAGATTGTACGAATATATTTATTAAGTTAAGTTTTAGAAGCTCAAAGAGGCGACATTATTATAATGTACAATCAGAGATTAGCTTGTTTCTCGATCGGCTTTACACTATAGTATACTTAAAAAACCAGTGGTTTTTAAAGCAGCAAGAAAGAAAGCTGACTCCGTTTTTATTGAAGAAAACCTGAATCGAATTTATTGCAATGATTATTACGTACACGTGCTTAGGGACGGTTCAAGTATTACGTAACGAATTTTTTTCCTTTTGTAAAACATTACGATGCGGGGCGGGGATTGAATTACGCGTTATTGTTAATATTATTTTCGACTTTACACCACATAATGGTTTTAGCTATAAAGAGTCATTGGGTGGTCACAGAACGTTTTACTTTTGGGAATAGAAAAACGTTACGGCGCGTTCCATGGGGGGGGGGGTCCAGTAATCTTCATAAATTGCGTGACGTAATACTTGAACGCTCCCTTACTTGACAGACACGCTACGAAATCTTATAGAAAAAACGCGCCTTACTTAATCCTCGTGATTTGTAGTCGATTAAATCGCTGTAACAAAACAAACTTACCTCACTAAATAATCGCTGAAACCGGTATTCACCGCCTATAATTTCTCTCCAATTCCTTTCCACCTAAAATTAATGTTAATTATATTTAAAACAAATTAATTGTTTTTTTATTGAACGCACAATCGACACATGTCCAGCAACTGTTATAAGGAAAACTTCACGACTAGCGCCAAGCCTTAAATCAAGAATCTTAATAAAAAAATATATACAAAACGCTGGACTAGACTGTTAATTAATAAAATATCATTTTTTTATTATATAATTTGAATCAAGAGATTTAAATATATAATTTGAATTGCATTATTATAAAAGGCCTACAACGCACTTGTGAGCCTTCTGGCAATGTGAGTGTCCATGGAGGTATCACTTAACATCAGATGAGAGTTCTGGCTGTTTGCCAGTATTTAGAAAAATATATATATTTTACCTCCTCCTTGAGTTCGTAGTCGGTCGTATGTTTGAGTTGGACCAGCGATTGTTTGACAGCGGACAGTGTCTTATCGCTTAACTTCCTCATGTCTCGGCTGAATTTCTTTAGGAACACCTCTACCCGAGTGTCAACGTGTGCCACACTGCCATATTGTTATAAAAAAGTAATGTTATGAATATCTGAACACTAACGAACTTGTGCTCCCGTGCTTGGAAAAAATATGTCGTCATATTCAAAGATTATACAATTCCAACAATATCACATACATATAAGTCAAACTTATATCCTCCTCATTTGAAATCGGATAATAAAGGATGATTTTGTGTTTTAAGGGACTCTATTATTTATTATTTTTTTTAAATTTAAAAAAAACAATATAATAAATATATATGTGAGTAACGGGTGTGCTTATAATAATATTGAAAGGTGCAATCAGAAATTAAATAATTCCACATTTGTCAAATATTAGCGTGTGCTTGTGTACCTGAATTTATCCCTCTGCGCATTGACTGTGACGGAGTAGCCAAGAACTCCGAAGGTGTACCGTAACATGCAGAATACGCTGTAACCCAACTGCTCTTTTGTGCGAAGGACATCGAAAACCGGCTCTTCCATCAGCATCTAGCCAAAATAATTTAATTAAATAACGTATAATTATTCAGGTATGTAATAAAAATTAATTATCTTATTTTTTATACAAATTCACGACCACAACTGTTGAATAGCACCTGAAATGTCGATATAAAAATAATAAATTCGCGTTGTTAATGATAGAGTTTACCTTAAGGCACATGGTACGCCAAGCTTAATTTTCTGTATGTATTTGTTTCTGTACGTACGTACGCAACGTACAACATACCTCAATTAGCAAAAATGTTTTGGCACGTTCATACGTTTGAAACGTGACATTAGAGGAATAAGGACAAAGGTTAGGGTTAGGGCAGTAGGACTCCATTTTCCGCAATTAGACTCCTAATTGGTCCTCCATAAGGACAAAATATTGATAGATATTTGAGAGACGTTACCATGAGCACTTCAAGCGTGGCAGTATCTTTGATGTTAGCCGCACCACCCTGGTAGTAATTAGTTACTATACTATTGGTAGAGGCCGGGTTTAGACTCATCACTCGGATCACTCGCTCGCCGAGTGGTAATTCGTGGACTTTAATCTGAAAAAACAAATTGTATATTGTAAAAGGAAAATAATAAGAAATATTAATAACTTTTTTAATAGCCTACCAACCACGCGATCAGGCAGATCTGTCACCGAGAAGTTAAACAGGGGAGTGTCTATTCTCTCCTTTCTTAAAAAGGGACTCTATTCCTTAAACTTACAATTAAGTTTTATACAAAATCTTAGAAATGTTTTACAATAACTTTGTTACAATTTAAGGTAGAGTTTTGTAATGAGGTAAGGTCGAGAATTGATTACAGGGAACACTGACTTTTTTAATTACATATATAGGCTAAGATTCGCAACTTCTAAAAAGGTCCTAGTAAAATGCCTTGGAGTAATATTTTATGTTTGTACTGAGAAATAAAAAGTTAGTTTGAAGCCTTATAAAGAAACGGGGACTTACTTCAGGTAGTTCTTTTTGGGGCAGACCCTCCCATTTTATATTTTGAAGGACATTTTCCGATATTTTAATAGCATCGGTCCACGCCAAATTACCTTGCATTAGCACCTGAAACGAAATGTATATATTTCATTAATGAAAAATCATTTAGTCATCACAGTACACTACATATAAAAAAAAACAAATATTGCTAATGTTTCTAAATTTAAATTTGCCAGTTCTCAATTCAAGTAACAAGGGCGTAGAACGGACAAGAAGAACTGGCAAGAAACTCTCCGTTACTTTTTTTAGAAGATACTTAATTCATAATCCTCTAGCCCGTCGTTAGTCAATGACAAACATAATAAATACCTGTACGTATAACTTGTCTAGCAACCTATCAGTGAAGTCTTTGAGGTCATCCAAGGTTATATTTTGTATGACGATTGCCTTCTCCCGTGGCGACACGTATGGTTCCAACAACACGTTCATTCTAACGTCCCTAAAAAAACGTATATTTTTTAACTGTCTCTATGAAATACAAAAGACTTCTGAGCATGGAAGAAATAACAATTATTTGAAACTGCAAATGTTCTTAAACAATAACACTTCTTAAATTTTACATATGTTTATAGAGAATAGTGATAGTATATACTAGTTTTTATAAAAAGCCAAAAGCCCATTGGCCCAGAGGCCCTTATATGATAAAAATTAAATGTTTTCTTATCTATTTATAAATAATACTTACTTGGCCAACTTGTGAGGTTTAATGAGTACGTTGTGATACGTACGCGCACGTACTTCACGCACGGCCTCGAACAACTCTAACGTTAAATTATCCGTATTCGTACGCATTTCACGTGTCACTAGTTCGACGAGAAGCTAGAATATTTCGAAAAAATCTATAGGACGATTTAAATTAAAAAAATATTTTAGCATTTGTAAGTAAATTGCATTGACCTTTGCTTGTTGCTACCTTTATGGATTTTTAAATAAATAGTGTATAATACTTACATGTAAATTCTGACTATAACCATTGACTTTTAGCATTAGGCCTTTATCTCCGACATATAAGGAATGGGAGAGATCCGCCATGTTGGCAGGGTACACTTCTTCCTGTTAAATTTAAAAATACCAGCTCATGAAAGTATTTTAACAAAATTTAAAAAATACGTTCATTAAAACGGTGTTTAAATACTTGTCGTTTTTATAAGGGGTTAGTCTTTTAATAAGGCCCCTTTTATATGAAAAAAAAACATTCTACGTGTACTCTTAATAGTAACATAGGCATAAGACTTATAATTTTCTTACCTTAAGGCCTTGTTGCAAAACATCAGTCCAAAGATCTAGAAGGCACGATCTGGAATTAATTCACTAAAAGGTTTTAATGTCGCCTCAGTTTTTTTTTTATTTATTTATTAACATTTCGTTGCAGAAACATAATTATATGAAAAGGAGGGCAACTCTATAAAATACTATTTATTTTTATATATACCGCTAATCTATATCAATCGCTGAAATTTTCTAAGACATTCGATGACTACAAACTAAACTATAGTAACTCGTAAATTCGTCGTATCATTTTCAACATATTTAACATGTAGATACATATTGTTAGCTTTTAATACTTTTTTAATTAAATTGCAATCATTTTTAGTTTAAGTTGTAACACATGCGCACGGGCAATTCCTTTGTTCAAGTTTGATATAGAGTTTACGTAAAATCAGTGAAGTGAATTATAGTGAATCAAGTCATCATTGGAGTGTTTAATTTCCTACCCTAAGAACTAAATCAAATACAACAATATATACTAAGAATAAGTCATGATTTTTTTTTTTAATTTAAAGCAGGAAACAATATTTATTTTCCAAAAATCATCAGCCTACCCAACGGCTCTTCCAAAGGTTTTAGATATCCTTAATGTGTAAATTTAAATTAATAAATAGATGAATAAACTCACTCCCTCGGCGACTTCAAGCTGAGTGGCGTAATAAAGTAGAAATAGAGAAGTGCAGTCGGAAACCGGAACTTGAAATCTGGTTTGTACCATAACTCCATATGTCTGTTTTTACGTATTAAGTTAGGCTGGTCCAATCTGAAAGACATTAAACAATTAATTATTAATAAAAATTTTGAAGTTATACTTCTTTAGGCGCGTTATGAAAAATTGATGAGAGTGAAATTTTACGATGCGCGCGCACCGTGACACAAAATTAACAGAATGAAGTTGCCCACGGAAGATGCTACGGCATTGGACATAATTTAAAAACAACATTCGAATAATAATACAATTTATGTTACACTTAATATAAGAGAATAATAATAAATATTTATTTATTTAATTTTTCAAATGTAAACTGAACTTCATTGACTATAATGACTCCTTTTCTAGTCTTTGATTATTTAATTGTAATTAATTATTTGCATGCTATCAAAAACTATTTTTAATAATGCCAAAGATGTATAACTTCTTACGCGCGTACATAAGTACACGCACCCTTTTTTTTATTAATAATTAATTAATCTTAATGCGCCTTTTAAAATTCAAATATATATTTTAAAATATGGTTATGGTTGGTGGACTCAGTTTCCGCACTAGACTCATAATCTGTCCGTTGTGCGTATTTTGCCATAGGTACATACATAAAAAAAATTAGATATTATTTGTTTGATTATTAAGTTTTATTATTTCATCATTTTCTTTATTCTTTATAATTAAAAAAATACCTCTTAACTCGCGTTGAAGAAAGCGTACTCGTGTTTTATGTTTGTAACTTTTTCTTGTATATTTTGCAAGTACTAAAAACTTATTATTTATTTACATACATAACTAACCTAGGGAGCGTTCAAGTATTACGTAACGCAATTTTTGGAGGTTATTGATCCCCCCCCCCCATGTAACTCGCCGTAACGTTATTCAGTACCCAAGTACAGTACTGTACCCAAGTATAGTAAAACGCTTCGTGACCACCTAGTGACTCTTTAGTTACTATTATGTGGTGTAAGTCGAAAAAAATATTAACAATAACGCGTAATTTAATCCCCGCCCCGCATCGTAATGTTTAACAAAAGGTACCCCCCACCCCGTCCCAAAATACGTTACGTAATACTTGAACGCTCCCCTATCAGCTAATGCGATTATAATTATAGTATACCTTATTATATTACATTGCAATACAAAGCACTTCCTGAACTTCTTAATCTATGTGAATAAATACCGAATTAATTCAAAAGTATCGTTAATTACCTAAATTCCTGAACAGTAGCTATCAGATCACCTTCCTTAAGAATTTTAGACGTTTTCGTAGTGGCTTCTATCTTCTTATTTATATCCTTAATGGAGCTTGTCATCAAATTAATTCCTAATCGTTCAGCTTCTTCTAAATAAGGCAACGCTGGCGGTACTAAGTTAAAGTCGTTAGTTATGTAAATGTTTTTATCGGGCAGATGGAACTGCTTAAACGGCTTAACTGTTTGCCATCGGTGCATCCAGGTGGATGGGATTTCTGAAATTGATTAAACAATGTCCAATAGGTAAACAAACTAATTTAAAGAAACGCGTGGCACTCGGGGACTGCCGCGGTAAAGCTATTGCATAGCATTTTTTATCAAATTTAGCAATTATAGTTATTGAAGTTGTACTTCTTTAGGCGCGTTATGAAAAATTGATGAGAGTGAAATTTTACGATGCGCGCGCACCTATGACACAAAATTGGCAGTGTGATATAGCGTGCGCGAGCGAGATGGGAATAAGACAATCTACAAGTAAAAGAAATAGAATATGCGTGAAGCTAACTTCACGCATATTCTATTTCTTAGCTTAGCAGCTTAACAAGAATTTTGAATGACCATGACATCTGACAATGACATTTACCTTTTAAACAAATATAGGAGTTTTAATTATTGTTTACAATAAATAATTATATACCTAGTTATTTTCATTATACAAATGCGAATTTTATATGTGCGTCTGAATTATAATCAGAAGTGATTTAAATTGAATCTAAATCAAAACTAATTAATATGATAAAATATTTGTGAAAAAACTGTGCCAACCTTCCTGAGTGCTTCAATACAATTGAGGTTAACTATCCGTATGTATTATCGAGTATTATTGTTGATTAAAACTGAAACATGAACCATTATTCATTGCTTTTGTTTATTGCGTTTGTTACAGCAACTTTTTAGAAATATTCTACGACCCTATATATCAATAATTGAGAACAAAGATTTAAGCACGAATACTAATAAGGAGAAAATGAAGGCTTGGAGCGATATAACAGAGAAGTAAACATTTTAATAAGTACCTGCATCTCAAAAAAATGACCACATTATTTAATCAAAACATGTAATTTTTCAGATTTAATCTAGCAAATATAAGGACAAGAGACAAAAAACAATTGATGAATCAGTGGAAGTGCACTAAATTGAATACAAAAAAAGAGTTGTCATCTTATCGCCGTGAAACATCAAAAACTGGAGGTGGAACAAAGCCACCATCACCTTCTCGAGACACAATGGATATGGCAGAGATGATACCGCAACGGTTTGAAGTAGATTTCAATGAATTTGATTGTGATGGTGTCGAGGTAGGAATGTTAATTATAAATATGATGTATGGTGATGTTCAAGGTTCAACCTTTCAAGCATAGGCATATGCTTACAACATTACTTTATTCCCCTACAGGGTAGTTAGAGATATTGTAATACCTCAAAACATCCATGTTGCACTTGTAGTACCGAAACTCTGTCCTGCCAGAAGTGAGCCCATTCCCACTTATAATGGACAGTGGGTATAATACACCTTAATACCTGAGTGCGAACCACTCACCATGATACTTAAATTAATAGATGTTATTTATATATTTCAGGATATTACAAATAAAATCATTTTGGAAACAATTGATATCCCAAAAGCAAATAAAGCCAACAATGACAAGGTAATAAATCAGTTTTGACATAACTTGAATACTAAAAAAGCCAAACAAAGGTGTGCACAACAGTGACAACATAACTTAACAATTTCATTATTTTGTAGGATTAAAGAAAGGTTAAAGAAAATCATGTCGAACTGAACAACAAGAATCCCCAAACAACTCCAAAGAAACCTACAAGGAAGACACCGGTATTATATTTAAATTATCTCTATCTCTAAATAGAATAAAAGAAAGTTGCTATCCAGGTCTGTAGCATGTGCTACAAATTATATTATTAACACATTTATATAATTATATTAATATAAATGTGTTAAAAATTTTATAATATGAATTATAAAAAATTTTAAGTTTTGCATGGACAGAGCTTAAATTAATATTCTCTTATTTGTTGCAGAAAGCAAGTAGTAGGTAGTTTTAGTTTTGGAGAAACCTCGTAGATGCACAACCAAGTAATGATTAATTTAAAATTACAAACCGAAATTCTGATGAAGACATTAGAGTCACTTAAAAATAAATAGTATAATGAAATGAAAATGTTTTAAAGATAAATAGTGTTTTATTTGTTTAATGTAAGAGAATAATAATAAATATTTATTTAATTAATTTTTCAAATGTATACTGAACTTTATTGACTTTAATGACTCCTTTTCCAGTCTTTGATTATTTAATTGTAATTAATTATTTGCATGCAATCAACAACTATTTTTAATAATGCCAAAGAAGTATAACTTCTTACGCGCGTACATAAGTACACGCACCCTTTATTTATTTATACAGTATGTTTTTTCTGAGATATTAATTCAATCTACCACTCCACCAGACTCAGACTAACACGCCTATATAGTCTGTACCGCTCTAACGCGTACCGGCTGCACCGGCCGCGTACGTCACCGATCTCGTTAGAGAGATGTGAATACGCAGTATGCGTTCTGTCCCGCTCTAACGCGTATTGGCCGTACCTGTATTTTGCATCGTGTGTTAGGTTTATTTTCGTTACGGAATTTCTTGGTTCGGACGCCGCGCTCAAAATCCGCGATAAAAGCTATGCAATAGCTTAAAAGAGGACACCGACATTGCCACCATCTTGGCGAAAGTGGTGATATTGACTTTAAATAAACTGAAATTCAGTATTTACTTTAAAATATGAAGATGTAAAACATCTGAATCTTTGTAAGGTATCAAAAGATAGTCTAAGTAAAAAAAAACATATTGAGGTGAAAGGAAGTTGGAGAGGGCATTATTATAGTAACGTAAGCTTGTCTAAAATCTAAAAAGCATCTGTCGTCGCCATTATACGCAAATTATTAATTAGATTAGTAAATTAGAGCATTTTGAACTTACCTTTCCTTTTATATTCTGTGCCGAACCACTTCTCTTTGGCATCGTATGGAATGGGTGTCGAGTGTTTGTTCGACAAAATCATTACATTAGCTTTATCCGGTGTCATACATTCCAATAATTCTGTTATACCCTGTAATGAATTTAAAAAATAACTGTTTTTGCGTACTACACCGAAAATTTTGAGTCGAGCAAAAATACAAATTAATACTTCAGTAGATCAAATAACATTAGAAATGCATATTTATCCCTAAGATCAACATCTTAATATTTAATTAATATATTTTTTTGTCCTAAATCAAACACAGAACGAAACAAGAAGTAAAGAAGGAGCCATAGGAATAAGTATCATCCCATTCTATGCTACACCATGATATTATGCTAATTATAGTAAATTAAATATATTTATAAAAAAATCTTATATTTTAAATAACATACCTTTGGATCATATTTATAGTAGAGGCGGTCTCCAGTAATATAGTGTTTTGGAGGTAAATTCTGCATATTTTCAGCCAGGGATTCCACATATTCCGCCGGTTGCGATTCCTCTTCAAAACGGAAACTTGTTTCTTCTATAGTCTGTATATTACATTGAAAAGTTATAGTAAAGTAGCTGACTTACTAGAATAATAAATGGTAAATTATTATAAAAGAAATTTTGGAACAAAACAGCAAAAAACGATTTTATTCTAAGAAATTTAATTTGTTTTCATCGCTGCATACTTAACGTATGCACCTCCTTACTGCGAGATATACTTAAAATCATTAATAGACATGTGTATTATATTGTAATGATGTATGGCCAACATAAGCGGAAGTCCGTAGGCTATTTGGGAACGAAACGAAGGCACGAAGAAATTATCGTGGAGTTTGTAGCAAGAGTACAAAGTGTAAGACAATCTGTTTTTATTGGCGTATTAACTCTTCACAAATACTACATAACCATTATGAAGCGAACTGAAATATTTGATATCCGACTGGGTCGCTTGCTTGTTAAATAACACATTTTAATATTGGAGGTCGTAATAACATATTTTACAATTTAATTAACATACTTTAATTTCTTCAAATATCCGTTCCGAAGGACCAATTTTTCTAAGCATGTTTATATAAGAGAATATTGCTTCTAAAACCTGCAACACATCAAAACATATTTAAATTAATAAAATTACCATCGTTTAGAAAATTATACATATTAAATACGTATCTACAAATAAAAATATTTTATCGAATTAAATATCACCTACACTTAAGATTGCATATCTAAAGAATAGACGTCTACGAATAAAAATGAGAGCAGCGGAATAGAAAATATGATTTCAAAGACAGCATCCTCTTAATGTCAAAAAATATAACATTTGCCTGTCAATTTCTACGTATCAATAAAGAATTATATAAAGCAGAATAACGTACTTCGTCAATATGATCTAATCCATCCTTTGTAAGAATAACTTGAGTTGAAAACAGACTGTACATTGAAGTATAGTCTATGCCACTTTCAGAGTTGCCAGTGTAAATACCCAAAGCCCAAACTCTGTAAAAAAATATTGGGTCAATAAGTAAATTTTACCTTTTATTCATAAAAATCCTGCATCGTTTTAACTAAAGTAGTTTTTTTCATCACAGCGCGAACAAAGTATGAAATCATGTGTCATTTCAGTTTAAGCTTGGAAATTTATAGTTAAAAATAAATATAATTTAATTAACATTTGAATATTATTTATTCTGTCGTAACAGCTGTAGATAAACAACCGTTAGCCGATTGTGACTAAATATTATGTACTAGTTTTTCATATGGTATCAATTTGTAATAACAGATTATAAAAAAAGAAAACATTTTTTAATGTGTTTAGGTATGAGGACTTACTTTTTTCTAAGATATGACAATAAACTCCCTTTCCCCTCGTGTCCTAAAAGATATGAAATATACTGATGCGGTTTCGATTCGTATTCCGTTATTAAAGATCGCATTAACCATGTCAATTGTACCTGAAATATAATTTAATTAGATAAGTTATTAAAGGTGATTTATGTTCCAATTGCCTATATTAGAAATGTACTTACAATACATTTAATCTTATATAATATATTAACTGAAGTTATTACTTATAAGACTAGACTCATCTTACATGGCATTATCAAAATGCGTATAATTTGCACGATAACCTTAGCGAATATAGACGGTAACCATGGCAACAGTACGTCGTAAATTGCAAAATACGCGTGTGGGGACGATTTACAAATATTCAAAGTAATTCTACAACAATCTTGCCAATTTATTAATTTTTATTTGTATATAAATAAAATAAAAAATAAATCAGTGGCGCTACAACCTCTTTAGGCCTTGGCCTCAGATTTCTGAATCTGTTTCATGATCATTTTTAAATCTAATAGGCAAGGAGGTGATCAGTTCCAGACTCCAGTGCCTGACACAAGCCGTCGACTTTTTGGGTCTAAGACATGTCGGTTTCCTCACGATGTTTTCCTTCACCGTTCGAGCAAATGTTAAATAAAAATGTTAATAAAAATAAATGCGCACATAGAAAGAAAGTCCATTGGTGCACAGCCGGGGATCGAACCTACGACCTCAGGTATGAATGTCGCACGCTGAAGCCACTAGGCTAGGCCAACACTGCTCTTCTGCATTTGTATATAAACAAAAGCAAAAAAGCGGTGATGACGGAATTAATATAAAAGTGCTCTTACCTCAGTTGTATCACTAACGGGTTTCACATAGTATATACTAGTAAAATCACTAGTGATATTACGGGGATTAAACATGTGCTCCTTAAAATTATCTGAAGGTAGATTATTGGTCGGAATTTGTCCAAACGTCTTTGCCACTAGCCCCTCTAGGGATGAGAGGTCCATACGAGCCTAAAATAATATATCGTCATAAGTGAAACACATCAAACCAGGTTTAGTTTTAAACGCGAATGACGCTTGTATATTTAATTTAGAAAGTTACACACAAGTATGCGATGGAAGGTGCTAGAGTCTGAATTGAATTATTTGAAAACTTTCGGATGGCAACACAGAATGTCATTGAATTTCTTAGGTTAGTATGATGTATTGTCTTGATACTTCATGCAATTACTCATTTTTATTTCTATTATATATTTTTTCCGAATAGTTAACAGATATAATAGCCTAAACTTTGTTTTATTTGATAGAATATTTCGTTTCTTTCGCAGGATTTGATTATTCCGAATAAAGTTGTGTTTTAAAATAAATATAGTTTTCGTTTTCCATGCAATGGTAGTCATTTTAATATCAATGGTAAAATACTAAATACGTATAGTATTTAATTTCATAGAAATACAGTTACTATCAATGTTAAAAATAAAATCAAGTATCAAGTAAGTTTAATCCACAAAATATATCAAACTTTTAGGGATATCATACTTTTTTTTTTTTTTTCATTTTTTTCTTTTTCGTTATCTTCTTTCATTAGCCAGACTCTACTCTACCTCCAAGCTAAATGACGAATTCTCGACCAGTCTTACCACTGACTGGCCGGCATAAACTCCTCAGTGGTTAAGCTTATCTATTAGCATAGCTTAGCGAATTAGAATAAGTAAGAATAACTTCGTAAGCTTGTCTAGGATATGACGTCATTAATTGTAGCCTTAAATTGCGATACAAGTGTTGAGGATAATTATTGTTTCACGAGATTTTACCCCAGGCACTTAAAGGTCGGCAACGCAAATGAGAGTCCATGGGCTGATGCGTTTTGCCTATATAAAAAAAGTTTGTTTCTAATTAGTTATAGACAACTGTCTTTATACCATAAAAAAAAGATTACATGGAACACTTAACGGTTAGTAGCAATTACGACTAGTATATTTTAATTGGAAAACGGAGGTAAGCTTAATCGAATTATTCAATAATACTAACTTGTACAGTAACAGTCATTCTATGCGCGCTATAATGACGTCTTCGGAACTCGTGCGCAGCCTGATAAAGCTTGTCGTCATCAGGTATATCCTCCTTCAGGCTCCGAAGGTTTCCCCAAGTGAAGGTCCTTGCTGGGTGACCCTCAGGAAACATACTTGACAGCAATTGGTCTTTACGATTGGAGTCGGATGGTGAAGCTATCGCAAATTCTGTGAAATTTATATAAATATATTAATAAGGTATGTGGTTTTTTAATATATCTCTTTCATAAAACCTTCCTTTGGATGGTGTAATGTCGGTTAAATGGTTTAAAACCGATCGTGTCTTAGTGGTATTCAGTATTCACGCTTACTTTATTCACGAGGTTTGAATGAAGACTTAGGAAAATTAATTTAATCGCATTTATTGTTATAATCATCAAAACCTAAAATAATATATAAATTTTATAATGAAACTAGCTGCCCCGCGAACTTCGTTTCTCCTTGTGATTTTACTTAACCTTCCTTTTTAGTACATACCAACATTGCTATACTACCCCAAAGACTGTTCGGTTTTTCGGAATGAAAACTTTTTAGGTTTTCTGTGAATTTTTCTCTATATAACCTCAGAGTTCAAGTCATAAATTTTTAATTAACAAATTTAAAATAGGGGTTGATTGTAGAGGGGTGAAAATTAAGGGTTGTATGTATTTTTGTATTCTGTATCATACAAAAATAAAAACAAAAAAAAATTGTCCAAAAAAATTAAAAAATTAATTTAAGCGTGGACCACCCTTAACATTTAGGGGGATGAAAAATAGATGTTGTCCGATTCTCAGACTTACTGAAAATGCATAAAAAAATTCATAAGAATCGGTCGAGCGGTTTCGGAGGAGTATGGGAACGAACAATGTGACACGAGAATTTTATATATTAAATTTTTTTACGCAAGTTAAAAGCATGGTACTCGGTAGATATCGATTTTAAAAAATTACAAAATTTCACATGTGTTTATAATAATCCATAACATAATTTTAAATTATTCTAATTATATTATTTAAATTCAATAACACATTGATAATAATAATTTAATAAAATTGGTACCTGAAAAAAATCTGAATTCTAGAAGCCTTCACAGTAACAGGTGTTCTCAAACAAACAATAAAATAATGATTTGAAATTCTAATTTGTATTTTCTCCTACTTACCAGATTCAATGGCTTCTCTTTCCCTCTGCATGGCCTCTTTCAACATCAGAGGACTAACAAAGAACTGGCTGAACATATCCATCGCACTCGAAAGATGCTTCTCAGATATTTCAAAATAGAAGGTTGTAACTTCGCAGTCAGTTGACGCGTTGTCGGAACCACCTTTTTTCTGAAATTGTTAATTAAATTGATTAACCATAAGTATAACCGTTATTGGAGCACGAATTTTGACTTTATTAATATAATACAAATTTCTAGGTTGTTATTTTATTTTACGGTTAATCGACAAATTAGATTTAAGACCGATGTATCATTAGTTTAGATGATTTATATTATACTAGCTGTCACCAATGTAATAATAATAATCGCCATGCAATAAAAAAATCAATTCGAAACAGTACTGAGAACGCATTCCAACAAATATCTAAGTGTAGCTATATATTACCTTAATAAAAGCATCAAATTCATTTTCTTTTGGATACTTTTCACTTCCCATAAACACCATATGCTCGACGAAGTGCGCCAATCCTTGTATTTCTGCAGGATCACTGTAACTCCCCACACCCACGCAGAGAGCACAGGCAGCCTGAAAAACATTAGCCTTTAGAATATAATAACACGAGAGTTAAATCAACTCTGATTATTGTGTTGAGCAAACATACACTTAATACAAATAATTCTGATTGTTTCTACGTAGGAAAGGACTCTGTTACTGATTAACAGCTCCAATGCACAAATTCGTTAACGTTATTTCATTCAATTTAACGGCATTATTTTATTTCTATGATAATTATTAGTATTATATTATGTATCCACCCACAAGGATCTGTTCTCGGCCCCATGCTCTACACGTTGTACACTGCTGACCTACCGCTATTGCCAGGAATAACCACAGCAACATTTGCAGACGACACCGCTATATTAGCAAGCAATAAAGAGCCAGGATTTGCATCAGAGGACTTGCAGAAGGGCCTTGACAAAGTTAACGAATGGCTGCAAAAATGGAAAATAAAAGCTAGTGCCGCGAAGTCAGTACACGTGACCTTCACCCTTAGAAGAGGAGACTGCCCATCTGTAAAGTTGGACCAATGTATTCTGCCCCACAGCGATGATGTAAGATATCTTGGCTTAAACATTGATCGTGGATTAACGTGGAGGCACCACATCAAATGTAAAAAGCAGGAGCTACAGCTAAAGTACAACAGCCTTTACTGGATGCTAGGAAGAAACTCAAGACTTTCTTTAGATAACAAACTTCCTAGTCATCCTAAAGCCCATTTGGACATATGGCCTCCAACTGTGGGGCAGCGCAAGTGATACCAACACAAAAATATACTCCAGCGACAACAGAACAAGATCCTAAGAGCAGTTGCAAAAGTACCATGGTACATAACCAACAACGAAGTTCACGAACACCTTAAAATGAGAACTATCAAAGAGGAAATCCGGAGACTGGCAGCTAAATACAAAGAGCGGTTAAGCTGTCACCCGAATAAACTTGCTCGCCAACTCACCATTAGACAGTATGTGAGTCGACTAAAACGTCACCATATTCTAGAGCTAGAAGACCGGCAGTAGCTCTAGACAGAAGATGAGTAGATGCTTCCAATGGGAAGTCACTCCACATGACAGCACCACAGAAAAAATTCGCTCATAGCCTTGGGGCTGATTGCAAATTTCCGCAAAAAAAAAAAATATTATGTATCAACTATTTTTACTATAACAATTCTCTCTAATCCAGGACCTCTATACACGGCATAGCGTATTAAATAAAATCTATATACAGTTCCTCTCTTCCATTTCTTTAACATAATTCAATAACATATAACGTAAGTGATACGTGACATAAATCATTACAAGTAATTTTCATAATCTAGGCAAATCTGCATACGTGACAATTATAAAAACACTTTTCAATTATTATACCTACATATGACCTACTCTACATATGGACACAACTGATATACTGCTAATCTATTTTATACACTAACTGGTTCACATTAGGGTTATTATTCCAAATAATTTTACAAAAGCCATTGGCATACCGTGTCAAGTGAAAGTTGTGTATAGAATATCTTGCAGTGCTTTCTAGATCGATATATTTTCTCATATGCTTTCTTCATATATTTAAATACGTTGTGTTTACAACCACACCTGGCCTAAATAAAAAACGAAATAATTTACAAAATAGTAAAAATAAATGTTACGAGTTGGTCATTGCAATGGCTAATAAGAACTTTGGCACCAATCATACTTCCATTGGACAACATCAAATTTATTGTTAACCTAACGATTAAGCGTGTGTTTGTAACCATTGGTTTTTTCTTTGTATTCGCGCAATCAACACGAGTGATCAGTGAAAGAGATCTCATTAAAATATTACTGTACATAATTGTTTGAAAAATTTGTACCCATAACTATTAAAGTTGACAGTCAGGGTGAAGTTCAAAAACAAGTCGACGTATGTGAACACGTCGATGTCGACGAACTATGAGAGCTGTACGTCAAAATCCAGTACGTTTTTGGCATATGGGCTTATACGCGCTAAACCTCGACTCTAGTGGCGTAACAATAGGGTGGTAGGGCTGGCAAAATGCCTCGGAGCCCCCGACCCAAGAGGGCCCCAGTCCAAGAGATATTATGTTCTATGGATGAACATTCCCTCTCGCCTAAGAGAGGAGGCATATGGCCATTAGTGGGACATATACAACCTGTAATTGAGTACGCTGTAAATCTCGAAGTTTAGATATTAAAATTAAACTGAGTACAACGTGACGATTTTTACTGATAGGGCCCCATCATATGAATTTGCCACGGGCCCCAGATGGTAAAGTTACGCCACTGCTCGAATCTGTATCTTACTATATGGATTGTTGGACGAACATACGTAATAATTTATCAGTTGTGTCCTAGAAGAGAAGCCACTAATTAATTATAAATGCAGGTTAATCTATTATGGTGCTATAAAATCTAAAGCTTAAAACTTTACATTTAAAAAAAACTTATTAGCCTATGCCCGCAATTGTATTTAATAAAAATACTTATGTGCAAACAAAAGAGGAGAAAACGCTTAAACATTTTTTTAATAGGATATTAGAACACCGAATAATTATAAGTATAAAAATAAATTAGTTTCATGATCATTTGTGATACTAATAGGCAAGTGGGTGATCAGCCTCCTGTGCCTGACACACGCCGCGCCGTCGATTTTTGGGTTTAAGGCAAGCCGGTTTCCTCACGATGTTTCCCTTCAGTGTTCGGGCGAATTTAAGATGCGCACATAGACAGAAAGTACATTGATGCACAGCAGGGGATCGAACCTACGACCTCAGGGATGAGAGTCGCAAGCTGAAGCCACTAGGCCAACACTGATTTTATATTAAATTATAATTATACAGAATTAAATATCAACTGCCAAAATGTACATTTTCTATGATTTATGGTTTGCGTTTAATTAATAAATGTTTGCACGAGAATAATAAGAACAAAACATTTAAAACCTATTTAAGGCTCTATAGTACGTCTATGATTGAGAAAAGAAGATAGATTAATTGTTATTATTGATTGTATTTCGTTTAACCAAATATTTTAAAGCAAATACCGGGTAGGCCTAGTGGTTAGGCGCGCCACTCTTAATGCTAAGACCGTGGGTTGCAAGGTCACTGACATTTTCTCCAAGTAAATGTATTTATCAAAATTCATCTAGCTTAAGAATGTAGACGTGAGGCGTTATTATTATGTCGTCAGCACTTTGTTAAATAATCGTTTCGGACCAATTCACTTATAGGTTCATAAACACGTAATACATTTTCAGTCACGTTGCTTTTTATAACGCAAGCCTCAAACTATAGCTCCGTTGCAAGCTGCGTTCAAGTATTACGTAACGCAATTTTTTTATGATTTTAGAACTCCCTCCCCCCATGTAACGCACCATAACGTTTTTCTGTAGAGATTAAGAATAAGATTTTAAGTATCATTTAGTGCAACATCAATCATAATTTATGCTAATGTTTTGTAGTTGCTAAGATAACACTGCAACATCATTAAACCACAAAAGCTTTCAGAACTATATGCATATTTTGTATATACTTTATATCAAATACTCTTCTAGTGTTAGGCAAAGGCAGGCATAAACGCAAGTGACAATTCAAGGTTTTCAAATTCTACCTCTAAATGATCTACAACCGAAATGAAATTAACATGTTGTCATGTATTAAAAGTTTTTATTATTAGAGAATACTGTAACCATAAACATTTACAGTAACAGATCATGTTAAGAAGTGAAAGTTGCTAGTAGCCTGTTTAATTATTGCTAGTAAACTTAAGCATGTGTCTTCGTCTTTCGAGCAAAAATTATGTGTTTGTTGTTTAAATTGAAAAACAATGTTTTGAGAAATCTGTTGGATAGTTAAACCCAAAACATATATAACTATAAACCTGTGGTTAAGCATATTTAGAAAGCCTAAAATGTGTTATACTAACTGCATTTAAAAATCATTACATGAACAGTATCTTATGAACATGTATAAAAAAAATAATGATTTAAACATCTTTATCATAAACAAATTATCTTACCCATTTATTTACTTAGGATGAACCCCATAATTTTAGATACATTAAAAGTAAAATTTATGTGTGGAAATAGCCAGTAGGCAGCAATTTTACAATTCTAACAAAACTCAAGGTCAGATCAAAGACCACAAGATTTAACAATACACAATAATAATACAGTTTAGCAATAATCGTCTAACCATCGAATGCAGTGATAAAAATTGCATGTTGAAGTTTGCAATATTTTTTTTTTAATCTAGCAAACCCTACAAGGTCTTAGTCTATTCTTTTCATAATCAATTTCATCAATTCAATTACAATTGCGTTTTCTAGGCTACAAAGTAACAAGCTAACTGAATTAATTTCCTAGCTTAATTTTTTTACTTCTGTTAAGTGTACTCAAAATAATTAATCAAAACTATTAAGCAAATTAATATGATTAATGGTATAATTTTTCCTATTAGAAAGCGTGCATACATCACACTTCATGTATGGTGCAGGCTAAGTTAGGTCATGCCTGAATAAATTCCCATTCTCCATTTTATAAAAAAATACTATATGACTGCTGCAATTCTACCTTAGCATTAAAACAAAGCTCCTGGTTTCATATATAGGGTAAAGTTCTTACCAATTTTTCTTCATCAAATTCGCTACGTCTCTTAGTGTTATGTTGATCACTAGCTACAGACTGCACAGACTGGGCCCCATCACTATCAGAACCAGTTCCATCTGATTCGCTAGTCTCTTCTTCACTTGAACTGGTCTCATTATCAATAACTTTACTCGGATCTGATATAAGTAGAGCAGTTAAACCATTCTCAAGCCGAATTGTTCTAAAAAAATATTATATGGTTATAGAAATATAATGAAAAAAAAACTTTATTTTCTGTTAAATATATAATAATTTAATTAATAGTAAAAGTTGGCTTACTTGTAAAGCTTTTTGTCGGACACAGATTTAATTGGCTCAGAGAGAACCTCCACTTTCTCCATATTGGGTATAAATCCCGGTTTTGATTTATTTCGAGGAACCTTTATATCGGATCGTATCCGATGAATTTTGTTGTAAATATTTCTTTTAGACATGTCTATAAAAATACGATTAGTCTGAAGAAAAATCGGTGTGTTTTGAACGAAATCAACGAATCTATACAGAAATTTTGACATTAGCACGACATTTCTTCTTTTAATTTCTTTGACACAAGAAAACCTTTTTGTTAACTGTTATAGAAAATGACAGGTTTCGAAACGTATTGCTAACTACAAAAATATATTTTTCTTACAGTAGTTTGTTTTCGAATCTAATGGTAGGGGAGCCCACGATGCTAAATGGGGATTTACTCGAGCGTCGTAGAGACCTATTGGGATGCAAAGCTTAGATAATAAGAAGAAAAAAATGTTATATGATAAATTCCTTTTCATCGGTGGGGGAAGCGGCTATAGATAGTTAAATATGTAAAAAAAAACTGTTGCATGGACATCCTCGAGCGCGTCAGATATTGATAGCATCTATGCCCTACGTATTTTTAATAATGTACGTATGTTATTCTGATAGTTTGCATGATGCGGGTGGTTGTATTTAAGGGTTGAAAATGAAAAAAAAAAAATATCGAGCGCGTCAGATTTTCTAAGGGAGTGTTAAGTGCACCAAAAAAAAGCTCTCATTCACTAATCTGACGATTTCGATGGGACGCAAGCCCACAGCCATTTTCATGATTTGCAAAAAAAAATCGCAATTTTGAAATACTCAAGCGCGTCAGATTAAGATATATGTGGTTCATCTTTATGTTCTAAACGTACTGTCTCATAATCTGACGATTATCTAGAGGGATTCGCCTGATCTGACAAAAAAAAAATAGAAAAACGGTTCACCTAAAGGGCCATCCCTGCAACTTCCCGCTAATTCCATTCCTGGGCGCTTAAAATTGATATTTTGAGCTCGCTGAGTTCAAAGAAATAACATTTCTATGCATTTGAGCTCTCCCAGCTCGAAAGTCTGATAGAAGTTTTATAGAACACTATTTTTGGAATTTTCAAACCGCAATAACTTTTGAATGGATCAAGCAATTTTCACGCGGTTGGCGGCATTCGACGCAGTGTTATCATCATCATAAGTAATTTTGCAATTGTAATTGATCGAACCACAAATTTCGGAGTAATCCCGAAAAAACACTTTTTCGGGTTTCTTTCGTTCACGATATCTCTCGAACCGCTTTTGACCAGCTTGGTGGCGATCGACGTGGTTTTTCAAGCTCAAAGGCGGATTAGTTTTTGAAGTTGATCTATAAAGAAACCACTTAAAAAAAAAATATTTCTTATTTTTTTAAGATTTTTCAAAATTTCTCAAAATCTATCGGTCCGAATCGGTTCAAATTCACAGGAAATGTAATGTTTAGGGAAATATTTAGAACACCGTTAAGTAGATTCCGATCGGTTTAAGGAAATGTAGGCATCACGCAGCTGCACGCATTTAACTTTATCGACGAATTTTTGTTATTTCGGCTTGCGGAAATCGTCAGATTATATATTTTTCATTATTCTTGAATTATTTCCTTCAAAATAAAATAAAAATTAGCTACGCTCGAGAATGTCGAGATGACGTTTTTTTTTTACAACTTTGTCGCCCTCCCCTTTTTTTCCGTCACTCTCAAATTGTCAGATTAGTGGAATATACACTTTTTAGGATGTAATTAACTCACCCTACCTTAATCTGACGCGCTCGGGAATTTCTGATGGTCAATTTTTTTTTACTAATCTGATCCTGTCTCCTTCACAGGCGGCCTTATATATGGACCTCATGTTTTGTGGAGGTACTTAACCGAGTACAAGCTATCCCCTGTATATTAATCTGCCGCGCTTTAGTAAATCCCAAAATCCCCTCTTGGGCTCCCCTACCATAATACGATTGTGTGTTAAGGATTTGTATTTGGTTACGTGTAAATTTTGGCTGCGTCTATTCATCCGTATATCCGTATGAATAGTCACTGCGAAGGCTGCGTCTATTCATCCGTCAACCGTATGAATAAATTTAATTTATTTTTCCAGTAACTTAGTAGTTTTTTTTATTTTTATGATACTTATGTTACAGCGGGTGAGGGCTGCTCTTCCTCCGCGCCTCCGATTTTTTATATACACTCTAGGAGTAGGGCAGACAAGACCACGTGGATAGTGGGGTGCTCTGATTCGGTTTTGGGTACTTTTTGGATATTAAAGTAAACACTTTATTCTAGTAAGAATTAAATAATACAGAAAGTTGCAAACAATGAAATACAAGTACTAATTAGGAAATACAAACGAGTAGATATCGATAATTTTAATATTTTCAGAACTCTATAACACCATCAACACGAAATTGGGTTAATTTCAATGTTGATTATTCTATAACTTTAAAATTAAAAAATGAGGAAATAATCGATAAATAAAAAAAATAATATGTATATATCGATACCTCCTAAGTATACTGAGTCAACTGACATTTTAGTAATTTTATAGGAGAGCCATTTTAAGGCAAATTGTTTATATTTTAATGAAATCAAACTAATTCGGAATAAATTAAATGTTTTTTTAATAAAGATTGAAAGCTCTTCCTTTGGTATAACATCATTTTGCTGAATTTTGTTTTTAAATGATATTTTATGTACATGACTTATTATACACGGGCGGGACTCTATAGTAAAATGGTTTAACTACCAGTTATATTCATGTACGTTGGACATGAAAATCCATGGCTTACTCGAAAATATTACGAAATATGATAATTATTTTATTAATATCATACTACTTTTGGTTATTTTCGAAATTTTTTGTCCCACTTAATAATAAAATGTTGAAATTACATCACTTGACTCATTATACTAGGAAAGTACTTACCTATGTTAGTAGTTAAAACCTCAACGTATACTGGACTAATATAACTAATCGAGGCTTTTTAATTATGTACTCATTTTAGCTATTTAGTCGTATATAAGTAGTCTCATTAACAAAACAACACAATTAAAGAATCACAATGTATTTTTCGTTTATACTAAGTAGGACCCTTTTTTGTAGTATGTAGTATCATTAAAGTTTCTTGAAAAGTAACAAACATCAATAAAAATAATAGGAACTAAAAATGGTAACTTACGTTAAACAATATTAATAAAAATAATAGATATAAATAATGTAAATATCTAAAAATCTAGGAAATTCTAACGTTAAAAAAATTGCTATAAGGTTAAACAAATAAATAAAAATATTAAAGGTTGAACGAATCAAAAATCAGTCTGAATCAGTGTCATCTGTTCCATTAGAGTTATTTATATAGATAGATAGATAGATCCGTCATTCGTAGTTGTCTAGTTGTTTATAAGTTTTGACTTTGATTTGAAGTCCTTTATTAAATCCTGAGACACTTCAATAACTGTGTATGTATCTAAAAGCTCTCATCATTGATCAGGCATATAAAGCTTTTTATCTTTGTCTGTCTTTCAATTAAAGCGTGCATACTGTCGCCATCACTTTGTGAATGACCCACTATTAGAAAGCGATGGCTAATAGCTATACTACACTTTAAACTAGCTAACATATACATTAAGAAATAAATCCTATTTCTATTTTGGCCTCCACAGTTGTCTGACTAAAATCGGTAATCTTTGACACCTTCACCACCCGTATCTTCTATAAACTTAAAATGATAGCTGGAAATTTCAATTGCACCTCTCTTTGCTGTCTGTTGATACCATCAAAAGCAATCACCTTGGCGAGATCCCAGAATGAATATCGTGAAATTATACAAATAATGTTTCCGTTTATAATAAAAAGCACTCACGCTCCCGTGAGGTACATACATTAAGACACTTTTGAAGATCAGTTGCTGATGTTAGGATTTCATTATTTTGTAACGCTGATTTTTATCTTTTGTTTTAATTTTTCTAGCTTTGACTTTTTTTTTAAATGCTGTTCATGCTTTTCTTTATCTGTCTGTAGAACTTGCTTGTTATTTTCATAAATGTGACATTGTTCACAAAAATCTTTTTTGGGTTTATAAAACCTATATATAGATATCTCGATATTGCCTCACGGTAGTCATAAACCATTCGATTCATGAACAGTTTTGGGAAGGATAAAGAGCCTTCCAGATAATTTTTACTTGATTTTTGGCGAGTGTAATGTGACTCTACAGGAGAAAATGCTTCAACGTGATCACTGTGAACGTTATCGAATGGATTATATGTTCATCCAAAGATTATTGTCAATGACCACGCTGATCTGATTTAATAAATCCATTACCTTTATCGGACTTTTCTAAAGCTGTATAAGCAAAATCAAAACTAATAGAAAGGGTTCTCAAGAACATAGTTTTGCAAACCGATATTTTTGTGGTCTCAATATTATCTCCTTCACTCCTTTTTTTATCGACAATATTGTTTTTCTTTTTTTCCAGCTTTTATAGCATATCTTGCCAAAAAACCCATTGTCTTGAGTGGTCCAATAATCCAAAACGTTCTGTTAATTTCTCACTGCATTTTTTCCGACAAGTTGAGGGGCAAGAAGTTTTCATAATTCTCGTAGCATCTACTCTTCCGTTTCTACTGACATATTCCAATCCTCTATTAAGCTTGGAAATATAAGCTCAATAGAGGATCTCTCCTTATCCTTAAATTTTTTATCAAACTCTTAGCCTTTCTTTATCTTTTTTCGCAATGGAAATGCGCTTTTGGCGTTATTGGACGGTGAGTATGTGATATCATTAATGTCAGAAATTAACAGGAGATGAGTCAAAAGAATTATACGGCGATGGTACTGGAGTTATATCACAATAATTTTCTATAATGCTATTCTGGATGGGCCAATTACCTGGAGTGTTCTCTATGACTGATGGCGATCGATCTCCTTTTTGAGTTCAGTTATCAACATTCGATACCCAATGCGAAGAGCAAAGAATATAATCTAGGAATAATATGAAAGCATTAGAAGGGATATTCTGCGATACTTCCTTGCTATCATTCTAATCAATATCATCAAGTATTGATAGCTCCTCTTCCATAAAATTTGCATCCGGTGGCAATGGAGACTCTAAAACAAACAACAATTAAAAACACAAGAATTCATATTTTTATATTTAACGTGCCAATATCAAGTTATAAAATTTATAACACATAAAAAAAATATATTATACCACAATTAAAACAAATATATCAAAAATTGAATTAGTACATTATTATAGCCAGATAAGTAAGGTGTCTTCTTTATAAAGTTTGTTCGTTGTAAACAGGTGTAAATATAGTTGTATCAGTATACGGCGTACTAAGCGACGTGTAACAAATATCAAACAAAAATGGCAAAATCACACTATATTATGTAACATAAATAAAGTATATCAATGTAACTTACCATATTTATCCCTGTTTTGCATTATATCACCGATTCCTGAGATATTTCTAATTGTATTATTAGTATTATTCACCTTATTATTGAGAAAATTAAAAAAATTTCGCGCACTCGCCGTCATTTATCGTATACTGAGCCATAATATACTTGTATCAATGCGTCCCTCCTCACGCCCCGCGAACACTGATACAATGTTATTTGGATCAGTATACAATGTACGATTTTAACTGATGTTGAAATTGATTTAGTATACGTGAAATTATCTCGGTAATTATAGGTCTTTTAAAAAAAAAATAACACTAACATTAAGATCATGGTTTATTATGTACTTTTGTATAAAAAAAACAAAATACCTAAATTTGTTAGATGACTCAGTATACTTAGGAGGTATCGATATACGGACGAATAATCATATATTATTCATCCGTATATACGTATGAAGAGAAACTGCGTTAAATTTTGGTCTAAATACAAAACTGGAGGAAAAAGTTCTCATTGCGTCCGATAACTGTCTCCATTTGGAACAAGTACTTAGTAAAGACTACTTTCTAGATATAAATAACTTTTAATAAATAAATTAACTATATAAGGAATTATATTATAATATATAAAAGTCTATGGTGTGATCCATGTCTATCATTTGCTGTATATATTTGTGATATAAAACCTAGCGAAGGTAGTCGACACTTATTAAAAATATATTTTTTACCTACGTAGACATTAGGCTACACATTAGTGCAACTGGCAACATTTATTTTTCCAGATTATTGTCATTTGCCACCGAACATTAAATTAATGACACTTGACTTTGTTATGTTTGTATACTTTTGTTGGTACATTGCATTTCAAAGTAAAGTTGTAACAGATTTTACAATCCTCCCTCATTTCAGTTTCGGAAACTAAAATTATAACGCTTCGTGTAATTATGCTGTAACAAACTATGATTAAATCCATAGTTTAAAATCTTTTTTGTACCATCCGAAAAGTATTAAAAATGGACAATTCGTACTCCGAAAGCGATGTTTCCCTGTCACCATCGCAAATATTTGAAAAATTAGATATGCTACGACAGCTTCAAATAATGCAGCGCGGGAAACTATTAAAACAACGGTTAGACTACCAAAATTCACCTGAGATTTCTTCAAGTATAACCGAAATTGTAAGTCATTTTAGTAACAGCACCACATACAATACATTTAAAAGTTTATTACAATCTCCGCGCGATAGATCTAACGACGCAACTCCTCTTCCTGAAGTAACTTGCACAAACTCTGACCCGCGTGGTGGCCAAAATGTGCAAAATCTAATTGACGGTGTGTCAGTGCTAAACTTATCACATGAATCAGAAAACATTACTAAATCCCCTATTTCAAGTCAAGCATTAAATCCCTCAAAGCTAAGAGACTCCAGTGAAAATTTAGATAAGGATGATAGAATATCTTCTAACAATAAAAAACATATATCTCTTGATGAAATGCCTATTTTGTCACCAAAGAAGAACTTTGAAGAGTTAATTGTAGATACCTTAAAAAATGACCAACAACAACATAAACAACATCTCAAAGAAAATGTCACAACCATAACAAAAAAACAATATTTGAAGAGAGGAGAGGGAATGGCTCGTTTTGGGATTAAGAAGAATAATCTTATCATTCAAAATACAAAATCACTACCTTGGAGACTAAAAGCTGGGTCTAGTAAAATGCAAAAAATTCCATCCAGTGAAATAAGACATAAAACTAACAAAGAAGCAGAAATGTTAGTCCATGTTCCTTCAAGTTTACCAATACCCAACCAAGTAGTTTCAATTGAAAAAGTTCATAACCAACAAGAATTATCTGACAGTAAAAAAAATTATGTTAAACCGTCTACTAATTTACAAATGAATAACATTAGTAATTTGACAGTAAAAGTACCAATACCAAAACACCCTATTCACACCAATAAAGGAAAAAATTGGGCTGCTGTATTAACAAAAGAGCAAGACGATTTTCTTAGAAAGTTAAAACAAAGCGAATATTATAAAAACTTTTCTTCTCTAAATAAAAGTGTTGAATCGGACATTAGTAGTTGTGAAAGTTCAAAGGTGATTCAGAATAAAGAAATAGCAGAACAAAATTTATTTGATTTAATTGAAAAAAAAGTTTCTCATGATAGTTTCAATATAAACAACTCATTCTTTGATAAATTTATTAGAAGTAAATTTGAATGCTCGGGGGAAAGTACTCCTTTAATAATGCAAAAATGTTTAACAGAAAATCCAGGCTTAATGCATATAAACTCAAACTTAAGAAAAAATAAAATAAACAAAGTTTCTGGTAGTGAAGATGAGTCTTGCATAAGCGAGTGTACGGATTGTAGTGAATGTTGCTCAGTATCCACTTGCTGTTCATGCCAAACCGAGGCACAAAGTAACCAACCAAAAATAATGGCACAAAACATTAAGATAATGAAAGGTAATGCAAAATTGTCACAAATTGAAGTACACAATGGGAGAGATGTGTCACAAGATCAATGTCAAAATGGAAATGACAAATCTGATATAGACAAAGTTAATTCTAATATAGCAGAAATGAATGCCAAATTAATTGCTACAAGTGATACATTAAAGGTAAGGTTACAGGAGTTGGAGGATGAAATTGAAACATTTCGAAAAGAAAATGCCAATATTACAAAAATGCGAGAAGAAATTGACTTAGAGCGCCAAAAATTCTATGAAGAAAAGTCTGCATTTGAACAAAAATTCAATGAAGAGAAGATTCTCTCAGAATATTATTTAGCAGAAGAAAAGGAGAAACTAATGAAGCAAAAACAAATATATGAACGATATGTTCGGGATATGAGAGGAAGGCTTAACAAAAAAGAGAAGGATGAGGTAGCCAATTTAAAAAAAGAGATTTCTGTTTTAAAAGATGATATTAGAGTTAAAGATGCTAAATCAACATCTACTATTGCAAGATTAAGGAATCAATTAAAACTTATGGAAAAAGATAAGAAAAATTTGGAAGAGGAAGTTGAAAAGTTAAAAAAAGAAAATAAAAGGATTCAACATAGCAATGAGGTGACTAGAAGATTGACTAATATTAAATATTTAGAACAAATAAATAGAAAACTTTCAACAATGGCTGCTCGAGAGACTAAATCAGAAATTGACTTAGATCCAGATATTAAATATAAGGCTTTTGAAATAGAGAAACAAAGTAAACTTATGACAAAAGGAATAAGAACTAGAGCCAAAAGTGTACCCAATTTAAATGTGACTTCAAAATATGCTAAATATTTTAGCCAAAAAGATTCAGTAAGTGATAAAGGTAAAAATACCTTAGTCACAACATATGTGTATACATCTGATAATGACATAGACAATGAATCAATTGGTGAAGATTCTAATGGGGAACTTCCACAGAGCTTTTCAGAAAATGATGATAATTATTTAGAAAAAATTTACAATGAAAGATTTAAATCAAATTCACCTTCTAGCAAAAGATCTAGTGTAACAAACTCTCCACCTTATCAAAATACCCGAGGAGATACAAGTAGTTTCTTTTTACAGAAATCAAGTTCAGTGCCGTCCAATAAAAAGGCTAAATCACCTATACATAATATAACACCAAACAGCTCTAGTTCAAATATCTCAAAATCGCCACCAATAAGTGAAAGATTGCACCATACATTTAACCAACAACCTGTTAAAGAAGCAAAAAATTGTTTACACAATAAATCAATATCTCCATTATCAGTTATTAGCAACCAATCAACAAATAGTCAAAAGCCTATGACTGTAATATACAATGAATCTATGTATAATAATAATGATGACCGACTAATGCCTTCTCCGGAACCAACATCTTCCACAACTATAACTAAAACAAATTTAAATCCTATTGAAACATTAAAACCTAATGGGACAAGAGAATTGCGATTTTCTAATGGTAATTTAAAAATAATGTCTGCTGATGGCAAATACAGTAAATTTATATATTACAATGGAGACATTAAAGAAAACTTTTACAATAAGGGTGTAATAAAATACTTCTATTCTGAGTCAAAAACTTATCACACTACACACTCGGATGGTTTAGAAGTTCTTGAGTTTCCTGAGTAAGTATTCATGTAATTATTTAAAATAACAACTTTCAATAAAACTAAGTGTGTAAAGTGCAAAGATATTTGCTGATACGTGAATGCAATAATTTTTTTTTGTTTCTCAGTGGCCAAGTAGAAAAACGTTATCGCGATGGTTCTTCTGAAATCAGGTTGCCAAATGGAATGGTGAGATATTTTGACCCAAATAGTGATGCTGTTCGAGAAGAGTGGCGGTATCCAGATGGCACTGCACTCTCAGTATCATCAAATGGTGAACAGCACATAACTTTTCCAAATGGTCAAATTGAAGTTCACACAAAAGACCATAAGGTATATATTCCCAAATATGGTTTGAAGTTTATTAAAAAGTTCCATTCTAATATAGTTGTGTTGATTACAAATGATTACTGTGCCCCATAGCAGACTCATTTCTGCTTGTTTTATTTATATATTTTTAAACTGTTACATACGTTAAAGGCTTAAGACATTCTTGTCTCAATTAAAATTGAACCCAAGACTTCCAGGTCTTACGCCATGTACATTATCACATACCCAAAGAGACAATTTGATTGAGAAAATTATAGAGACAATGAATTTCTTGGTAATTAAAAACTTTTTACTGCATACTATGCTTTCATTATTTAAAATGCATTTCATTGAGTGGTTTGATACTTAGGAAAGCAATTTATCTTTCAGCGCCGAGAGTTTCCAGATGGTAGTGTAAAGCTGGTCTACAGTGATGGGACATCAGAAACTAGGTATGCTTCTGGACGTATTCGTATAAAAGACAAACATGGTAATCTCATTATGGATTCATCTTTAAGGAAAAACCATACCATGCGATAATTTTTCATTTTCTTGCTTGTACAACTTGCTGGGCAAGCTATTAATATATATTGTATATCTATCTTTAAACTATATCTTATTCTAGTCCAATTACTGTTTCAATCAAATGACTGATTTCTCTTCATTACATGGTAAACTCAATTTGTAAGAAAGAGTTTAGTGATTTAGTAAAAACAGTTTTATCAAACTGATTTTATGAATAAGTTTTTGATCTAATTTCTACTATACTAACTGATATACATTTCCTGCTGATTGGTTCCTATAATATGAAATCTGCCTGTAGACAACGATTAAATATTAAGTTTTATAAGGAGAATTTACTAAAATCTAGGATTTAAAACTGTGATATTTAAGTTTATTCACTGTTATAAATGCACTAGAAATTTCTTGTGAAAAATTAATCTATAATTGATGTGTGTTAACTCCTATGAAATGTATTGTTATTTTTAATGTTTATTATAGGAATGTAAAATTAAAGTTTTTATATAGAACTAAGTATTTTTCTATTACAACATATTTATATTACAAACTAAGTACCTTATTCGAATTTACCACTAAGAAAACATCATTATTTAACTTGATCCTATTTGGTGTTGAGATCTAGAACTGTCCTTGGGTATAATTTGCAAGTTGAAATTAATAGGGTGCATATTTTCTTCAGTTCCAAATAGCTTTTTTAATGCTTCCCTAGCAGCCATCTCTTTAGCAACAGAAATTGACTCTCCAAAACCTTGAATTAATTACACTATTTATACCTGGATAATTCGTTATTCAAGTCATACTTTTACTTTAATAAAAAATTTATAAAAGTAAGGATGGGTGATGTCAGCAAGAATTTTCTTAAATTATTGATAAAATATTTTCAATATTTTTATTCATAAACAAATCAGAAGTTAGAAATACATACTTATGTTTAGTCATGTTACTAAAGTGATGAAATTAATAATGTTTAGAAATACCTACAATATTAAAACATCTGTTGCTATAATTTTGAGCTTATTTTTTTGAATTATTTATAGCTTTGTTATAAAGTGTTATAAGTTAGTTTAATTTCTCACCTGCAGAAAGCATATTTTTATCAATATAGAGTCCTACTCTGTAACAAGCTAGTAATGTTCCTTTGCCAACTTCACCAATGAGTCTTGGTTCAATAGAAGCTCCAGTTTTGTTAATAAGATCTGTAAGCATTGTCCAAGGATCTTCAATTTGCCAGAATTCATTTACATCTTGACCTGAAAATTAAGTTATAATTAAAATTTCTATATCTTGTCAGCAACTGTTAACAGGAATCTATTTTATGGATCAGTATTAAAAATACTTGAAAACAAAGAAATTCGTCCAAACTGCATACCTTGTAGCTGAGTGATAACAAAATCTCTAACAAAATGAGCTGTTTTATCTTCACCAGATGACTGATGTAAGGCTCCCACTAGTGCCTTAAATGTATTTGCCAATGTATAGTTGTCGACTGGATACTCCTTTAAAGACAGCAAAGTTCAACAACAAAATTTTAAACTTGCTAAACTTAGATGTTCAATTGCAAAAGTAAAACAAGTAATATATACATACAGCAGCTAATATAATGTCTTTTGTTCCCAAATGAAGAGATATATTTGCCAACACATTTTCACTTAAAAGATGCTTCTTAACACTGATTATTCCTTCTTTAGGAAATTTGGGCAATACAGCTTCTAAGTACAATTGCACATAATCGTCCATGAACTTCATTCCTGTAAATTAATGAAGTGTTTATTTTTATTTAGATAATTCAAAATCAACATTAATGTAGTAGCTGAAACTCTTGCCTTCATCTGATAGCTCTCTATTGTCCTTCATTTTAACCGCGAACTCCATTTCCTTCTGTTTCATTTCTTCCTTAATTACATATGAACGGTCGGTAAAAGCTTGTAGAAGTAAGCTGGAGTCGAAATCCTCACCCAAACGTTTTCCAAATGCAAATAATTCAGCTTCTAAATTCCACTCAAGAAAGGTATTCCGTGGATTTGTTATTTTACCGCCTTGTTTTTTTTCTCGCCTTTTCAATTCCATTAGTGTAGGGGCGACCCAACGATGGATACTTTTCTCTACAACAACGTGTTTCTTAAATATAAGATTCTTTATAACTTTTTACCCAAAAACTATTTTGATTTATTTACCTTGATTGGCTAGTGGAATATGGTTTACGCCTTTTATTAAAAGGGGCAAACACCGTCTAATAAAAGCCATTTTCATATATTAACGGTAAGTTTCGCTTCATATATCAATTATATGGCTAAAAATAAAATATAAATGTGAAAAGGCTAAATTGTAAACAGATTATTAGGTTATAAATATTTTATTTAGATTTTTTTTAAATTTGTTACGTGATCCTAGATACAAGTCTTTTATTCGATACTTTATTGATTATTCAGTTATCAGCTGTATTACAACTTACACTTAGTGTTGCCAAAAAAAAAAAGGGTGCGTGTACGCGCGTAAGAAGTTATACTTCTTTGGCTTTCTTTATTTTTTTTTAAATATAGTTAATTAATAATTAATATTTAATACTTGGCGTTGACATATCGAACGACGTTCAGTTTCGCGGTCACTTGGAGGGAAAGGCTAAATTAGCCTCCAAAAAGCTTGGTGTGCTCAGCAAGGCGAGACGGTACTTCACTCCGGGCCACCGCATGCAACTATATAATGCGCAAATTCGGCCCCACATGGAGTAATGCTCTCACCTCTGGGTGGAGGCTTCCCAGTACCAGCTCCTTCCACTTGACCGTATTCAACGCAGAGCGGTTCGAATCGTCGATGACCAATCCCTCTCCGAGCGTCATACCTGAGCTATAGAATTCAAATGGTAAATGGAGCTATATCACAGGGATGGTCTGTTAGTATGAGTGTACTGCAAGGCTCTATACTTGGTCCCTTCTTATTCCTCGTCTATATAAATGACCTACCATTTCTTGAAAAGGAGCTTCACGAGATAGTACTGTTTGCTGATAACACTTCGCTTTTATTTAAAGTGAAACGACGAAATCCATCACTTGAGAATGTAACCAGGGGCCTTAGTCAAGATGCCTTAACAGTAGTGTATGTAGAAAGTCGAAAACTTAATTTGTATGGAAATGACAGTTCGTGTCGAAAAGTTTTCATACAAATTTAGTTTTTGACGTTCTACATACACTACTGTTAAGGCATCTTGACTAAGGCCCCAGTGCCATCTCCAGTGTACTGGTGTTCACTGGTTTAATATAAATAATCTTAAGCTAAACGAGAAGAAGACAAAATGTATTAAATTTGTAGCTGCAAATGTAAAAAGTAGTCATTCTCAAATAATAATTAAAAATGAGGAAATAGACTTTGTTGATGATGCGGTGTTCTTAGAAATGACTAGATAGATTTTAAAATATAGATATCTTTAAAAATAATAGTAGCTTCCATCATTATAGTACTCGTAATAAAAACAAAATTAGCGCACCAACCACAAGGCTGCATAAAACGAGTAATTCTTTCCAAGGCAATTGTATACGTTTTTTCAACAAAATCCCTAGTGAGATACAAGTGTTGTCAATAAATAAATTTAAATCGTACGTTAAAGTAAAACTGCTTGCTAAGGCCTATTATAATATAATATTTAAACGATCCTAGTGCTTGGATATGAATTGCTTCAGTATAAAGAGGTAACGCGACTGAATCTCTCGGCAGCATTTCCAGACTCTGGGGCGATCGTCAACATGTAAATGACTATTTTAATGTAAAGTGGGAACAAACCGTGATCCATGTTAATCGCGTAAATGTCATTGCTTGTGGCGGCATCCATGCGTCGGGTTGTCTCTCTCCCTAAAATATGGCGAGAGGGCCGATGGCTGGCCATGCGTCATACTCGTGAACGGTGCTACTTGTGGTGACTGGTCGTACTTGAATTCGTGTATGCAGTGATGTTAGTTGTTTCGACTATATATTTGCGTGTTGTTCCCACGAGAATGTAAGTGCGTGCTCCTATTTCACCATGCCTCCTGCTGATGAAAACAAATGTCCTCTACATTTGTTTTTAATTTATTTAATATTATTATTTATTACTAAGGATGTCATGTGGAACATGGTGCAATGGTTGCAGCTCCTTACAAACGTTGTGTTAAACAAAAAACTTGACGATTAAAAAGAGTGGCGGAGAGTTTATTACCAGTTCTTCTTTTCCGTTCTAAGCCCTTGATTTGAGAACTGGCAGTAAATGTAAAATTAGAATCATTAATGTATTTTTTTTTTGACGTTCACAAGTGTACATTTTGTTACTTACATGAATAAAGGATTTTTGACTTTTGAAATGGGCAGGTACGACCGGGGCACTGGGCAGTGGGCAGTACCACCGTCTCACAGAAAACCGGCGTGAAGTGATGCAATAAGATTATATACCTTAGTATACTCTCGTATCGTGCGGTGAGTGAGATTTACAAAGATCAGTTTGTCTTTTGGCATGACCCGGGCGGATATAGTTTAATAATAATTAAAAAAAGGTAAAACAACGATAAGGCTATGTAACGCGCGTTAACGCGCGTCAACGCGCGATCAAATTTGAAGAGCGTTCAGATGATGAGCGCTAACGCGCGTTGCGAGAGTACTCGTCAGTCTAGTTCGGTAGAACGTAGAAAATGGACGTGGAAGAGGCTATTATTTTGTGGTTATATTATAAAGAAAAATATACAAAAAGAAAACGTACACATTGGGTTCATCCAATTTTGAAAAAAAAATACAAATTATATTATATTTTTTATACAAATTTGCTATATTCCAACTTGCTGGCCTTTTTTCTACTTCATCGATTAGTAAGTCGATGTCAATATTTTCAATTTCACTCATTTTAAATCCGAGAACAAAATATAATTACGAAAATTAACAAAATTACATGCGATCGCGATGAAAGCGCGCGCTCATGTGAACAGCAAACGGACATTACATTAATATCAAAGCGCGCGTCAACGCGCGATCACCTGCGTCTAGAGACTTTTTCTCTGAGCGCCGCGTTGACGCGCGTTAACGCGCGTACATGTGAACAGTTGTATGAAAATACCATAATCTCTAGTCGCGCGATTTGAAAACGCGCGTCAAGTTTTTGCCATCTGAACATAGCCTTACAAATTTTCGGTTATTTTGATATTTTCATTTCATGTCAGGCGCTGAACTTAAGATGGCGTAACATCAAATTTAGCTTAATTTTCTCTATTTCTAAATACGGCGACATTAATATGATGTTTGTATTTAAGTATCCAAAGTTATGCGCGGTTGCGTTTAAATAATATAAGGTGAGAGTCACCATGATGCCCTCGTAATACGAGTAAGAACTAAAAGGATTAAAAACAATATAGTATTGTATACCTGTCATATGTGTAAAAAATAATATATTCCAATAATATAAGTACAGTTATATCTTTAAAGTGAAATTGCGATCAGTATAAGTCACTTACAGTTTACACACTTGCATTTTGTTGTGTATACTACCACGGCGAATTTAAAGTTATATATTAAAGTCGTAATGTATTTAATATTTGAATGACCTCATCCTGCAATTGCGAGTAATTTAAAATTTTCCACCCACACTATAAAACTGAATGCAAGGTTTAAGCAAGGCGAGCATACCAAATAAAGTCATATTTTGTTGAGGTACCTTGTATCTTGGACAACGGTAAATTATTGATCACACGATTATTCACTGCTATATTCTTAAAAAAATCGTTTTTCGTTAAAATTTCAAACAAGTTTTTATTTTAATTGATAAGTTTTTTATAATTTTGTTGCAGAATATAAACGTATCTTTTAAGATGTCGAGACCACGGCCCCAGTGGCAGCTGCAAGCAATTGCAGCTCGAAAACGAGACAATGAACTTCGTAAGGCTGACGAGCTAAGAAAAGTTGCTTCTTACTTTGAAAAGAATACCCATAAGTCAAGGCATCATGAGAACTGGACAACAGAAGATTATTACGAAAAAGCGAAGAAAGAAGCTGATATGTTGAGTGAAAAAAAGATTCGCGCTGTGTAAGTCTTATGATAAGTATCTTAAACTTAAGTCTTTATTGTTGAGTATATAATTTTATCAATACATAAAATGGTATTTGTACTGCATAAAATGATCAAAACTTCCAGACAATTAGAAGAAAGGCGAAAGAAGTTAGAGTTAATGTTATTTCAAGAGAATATGCAGTATCAACAAGAGATTAAGGCATTGGCAGCACAACCCAAGTTTTATAAAAATGGGTGAGTGTTTACAACTATCTCAGATATAGGTCAGACAAAATGTCTGAATAAAATAAAACTATCTGGACTTAAATACATTATGATTTATATTTTGTGCATTTTTGATTGTCTAAATAAAGTAGCTCAAATCAGTTTTCTATGCAGATGCAGTCTTTGGGTCTTATGTCAGTTTCCTCATAATGTATACCTTCACTATACAAATAAGTGACAATCACTTAATTATGTAAAAACCCCATTGAGGCAGGCAGAACATGAACCCACAAACTTATGTTTGAGAGTTACATAGTTAAACCACTTGACTAACTCACTGTTCCTATTTTAATTGTCTGTTATAATGTTATAATGAATTCATATAATGCAATAATTTGTAATATAATACACAAAACTCCCAGATCTTACCTAAACAAAGTTCCTACATCAACCCTGCAAGAAATCAACCAAGGTATCATAGAAAAAGAGGAACATTTGAGACGGCAAGAAGCTGAATTAAAGTTACATCATGCATGGCGACTTCGTCAGCCGGAATTGAAAGCAGCCTGCTCTTATATTGCTAATGGAAAACTTAAATCGGCTTGGTAATACACAAAATCATCTTAAAACATATTTTTAATTAGATATTATAGGAAATATTTAAGCACTTTTAGAACACAAAGGTTTCAGTGTAGAAATTTTCTTTTTATAATTAATTGTCTTTATAATATGATGAAAGACAGGGATTTAGTTAAATTGTAATCAGAATTCATTGCTAGTGACGTGTAGTCTTGAATAAGGGGATTTAAGCCATTTTACAGTTATAATTTATTAGTTTTCCTTGTATATTTTATTTATCGTTCCTTAAATATTTGCAAGCAATATTGTTACAGAGAGTATTCATAACAAAATATTTAATTTATAGCAGAAGTTAAAGTAATCTAGGTTTAAGTTAAAATTGGGACAAGCTACTAGTTAGGTGTAATACATTTGAAATGTTCATTTATTTACCATTTCAATTACAGGTTGGAGCAAATAGTAGAAAAAGAAATGCAAAAGAAGAAGGATGAAGAAGAGACTCGTAAGATCCTTCAAGAAAGAGACGAGGCCCTACAAAAGCAAATACTGATAGAAGAAGATAGACTTAAAGAGAAAGAGCTAAAAATGAGGGTAGGAAATACTCTTAAGATATATAGATATCTATAATCTATGGCTACCATCAGTACTATAATGTTATATCCTTATCTTTTACTAAGTTTTTATGACATCGGACACTGAGGACTAGTTAGGGGTTCAGATAAAACTCCTACTATTGGATTGGACTTTTCCTTCCTTCCAAATTTTATGAACTTTAGGTTGAAATTGGTAAATTCTGTAGTATATAAAAAAAATATTGAATAAAAATTCCAAATTAATAAGTCTACACACATTTGATTCCCCTTCAAAGTCTATTGTTCATGCAAGCAATTCAACCATCTTGACTAGATTTATTTCCCTGTGAATGCAGTTCGGACCTAACGTGTGTCTGAAGTCGAAACTCTACTACGTGGAGTCTCAGACTGGGGCAGACAAAACCTAGTCCAATTTAACCCCAAGAAGACACAAGTTTGCGCGTTTTCCGCTAAAAAAAAAACCCTTTGCCGCTACTCCTCTTTTCGAAAACACTCTTCTTAAAGCCACAGCCAGCATTGGAATACTTCGCGTTGACATATCGAACGACGTTCAGTTTCGCGGTCACTTGGAGGACGCAGAGCGGTTCGAATCGTCGACGACCAATCCCTCTCCGAGCGGCTTGATCCTTTGGCGTTGCGTTGAGATGTGGGGTCACTCTGCATCTTCTACCGCATTTACCATGGAGGGTGTTCAGAGGAGTTGTTCGAATACCTGCAGCTGAGTTTCATCATCGGACGTCGAGACAGAATACGAAATTCCACCCGTATCACCTCGACGTCCGCCGTTCCACAACTGAGCGTTTTTCAAGGCAGTTTTTGCCGTGCACCACCACTATGAAAGAAAAGAGCGTATCAATTCTTAAAAGGCCGGCAACGCACTCGCGAGCCCTCTGGCATTGAGAGTGTCCATGGGCGGCGGTATCACTTAATATCAGGTGAGCCTCCTGCCCATTTGCCCACCGTTCTATAAAAAAATAAAAAAAACGTAGCATAAGGTCCCCTCTAAGCATAATAAGAATAAGAATAGGTAGCCTTCTATGCCTCCAATTATTGTTATTTCGATATTTTTAAAAAAAAATTTTACCATATCATTATTCTATCTTTACAGTTATTAGTTCAATAGAACGAATTGAATAGGTTCCTTCAGTTATACGCCTATGAGTTTAACCATTGCAGTGTGTGTATGTCATAAAACAACAGTTAATAAATATTTTAATTTTGATCAGGAGCTCAGAAGTAGCCTAGAGGGCCAAATATCGGAGTTGAGTGAGAAAGAGACAGCTGTGAAAAAACTTCGTAAAATGGAGGAGCGAGAGAGAATGGTATTAGAAGAGCTACAGTTCATTTCGAAGGAAAGAGAAAGAGAGCACGCGAAACTGGTGGCAGAAAGAGACGCAAATATTGTGAATATGGGTTTGCACAAATTTAAGTTGAAGAAGAAAGTTGCATCCGTTTTGAATGAAATTAGTTTGGATTTGAAAATGTTGCAGAAGGTCAAAGAAGCTGTTGTGAAAGTGAGTTTTGTTATGGCTTACAAAACAACAACAAGGATTTTTTTATAAAATTTGTATTTTCACAGAAACTATTTTTATCTAATTTTTTTACAATTACTAAATGAAAGAAAGAAATACTACATTACACATGATAAAGGATTTGCTGTCAAATGAGAAAGTGTACTAGCTCACAAGGATTTCCTGTGGGCAGGTAGTCTTTTCCATTTTACATACTTATAATCAACTTGACATAAACGTTCTACACAAGAATTATTGTAATTTCACTTTAGAATAAAAATGCTAGGCTCATGTATTCATGAGTAGAATGAATAGAATGATGAATAGTCACAATTCCAAAAATAGTTGATCGTTCCATGTTGATTCTTCATATCATGAATATTTATTATGTTCATTGTAAAACACATATTAAAACCAAAAAAAGTATTGATGACAACTTAAAGTAATTGATAACTTAAGAGATTGGGGCCGTTCAAGTATTACGTAAGCAGATTTACTGCAATTTATTTCCCCCCCCTCTTGTCAGCAACAGTAACTAAAGCTCTGAAAAATAATAGTACATAAACGTATTAATTGTATGTAGGAAACCTCGAAAATGCATTTCGTTTTCAACCATAGACAATGTGTGGGTAATATGTGTAAAAAAGTTAATAATTATTGTTGACGTAAACACCAAATAAGAAAATTAAAGCCCCCCTCCTCCCACCTATAGTGCTTACTTAATACTTGAACGGCCCCATTCAGATTTTAAGAATTTTTTTTAACAACTAATACATACAAAAAATTCATAACATATCTCAACGTTTTTTTTAAGGACTATGAATCTGAAAAAGAGAAACAAATAAGTTATAAACGACTACTGGACGCGACACTACTTGAGTTAGAAGAGCACAGAGAGAGGGACCGACAGAGACAGAAGAACATTGAGACGATGTATGACGGTGAAGCGAGACAGCTTAATGAGAAACAAGATAAGGTAGATATTAGATAGGGACATTTTTTGTAATGTTTTAACAATATGTAATATACAGAACATATAGTAAATGTCAAATTAAATACATTTAAATGCGAATTTATTACATATAAAAAAATCGTGGTCAGAAACGTAAATAATGCATTCGTAATTATGTCTAATAAAATGTTTTTCGTAAAAACTAAAGACAATTTATTATTTAATAATAAATTATTACACAATTTAAAATTTGTTTTTTTGAGGCCGGCCTTTTAAAGCACGCTCTTTTATTGATGGACTTTTCGAATATATGAGTATGTAGCCTTAATTAAGATTAGAAATCTGTCCAGCAGTTTTTAAGTTTATTCGTTACAAACATATGTCTTTTTTTATATTTTGAATAAGATATGGGCGAAAGAACGCGAAGCACGTGGTATTCTTATGAATGAAGTTATTGCTACGTTAAAAAAGCAAGTACAAGAGAAGATCCAGTTGAATATAGAACAGCAGAGGGCGAATGTTCTCGATCGGGAGAAGATTCTAGAACATATGGACAGCTTCCACCAGGAAGTCAGATCTCGGGAGAGGGATACTCAGGTGAGTTTTACTTCAGAGTAAGATTCAAAATCGAGACATTGCGCCAAGTATGACGATTTATTTATTTAAGATAATTTCTGAATAGGATGTTGTAACATTTATTTTAACATACCTTTTATTAACGAAACACACAAAATAATAATAGTTTTGATATAACGTCACTGTAGAATGATAACCTCGTATGTCAAAAAACCATTTAATTTTTATTCTTAGACTCTAATGTCATTTAACTGGTATAATCATGAAATATGGACTTATTTATGTCATATGTCATTAATAAATAAGTCCTTTTTACCATCCAAAACTATATACTAGTATATTAACGAACATTGACGCAATTAAACATTTTTTCGTTTCCTGTAATGTTTGGTTCTCTGGAGATACGAGGTTATCATTCTGCAGCGACGATAAGGGAGTCAGTCTTAATGTGAGACTTGTTTCCGAATGAGTAAATACATCTCTTGTATGACAAATCCTTAATTTTGTCTAGTGCTTAGGTGCTATTCGATATTACCCCAAAATCAAGTTAAATTTGTGTTCTTCGCAAATCATCCGTTAACTATTTAATCTGCACTATTTAAGTATTTAAAAACTTACTTGAGGGTACTCTTAAAATATATTACCATATTCAGAAATTATCTTAAATAATTAATATTCTACCATAACAACAATTTTCATAGCTATAATCATAATTGTAGTTTCTTATTACTAATCAAAATCATGAAATAAATAAAATAATATTAATTGGTGTAATAAACTATAATTAAATAAAATAATCCAATGGCGCTACAACCCTAAATAAGTCTAAGATAATTTTTATATCATAGACAAATTATCAGCCGTCTCATTGGTCTTTGATTTTTGGGTTTGACACGATGGTTTCCTTCACCGTAGAGCAAGTGTTAATAGCGCACATAGGAAGATTCCATTGGAGCACAACCATGATTCAATTGACTTGAGGGATGAGGTTACCACGGCTTCAATCTATGGCTTATAAAAACACAAACCTTTTTTTAAATTTATTACAGAACTTGTAAGTAACTAAAAAATTTACAGAACAGAATAAGACATTATCAATTAATTTTTTTTTATTTCCAGTTAAAAAACTCATCATATTCATCAATAAACGCGCTTCAATCGCAATTGAATAGCCTGAAAGTACAAAAAGAGAAGATAGATGCAGTAGCACAAAGGGAGTCGGAAATAAAAGAGGCGATTTTCAACGAAAGAAGTGTTCGACAAGAGATTGCGCGAGCGCAGAGGGCAGGGAATACCCAGGCTTGGGCTTAAATATGATTTTTCATCAAAAACCTATTTTAAATTTATCATATGAATTTAAAGTTAAAAACCCCTACACTATATAATAAAAATTAGTAACAGTCTTCTTAACTATGTATGGGTTACAGGCAAGATTTGTTTGTAATGAATAAACGCTAAAGGTGGGTACTGACCAACGTTACGAGGTGTAATGCAACACGTTACACAGCGAGCATTCGTGCAATCAGTACGTCGTGTTACGGGGAAACTTAGAGTGCTCCACCCGGCTGTCGGTTTTTCGGCGAATCCTTTGACTGTTACGCGGTTCAGTCAGTACGCGTCGCAGGTCGCGAGTGATCATGATTATGGTTTTCTATAAATTGTGTCTTTTTTAAGTACTTTTGGTCCAATTAAATTCACGAGTTATTCTAAATCGATCGGAGGCATGCGTACAAAGTTTTTATACTGTCCAGTAATCATTTGGTTTTTTAAAATTGCTATCAATGACAAACCACCACATACGCCTCTGTTTTTAAATAAGTTTGATGTCCAGTAACAATAATTAAGTAGGATCAAAGATACCAACTCGTCCTGGCTGTCGGCCATCTCGTGAACACTGGCGGCGAAAGCGAAGCACAGAGTTTTGACGAGCATGTTACGCCGATTTTAAAACACAGCGTAACATGCTCGATGCGTAACACGCTCGATGCGAATGCTACATTACACCTCGTAACTTTGGTCAGTTCCCACCTTTAGAATCCTACGGAGAAACATGTCCATCATGCTAGTAGCTATAGCTGTAGTAGTTTTGTAAAAATATAATTCAATTTAACGATTTTAACGCTAACAACAATTTTATATATTAGATATATGGTAACTTTCTTCCTATTTAATAGAATTTTAGAAGTTTGGTTTCCTTAAATCAAAGAATTTCACTTGAATCTCGATGAAATTTTAATAATTTGACGGGCTATAATCACATACAGTTTTATAACCGAAAAATAATGTTTACAAGATTGTGTCTTGTTCCTGTTATGAAATATTATTAATGGACAGAAGTTATAAAATGCATTTTTAATTAAAGTTTAATAAATTTTCTAATACATTTTTAACGTTCAGGTAAAAGTCATAATTCTTGTAGTTAGAAGAGAATAGGTATACAAAGTAAGGGCGGTTGGTATTCTTGGGAAACCAGGCGTGAATAAATAAATACAAAATTTCGATATTATTCTGATGAAATGGGCCACTGCCAATCGCTGCCTCTTCCGTCGGGTTCCATTAATCGAATTAGAAGCCGTAATGGATAAGAGTTCTTCAGAAAATATATTTTTATAGTGTTCTTTATATATATTCTTATACATATTATTCGTGTAAGGAGCAAATATATGTTGTAGAGGTACTAAGTCATTAACTTGCTATTACTACTACTTTGACTAAAGATGAATCGTCAGAGAGCATAGTTTGACATATTTGATATCGCTTAAGACGAGATTGTGTCTTGCGATACGAATTAGAATATGGACCTAAGAATCCAGGCAAAACGCACATATTTGACTCTTCTAAATAGTACTATTAATAATGTTATGAAAACTGATTTTTCTGAACTTACAAGGGGAGAGCTATTTTGCCCAGAAATTTGTTTGCGTCTGCAAAAAAAATTGGCAAAGACTGATTGTAGTTTAAGAGTGGCAAAATAGTTGTCATATTTTGTGATAAAAGAGATTTTGTATTTTTGGATTGTGTGAATAAAATGTATTGAAAAACGTATTTTCGTTCTTTTAACCCTATATCATCGAGTGTGTGACCAATGTGATATCTTGTTTGCCAATAATTTTGCTTATCTCTTGAGATTACACGATGGTAAAAATTACCTATTGGAGTATGTATTTTCAGTTGAGTAAGACAATATTTTTGGAAACTTAACAATAAAAAAGATCCGTCAATAAATCTTTTAGTAATAAAATCTTCTATTGCTTATAACGACCTCTAGTAGCGAACAAGGTAACTGCTGCAATGTTTGTAACTAATGACATTGCGTATAACGCCCTCTATTGGCGAACTAGGTAACTAAAGTAAAGTATGTTACCAATGACATCAATATATTATCTGAATAGTAATGGTTAGTTTTCATAGATGGCGCTATCACGTTAAGAACGTTTTCATATATTTTTGCTTATGGAAAACTTAGAAATATATTGTAGAATATAACAATTTGCTTAGTATAACCACCACATGTGTGTTTTTATACTACTAATATGTTACAGAATAATGTAATAGGTACTATTTTTTTTACAAAATCTCTACTATTAAATTTAGAGAGTGTGTAGTGGGCTTCAGCTCCAACCTTATTACTTGACGAACCCCGGCTGTGCATCAATGGACTTTCTGTCTAAGTGCGCATACCTATGTATAACACTCGCTCGTACGGTGAATGAAATCATCGTGAGCCCTCAGTTGATTTTATATCATGAAACTAGCAATTTAAATAATGTAGACCAATAAAACTTAGCTAATCAAGTACGGAAAGATCTAAATCTCCGTAAGGCGTAAGTACATAGTACTTACGCCTATAATAAGTGAGAGCTACATTACTTAACGACGCAGCACTTATCGTTATCAATATAACTAATGTAATTAATGCAATTAATTGTAAAAATTGTCATAAAATATTTTGTCGTAGTAACATTTATTCAATGACATTTCCATTAAAAAAAGTTCAATTTTAGTTGTGTGTGTTATGCTCACTCTATTTCCTATAAAATAAATTAAATCAATGGAGTTACATGTTGGCGTTCGAGTAGCTTCGAGAATTAATTAAATAAATTTTTCTTAAAATTCTGAAAGTACTTAGTTACAGATAAAAATAGCGTAAATAGATATTGTTCCATTACAATTTATTCTGCAGAGGACCTAGTACAAATTTTTGCTTGACTGAGGTGCCAAAAGCACAGCACACGCTTATAACAACTCTCAGCCACACTCTCAAAGGCCCTGGCTGACAGGCCCTGGCAGGCTGCCGCCCAAAAAGCCCTCAAGTAGATCCGCCCCTGCAACAGACGGCTTCGCTTGTCTTTCAATACAAGGCCAGCTTCGGGAAAAAAGTCGTTCACTATATGCAGCTGCAGGTCGCTGAAAGGTAAACTTCATAAAGTTTGGTTATTCAGCAGCTGACCACCACTTGACTATATTCGGCTATCCGGCTATAAGTTTGGCCGAATATTCGGTATTCGGTATCTGGCACAACAACTATCCGTTTTATCTCTAAGCGTTAAAGAAATGTAGTGCGTTGAAGGAATAGAAATGTCTCAAAACTCGTAATTGCTACGAGTAATAAACAAAAAAATCCGTTTTTTAATGAAAACTTCAAGCTAACATTACGACTAGCTTGTTAGAAGAACTGTATATAAGAAAACTTAAATAAAACAATATCAAATTTTATTTACAGGTTGTAGATTATTTAAGTAAAAAAATAAAACAGTGGCGCTACCTTTTTAGGTCTAGGCCTCAGATTTCTGTAGCTGTTTCATGATCATTTCTCAATCTAATAGGCATGTCGGTTTCCTCACAATGTTTTCCTTCACCGTTCGAGCTAATATTAAATGCGCACATAGAAAGATAGTCCATTAGTGCACAGCCGGGGATCGAACCTACGACCTCAGGGATGAGAGTCGCACGCTGAAGCCACTAGGCCAACAATGCTGTTTCTTAAATACCCATAAAATTATCATAGTTGCATTTGCGACTAATTAGCTGAAGGCTAACTTTTTTTTTACACACAGTTTTTTTTTGGCATCAGAGCAGGTGACTTATAGTTACCTAAGGGTTTACCGCTTATGGACACCCGCAGCACCAGGCATACATGTGCGTACACTCGTCTGTTGGAGGCCCCTAAGTCGTAACGGGTTGGTAATACCTACAATGGCAGCTGATTCCATAAAGTGGTGGTGCGCGGTGAGTGTCTCAAAAAGCGCTCTGTCGTGGAACGCCGCACGTCAAGGTGGAAAGAGTTTATTGCCAGTTATTCTCTTCCGTTCTACGCCCTTGATTTGAGAACTGGCAGTTAATGTAAAATTAGAAACATTTAATGTAGGTATATTTCTTTTTTGACGTTCATAAGTGTACATTGTGTTATCTATATGAATAAATGATATTTGACTTTAGACTTTCGAACGGGTGAAATTTTGATAATGATGAAATTTAGTCGCAGGTATTAATCCAAAGAGTTTTTCTGATCCCTGCCCATGATAAATGCGATAGAAGAGACAGAGACCCTATAGGTATGTCTCTACTCTCTACGCAGCGCCAAAGGATCTAGATCAGTGTTGCCCAATCTTTTTGTGCCATGCCCCACTTTAGCCTTACTAAAATTCTTATGCCCCCCCTATGTAACATACCTTCATTATTTCGGCGTGTGTCAGGCACAGGAGGTCGATCACTTGCCTATTAAATTGACAAATCATGAAACAGATACAGAAATCTGAGGCCCAAACCTAATAAGGTTGTAGGGCCACTAGTTTATTTATTTTATAATAAAAAACAAAATAATTAAAAAGTATTCCTTCATACTAAGGGACTAATATAAAAACTAAATCTTTTGAAGGTTTGAGCTTTTTCTAGCTGCGTATCAGTATTGAGGATCGACAGCTTTACGAGAGGTGAATAAATAATCTCTCTAACTTAGAGCTAGGAAGTATTTTTATTGGGGATTCCAGACGGACTTGATGCTTAGTCGCTGGACATGGCCCTTTAAATATTGGCGTAATTTCTATAAGTGCTATCCTGTAAAAACCTACAATTTTTTCAAAGATTTCGTAAAGTTACTTTTAGTCAAGCAGTAATTTAAAAAAAAACACTTCAGGTGCAGCGCGAATAGAAGTATTTTTTTTTAGTTTATTTGATTTCATATATGTATATATATAAGTATATAGACATCGACATAACAATTATTATTAACAAAAAAATACACACACAAAATTACAATAATCAAAGAAAAAAATATAATGATTTTTTTCCCCTGTTCCCATTCGGTTCGC